GCAGAAATTAGAACACTTGTACGTTAGAACACTTGAGTGTTGGGATATAAAACGGTTTATTGTGGAAAACAGTTTGACAGGTTCTCAAAAAGGTAAAGATGGAATTACCATACAACCCAACAATTCGACTCCTAGGTATAGACCTAAAAGAACTGAAAACAGGGGCTCAAACCAGATACTTGTATGTGACTGTTTACTAAAGCATTAGTCACATGAGCCAAAAGACAGAAACAACCCAGGTGCCCTTGAATAGGTAAGTGGGTGAGCTGATGCGGTCTGTCCATACAGGGGGCTACTATTCAGCTTTAAAAAGAAATGATGTACTGACACAGGCTACACAGTGGATACGCAGGGGAAACTTTATACTAAGTGAATTAAGCCAAACACAAAAGGACAACTATTGTATGATCCCACTTCCATGAAATAACTCAAATAAGCAAATACAGAGAGCTAGGAAGTGGAATCAGAGGCTACCAGGAGCTGGGCTGGGTTCCCAGCACGGGGAATGCAGAGTTACTGTTTAGTGGGTGTAGAGTTTCTATCCGGGGGGATGCAAAAGTTACGGAAATAGGCAGTGGTGTTGGTTTTGCAACACTGTGAATGTAACTAATGCCACTGAATTGTGCACTTAAAATGGCTTTATATTTTAAAATAAATTTTTTAATTTATTTGCTAAGAGAGTAGGTCTTAAATGTTCTCTGCACACACACACAAAATAATTTGTAATTATGTGAGATACAGACATTAACTAAACTTACTGTGGTAATCATTTTGCAATATGTACCTATATCAAATCATTATGCTGTATCTAAAAAAACTGAGTAAAATGGCTAAAATAACAAATTTTATGTTATATATATTTCATCACAATGAAAAAAGATCTCATCAGATTCAAACAGTTTCACTTTTTTCCTTTCTATTACATTTATTGGGGTGACACCGGTGAACAAAATTAGACAGGCTTCAGGCGCACAGCTGTGCAACACCTCACGTGTGCCCTGTGCCGTGTGATCGCCTCCCCACGTCAGGTCTCCTTCCACCACCATTCATCCCCCCGTACCCCCTCCTCCTTGCTCCCCCCAGCAGCCGCCACACCCTTGCCCGCTCACTCTATTAATCTGTCTCCATTCCGCTTGTTAGTTCATTAGATTCCACATATGAGGGAAATCATATGGTACTTGTCTTTCCCTACCTGGTTTATGTCACTTAGCACACTGTTCTCCAGGTCCATCCATGCTGTCGCAGAGGTTAAGATTTCCTTCTTTCTTACGGCTGGGTCGTAGTCCACAAACAGTTACTACAGACAAGTTCACAGGACAGATAATGTGTGTGTGTGAGGGGAAAAGAGACAAAGAGACAGACAGGGACAGAGGTAGAGAGATGAAAACAGAGATTAGTTTGTTTTTCTGAGATTAGAAATATCCTTTATACGAAAATAAAAAATAGCAATACAAGAAAAAAACAATAGTACAATCTTTGTTATGAACTTAAAAGCAAAAAAAAAATCTAGATATTAATTACTAAATCTAACAATTATTTTTAAATATTTTGACCAAGTTTAGTGTATCCCAGACATGCAAGAAAAGTTTGACATCAAAAAACCTGTTAGTGTAATTCACCATATTAAAACGTTTTTAAAAATCATATCTGATTATCTTAAAAGATGCAGGGAAAAAAGCTTGTGACATATGACTCTCAATACCTGTTGTGGATTAAAAACTCTTTAACCAGCTAGGAACACTTATAAGAATGAGAATTTTACATTTTGATTTAAAACAAATCTGCTAGATTCATCTATTTTGCTTGCCTAAGAATTTTTGCAAGAAATGATGTTTTTAAATTATGCTTCTTAATAATTTCAGGATATTCTGAGGAGATGTATAATTCTTAGGAACTGGTTTAGTTTAGTTAAACGTTAAAAGATGAGGGAGGTCATAATCAGAAGGTTAATCGGCACAAGAGTGGTGAATAAATTCTGTCTGTATGACAGTGGATGACTTCACAGGAAAGACCCCTGACAGTAAGTGTCTGCAGCAAACTGCACTGTGTCTCCCCAAAACTCCCAGGTTGCTGCCCTAACTCTCCATGTCACCGTGTTTGGAGACAGGAATTTTAGGAGGTAAGTAGTGTTAAATGACGTCGTAAGAGTTGAGTGCTCCTCTAATTGTGGATGTCCAGTAAGAAGAGAGAGTTCTGTCTCCCTCCGTCTGAGTGCATCAAGGAAGGGCCTCGTGAGGACAAAGCCAGACCACGGCTGCCTGCAAGCCCTCCCCAGAAACTGCATCAACGGGCAGCTTGACCTTGGATTTCACAGCCTCTAGAACTGTGAGAAAATCAATCTCTATTGTGTAAGCCACCCAGTCTACAGTATTTTATTAAAACTCTCTGAGCTAAAACAACACTCACCATTTTTTTTATTTAATAAACTTTACAGCATTTGCTGTCTGCAGGACTTGATCAACATTAACTTAATAAACCTCAGAACAACCCTCTGCATTAGATACTATTATTACTCTCATTTTACAGATGAGGAAATTGAAGTCTAGGGAAATCAAGGAAGTTGACCAAGACCCCTCAACGTCAAGGTCCAGCACCCACCTTCTCCCCGTCTGCTCCTCTCCCCGGGCCCCATGGGTGTCCTCAGTTTCTCCCACGCGACTTTCATCCCTCCTCTCCCACTTTCCATCTCTCTGTGCCACATTTTCATTTTTACAATCTGTTCTTTACATCATTAATTCTCTTTCCAGCCCTCTCATCAGAAATTAAACCCATGCATTGCTTCAGAAAAAAAATCATAACTGTATTATTCATTTCCAAAAGTTCGAGCTGGTGCTTTTTCACAGTTGCCTGACCTTTCTGATGGTATCCCACTCTTCTTTTATCTTTTCAAAGGCTCCTTTTAAGTTCTTTGACTGCTCTTTTTGTATTCACCCTCTGATCATTGTATTATCAGAAGCTCGCGGGCATCTAATAGTGCCCTCCGGTTGTCCGCAGACTCCTGCTCCTGTGCTGTCTGATTTGGGACTGTGAGCTCATCTTCAGCCAGTCTATCCGCGGCCGTCCTGAACCGACTGCTGGAGGGTGCGTCTCTCCAGAAAAGTTTTGTGCCTGCTCTTGCCTGGCATCCGCAGGGATACAGTGACCTGAGTCTACTTTTTAAAATGTGTCCCCTAGGGAGTTTCTAAAAGATATAAGTGGCATAAATAAGATACTTAAACAGCAGAGGGCAAGCCAATGATCATGAATTCCCCGGGGAATATGTTTCTCACCACATGTGGAGTACAAACTGTGACAGACAAGTGTTTTTATGTCTCCTTTTGCCAGCTTTCAATCCAAAGACTTATTCTTTCACTTCTGAGGATTTTTCTTATATTATCCCTTTGATAAACTCTGCCTTTTTTTTTTTTTTTGTTCTCTCTTTCTATAACTACAAGTGTGGGATTCCTTAACCTGAGAGCCTCTCATTTTCTCTGGAGCACCGTCTGTAAGGGTGATATGCTAGTTTCTTTCACTGGAGGACCCAGGAATGCCAATACCTGGGACCTGCCCTTTGTGGCATTCAGTTTCTCCGGGTACACATGTGGTTGCCTCAGTCCTGTGAGAAGGAGGGCGCCCTGTCCGCCTCTCCACTGAGCACTCAGCCTTCAGCCCTGAAACATGCCCACCCTCTGCCCTGCCTGGGGACTTAGGACCAGAGCGTCAATGGTTCCACTTCCCTCGAAGCCTCCGATCTCCTCCGAGTGGCAGAAGAAGAGGGGCGAGGAGGACTGGCATTTTCCTCCGGCTGCCAGGAGTAAGGGAGGGCTCTAAAAATCTGGCCCCTCTCTATGTAGACCTTCACATCTTCTTGCATTTCAGCCCCATTGCTCTCGTCCAGTCTAACGACCTCCTCTTGCATTGACTCCCTTTGTCAAGGCTTCGTGTGTAAAGAAGGTCACACTGTGAGCAGCCGAGGGTTAGGTCCCCAACATGCCTGTTTTAGGAGGACACATTCGGCCCGTCACACTACAAGGGCAAGTCGCCGGCCTGTCTGGAGTGCTGCAGCGTGGCCGCTTTCTCATTCTTGTGCCTTCCTCTCCTCCCACCCACAGAGACACACGTGTGTACAGGGGCCCACACAGAGAGGGAAACACACACGCAGAAATGCACCCAGATGCACAGACACGGAGAGACAAGCATAGACACACACAGAGGTCTACACAGAGAGACACACAGATACACATGGACACACTCTGAGATACATGCAGATACACAAACACAGAGACGCACATAGACACTGACACACACAGAGACACAGGACGCACATGCTAGCATGCGTGGCACGTGACTTTCTCCAGTCTGTCTATCCCGCACTCGCCCATCCGCTTTGCCTCTGCTCTCATTCTCTCTGCTCCTCTGAGCCACAGCATTTACAACCTCCTGCAGCAATTTCAGGGGGTTCAGAGAACAAGTGGAGACTCGCTGTGGGCATTCGCTCTCCCACAGTCAACTGAGGAGCATCCAGAGCCCCATTCGCTAGGGCCCAGGGCACATTGCGGGGGGCCTTCGCTACAAAGAGGACATCCTTGCCCTGAAATGATGCCCTTTAAGACTCTACACCGCCTGCCTCGGAGCGTGGCCTGCCTGTCCCAGAAATGCCCAGTGACCCCATGGCCTGCGGCTCTTAAAGCTTGACCTAATTTCCGCCCAGCTCCTCCCCCGAGCTGATTTCTCTTTGTCCTGCAGGCTGCGCTCCGCCGCTCTGCACATTTGTGTTCCACTACTAGGAGGAGTAACCTATCACTTTAAAAGAAAAAAAAAACCACCAAGTGACCTTCCTTAGGAACGGGTTGCTAAGTGGGTGTTTCTGCTGGAGACTGGGCTGCAGCTTCCCCGGAGCCGCCGTGGGACCGCCCCAACGTTCAGCCTTTTCCTTGGCTCTGCAAGAAGATTCCACAGTAAGACCGGTCTCTCTCCACTTCCCCTTCACCCCAGAAAGCGGAATCTGCCCCGAGCCTTTGTAAAGTTTCTTAAGGTAAATCGCTTCCTCCTCCTCCTCCTTCAGGAGCAGGGCTGAAGGGGTCCTGCTCTCAGTTCCCGCCCTGGAGTTCAGCCCCTCCCCTCGGACCCTGGGCAGATGGAACAAATTGCCCAGCCAGGGGTTCGCATCACTGTTATCCACGGTTTAGTTTCTGGAATTGAAACGTGCAGCTTTATTCAGGCTGCTCTGATTAGAGCGGCCGCCTGGAGGCTGGTTTGCAGGAAGTTAAGCCGGCTCCTCAGAGCCAAACCCGCCCTGACAGTCACTCTGCATCCTGGGACACCCAGGCCAGCCTGTTGCATTCCAGTCTCCCAGACACACGGGCCCCAGGGTGTGCTTCTGGGCCTTTTAGCCCAAGTGGGTTCAAAAGACTCAGCAGTAGTTATTGCCAGCCTCCGTTTTCTTGGCACTAGACAGAGAAAGGCCCACGACAAAGGGCCAAGGATCGCTGTGAAAGCTAATAAAGCCTACTGGGAAATGCATGCACGATAGGTTATTAATTTTTCGTATAATTTCTGCAAATCCACTCAACGCCAGAATGCGGTATCCCTGTATCTCTGTCCTAGAGCTCATTTACCGGGTCATCCATTCAAACACGCATTGAATATGACAGTGCACCAGGCCACGTGCTGGAATTTGAAGTGCCCGAAAATACATCAGACCAGGTCAGAAGCTCAGGGTCTCCTCGGAAGACAGGCTGTAAACAGATACTAGTGCAATGAGAGATTTACAAAGGGGACTAAAGTACTCAGGGCCCAGCGGGACGCCTGCGGGGAGGGCCTGGGGGCTCTCCATCCTGCCAGGGCACTGGGCACCCGGCATCACAGCGCAGCTCGAGTATTTACATGTGCTCTTTGAAGGCGATAAATGCAATAGTGAACTGATTAAATGATTCCCTAAAGCTACCTGGCTGGAACACTGCCTTGGAGAATTAGGCAATGAATTCAAAAGGACACGTGTGGCACCTGCCCAGGGCTCCAGGCTCCAGCTCTAGCTGCATGACACAGAAAAGCTAAGCGCTGGCTCAGGGAAGAATCACTCTGCATGCGCGGGCCAGGGAGGCTTCAGAGGCCCCGTCAGTGGAAACAGGAGGGAGACTGCCTGGTGTTTGCTAGGCATTGACTGCCCACAGGCTGCCAGGTAACCCTCATGAGATGACCACCCATCGAGGGAGGACTATGACCACACGTTCACAGACAGAGAAATGCCTGCCTCCTCTGAGAGGCAAAGGCATTGCTCCGAGGGCGCACAGCTGGTGAATACAGCTGGAATTTGAACCCAGGTCCATATAGATTTTTGTAAAGCCCTCACTCTTTCTGTGAAACCATGTTTCCACCATCCTGGAGTAAGAAGCACAGACTGTATTTATTTTTTAAGCAGACAAAGTTGAAATGCAGACGATTCTGCTTTTTCAGATACCTTCGTTCCGGTCTCCTTACAGCCTGTTGAATTTATAACTTTCACCTTCTGAGGATAGTCCATTTGTCTAAATGAAGGTATCAGTCCTTTCCCTCAAAAATGTGTTTGGTTTTCTGTGCTGAGTTAAAGAAATCATTAACCTAAAGTAGCCAGAGCACTTTCTCACTGGGGCAATGCTCTGCAGTTTTCAGTTGTAAATATTTCCAGAATCATTGACTCGCAGAGCAGTTACTGATACCATGGAAAAAACACAAATACGTGGGGAGACAGACAGAGACGTAGAGTAGCATGAGGGAGGACTCTGGAGTAGTGTCGGGGTCAAATTCTGATTGTGACATTTAACAGTCACAATCTCAGGCAAATCGTGTGACCTGTTAGAGGTTAACCTCAGAGGACACCTTGGGTCCCTTACATGTAATGAGGCAGGTACTGCTAAGTTAGGAGTGTTGTGGTGAGACCTAGGGTTAACATGGATGTAGAGAGAGCTCAGAATAAGCCTGCAGTAAATCACAGCTCTTATTTTGATGTTGCCAATAGAAATGTATTAAGAAACACTCAATGCGTATGCTGACAAGCTGCATATTAAAGTTGGGCCATATTGATTTATATTCTCTTAGCAAGAGTGTTCATAAAAAAATAAATTTTGATGTCATTGGATTTCCTTAGAAACTCATTCAAAGGTAATGATCAGGAAAGAATGAGAAGAAAAAATCAACCCCATTACATTTTTCTCTTTCTTCCTTTCATACATAACATTTTTTAATTTATTGAAAAATCTCTTCTTGAGTCACTGAAATTTTTCACAGTTCCCTTGTTCTGGTTCGTGATGTTCAGAGTTGTTTACCAGAGCGCTTTCGTGTCCTTCAGACTTTTGTTTTCATTATCTGCCCCCTCGTGCTCGCTCAATCACCTCCTCGCCCTTTTCTTTTCGTAGCTGCTCTTCTCATCTCCCTTCCTGGGTGTTTCGCAGCCTGTGAGGAGGTCTGGGCGGGAGACAGGAGAAAGCCAGGTGCTTTATTTCTGTTTAACATGCCAGTTCCCCATTAGTGTCAGCGAAACTTTGAGCACCGTAGATGAGCAGCTTAAAGGACTGAGTCCCAGTTAAGATTTGGCTTCCAGGGATGCCAGGGAGGGCTTATGACTTGTCAGCACTTCATATTTGTCCCCATGCGCTCATTTATCCTTCATAGCAGCCCCAACGGGACAATGAAGATTTGACAGGCTCCAGAATGTTGCCGTGGAGAGATGCAGCCAATAGAGGTGTAGGCATTCATTTGAAAAGCATTTATTGAGTGTCTGTTGTGTGCCATAGTCCTGGGCTCTGGGAATGCTCCTGTCTTCTTATAGCGTATATTATAATGGAGAGTGGGCAGACAATCACAAATAAAGATGTAAGTCGACTGGGATAAGCACTATGGGAAAATAGATCATTGTAAGGTAGTTAGCGAGTTCCAGGAAGGTGAAGGCAGAAGGTTATTGCTGTATTGGGAGTGTTCATGGAAGCCCACTCCAGTAAAATGAAATTTGAACATAGTCCTGAAGGAACTGAACAAGAAAGGGAGTCACACAGATATCTTGGGAAAGAGCGTTCTATGCAGAGAGAACAGCACACGCCCAGACCCCGAGGCCAAAGGACTGGAGCACAGATCCAGTAGGTCCGAGCAGGCTATTGAAAAATGTTGGCTTTTACCCTGTTGAGAAAGGGAAGTCTTTGGAGGATTTTGCCTGGAGGAATGACAAGATCTCACTTAAATTTTGAACAATTCACTCTGATTTCAATGTAGAAAATAGTCTGTAGGTACATAAGGTGGGAATCAGAAGAAGTTAGGGGTCCTTGCATGAGGCCACGTGAGAGAGAGCGGTGCCCCACCACATTGATAACAACGGAGGCGGTAGCTGGAGGCAGCTGAATTCTCAATAGGATTGAGGGGGAAAGTTGGCAGGAATTCTGATGGGTTGTATGCAGCGTGTCCTGTGAGAGGCAGAGCAGAATCAAGAATGACGCCAAGGTTTCAGCCTGAGCAAAATGGAGTTCTGTTTATGGCCACAAGGAAGGTCCCAGGAACAGCCGGTTGGGGGTCAGGGCAAGGATCTTCATTTGCAGCACGTTAAGCCAATATCCACCTAGCACGTGGGCATTTGAGTGTGGAGTTCTGGGAACACAGACGGGCCCGGGATGTAAACTTGGAGGAGATCAGTAGGTTGATGGTATCTGAAGCCAAGCAACAGGATGAGACCCCCCCCCCCCCCCGCCCCGCCATCCCTCGGGGAATGAGCAGAGGCGAGGCTGAGCCCAGGGCACTCCCATGGGATGGTCAGGAGAAGAGGAGAAACTAGCCCAGGAGTCTGAGAAGCAGCAGCCGGTGGATGGAAGGAAAACCAGGAGAGAACATGTCCCAGAAGCGAAGTGAAGACAGTATCTCAAGGAAAAGAAAGTGATGAGTCAATTGTATTACTACACATCTCTCTGTCGGGTCAAATAAGGTGAGGACCGAGGACTGATCAGTAGATATGGTGGCACAGGCGCCATTGGCAAGAGTAGTTTGAGGAAGTGCTGAGCTCAAAACACTGGTTGGAAAGAGAGGGTTTGAGGAGTCTTCCTACAGGATTGAAAAGTTGAGCAATAATAACTAGAAGGAAACATGAAGTCCAGGGAGATTTTTTTAAAGGAAGGGGCCAGTTACAGCACTTTGTACACTGATAGCAATGAGCCAACAGAGCAGGAAGAAGTGATTGTCCAGGTGGAAGGGGGAAATTGTCCCAATCAAGATTCTGCAGGAGGGGAGGGGACGGGCCCAGGTGCGAGCAGGGACAGGTCACGGAAGCGAGTGGAAGCAGAGGAGGGGACGTGCTTCAGTGGGGAGGGAGAGGGAGACGTGCAAACCATCTTTGGTCTCATCTCTTTGCTCAGTGAAATGAGAACAAAGGTCAAGGGTCAAGAGGAGGAGTGGGAAGGGGGAGGTTTGAGGCTGTGAAATATCCTTCCAGAGCTGGGTCTTCTGACTCCGAGGGCAGGACTCCTTCCTGGTTCCCACCTGCTGCGCAGGAAAGCCGGGCTCACTGGCAGGCTAATGGGAACAAAGGGTCTGGCATCCCTCTTATTCCCCAAGGGTTCATAGCCACCAGTCCTGGGTCTGCAAGAACGTAGTTCCTGTGGACGGGATGTCTACTCGGCTCAAGCACTTCGCTAACCATGGGGGTCAGCTTCACATTTATCAGCAGTAAGAAAGGTGTTCCACTGATGCCAAAAGACTTGCCTTCTTCACTCTTTGTCTGTCAGGGAGGCGCCGTCACAGCCAGAATGGATCCCAAGGAAGAAAAAATGAAAATAATCACAGAGGTAAGTGGTTGCTTAGATACCCCCAGGATGTGCTTGTGCGGGCAGCGCACGCACAGCACACGTGTGTGTGAGACAGGAAGCAAGGCCGGCCACAAGCATTGATTGCTCGGCCACTGCACTGCATGCAGAGGGTGCTGAGTCAGGCACCTTGTGGGGAAGGGGTGGATGATGAAGGAAATGCAGCCCCACAGGCACTGCAGGGGGTTGCCTCTGCTTGTCACCTTGTTGTGAATTCTGACACACAGCAGCTCTAAGGCACCACCTGCTACTGGGTCCGACTCTGCTGAAACCCACAGGTTTCTAAGGGAATTCAGAATTAAGGTAGCAATCATAGACTAGAACCCCCAATCAAATCCTCTGTGCCTTGGCGTCCTGCAATTTCTAACCAGTTGTGCACAGACATCATTAAACGCTCTCTGGAACAGAGAAGGGAAGCTGTCTCCAGTTTGGAGTCTGTAGACCTCCGAACAGGAGAACTTGTTCCTCTCAGCCCCTGCTTCTGTCTTGGCTCCAGGGCTCCATGCCTGGAGACCACAGAGACAGAGAGGGAGACATGATGCTCTTTTCAACAGTATTTCAAAAAAACTAAAGGAATACATTACCCAGGTAAAACCGCATGACTCTCCATTTGCTTATTCATCCAGGCAACAAATATGTACTGTTCCCCTGGTCCCTGGAGATACAGCAGGGAAAAACCCTGTGCCCTCATGGAGCCTATATTCTACCTAATTTGAAGTCCTACTGTACAGCTCTTCATTGATGAAAGAGCAAATCATTATTGGGAAGCAATAAAGAACCTAGATTTCTCCCTTCTAAGCCAGTAAGAACTTAGACTTGACTTAGGAACCGTACTTGCATACCGCAGTGATCCCGACACTGTGGGTCCTCTCAGATGGTGAGCTCCTGAGCTCAGAGCGCACCCTACCTGGTGGACATCTGAAGGACAAGGTGCAAGGGAGGCTTGCACCCATAGGATGAGTCAGAAAAGAGAGAACAGTCCCGTGGACTAAAGGAAACCCCGCACCACACCTGTTCCCCGGGTCACCTCTTCTCTAACTGAAGTCCACGTCTTCTCTAACCCAGACGGCCAAGGCCATGATGTAGAATTGGATCCTAACCCAACAACCTACATCACATGCCTTTGAACTCTTACACCATTAAAATCCATGCATTGTGTTCCAAGTTTTTTCTGTATCAAAATTTTAAAATTCCCAATTTTAGAGAAAACCTCTAATAAATGTGGGGTACCAGGGAGAGGCTCTGGCTTTATCTTGCAATCACTTTTATACCCAGAGGTGCTTGCTCCCTGGTCGGAGCAACTTTAGACAAGGTTGGACGCTTGACACTCGGGAGCATTCAGCTCTGACATTTTATGAATAAAACTTTAGAAATTGCCATGTAGGAAAAGAAAACAAAGTTTGCACTGTTGGAGGATTTCTCACTTTTCAAAAAGATTTAAAGCGTTTCTTTAAATCAAAACTTCCACAATGATTTAACACGTATTGTTATATTCTCTCCCTGATAGTGAGGCCCGGGGAACAGAGAAGCCCAACCCCCGAGCCCCTGCGCGTGGTCTGAGGTTGTCCTGTGTTAGGGTCCTTCACCTGGGCCAGCCCACCGCTCCCGGGGGCACTCTTGTTAGCTGCTTCATTCGGTTGTGACTCATGAAGGCAGGGAGTACCTCTGTGCCCCCCGGAGCCTGGAACACAGTAATTGCTCAATAAACGCCCTCTGCCGGAGGAGTACCTGGGACCAGGGAAGCCCCTCCATCTTGTCCACCCGGTTTCCACTTGGAAGCAACTTGCCAAGGACATGTGTGTTTTGACAGGAGCAGATGGGGATGGCTGCTGTGGTCGCGTCCACCGACGCTTTGCTTCATGCGTGGCGGCCCCAGGACAGGACGGCGGTTTTAATTTCAGGACCTAAAAATCACCCTCCCTCCCCATCCCTCTCTTAACAGTTCTTCCCCAAGGTACACATACATACCAAGTGACCAACTCTTCCATTTGCATTTTTACAAAGGAAGTCATTGAAAATGATGAGGATGCAGGTGCAGGAAGAAAGAAGACTTCAAAGGCTCACAGGCAAAGAAGGAAGAAACAGGTAGGGTCTCCCGGGCTGTTGGTTGGCCACCCACCCACACCCACAGGGGCCACACGTCCTCCTCTGTGGGAGGCAGCGATGTGTGGACGGTCCTGGTGGAGCACCTTGTGTGGCACATGTGACACTCACAATAAGACCCCGGTCAGCATCGGGACATTTGTCCTCTAAGGTTTCCCCCTCCCCCGGGGAGAGAAGTCTAGAAATAAATGATGGAAAAGCCTGGTCTAGGTTGTCATCAGAAAGCCATCATTAACTAGGACCAACGATAGATGGCAGTGCAGGACTACAAGTCTCGGGGGCACCCCCACCCCCAACTCCAAGCCTGAATTCCACTTCAGTCCGAGAGCGGAGGCCCACTCTCCACTCCGGGGGCTGCCGGCTGTACCCCCAGCTCTCCCCTCCACTGGAGTGGCCCCCCTTAACCGGGAACGTCCGTGCAAGTGCAAGGTCAGCTTCTCAAGGTAAATAAAACCCCTCGGTAAGAGTCCTTGCCCTCTGCGGAGGGACGGTTTGTTTGGAATACTCCGAGGTGCCAGCTGGGGAAGGAGGGGACGGAAGCGCCATTTTGAGCCAGCAGCCACGAGATGGGGCCTGTGGAAGAGTAGCAGGGAAAGTGGGGAGATGGGGAGGGCACCCGAGAACCCAAGGCGGGGAAGAGACCCTCCGCCCTGTGCCTCCTCCCCAGCACGCTGCAGTTGCAGGGAGCTGGGCTTTGGAGCAGACTTCTGCTTCTGCAGCTGAGAAGGAGCCCCAGGGGAGGGCCCAGGGGATGGGAGGTGCTGCCCAGCCACGTGGCTGGTCCCTCCGGCCACTCAGAGAGCTTTAACCCCTTCCTGCAGGGAGAGCGGTGGCTCAGCAGCCAAGGGCAGGGAGACCCATGGAGGCGGCCGTGGCCCAGGGCAGATAGAAACAGGGCAAGTGCTTAGAGCAAAGGCCACACATTGAGTGAGCAGCAGCGGCCCAGGCAGCAAGCGGCAGGGGAGGGGGATGGGGGTGGGGATGGACGATAGAATCCAGTATCAGGCATCACAATCCCTAGGCATCATCTCATTAACTGAACAGGCACAAGAGCCCTGATTGCTGACCACCCAGCAGCCTTTGGGGCTTTGCAATGAATCTATGGTAATGATTCTTAACTCCAGTGACACTCCAGAATCACTTGGGGGCTTTCTTTCTTTCAGCAGATGCCTTGCTGCCCCCTACTGCCCCTCCCCAGGCCATTTTTGTAAAAGCCAGAACCTCTGCTTTGCACAATGCCCCATATGCAGCAGCATCTCAGTAAATGGGCTTCTTAATTTCCCTTCTCTTGCCGATGAAGAAGGAGGGAAGTTAGCGGTCAAACGGCCTTCCCAGCGTCCCGCAGTAAATGAGTTCAAGCCTTCCTCTGACCTAAAAGGCCATCACTCAGCTTTGGCCTCCCTGGCCACTTGCGCTCACCTGCCCACCCTCCTCTGACAGTTGGGGCAAGAAACCAGGGGCGACCCTTTGCCCTGGGTTATCAGGGGACACTACACAGCTGTTTCCAAGTGAGTTGGCGTTAGGACCAAATAGTTTGGTTGTGACTTTCCCGCTTCTCTGTCTCTCCAAACGTCTGCAGAGCTCGAGACATTATACCTCGAAGGAGTGGAAATACACACTTTATTTTGGGATGCTCTCAGAGATGCTCAGGGTGGGCACCGCCTCCCTGCAGCGTGACCCCCGTGACACAGGTAGCAGGGACCATAGTTGTCCAGATCTGAATGATGTTCAGGCCTGTCCCCCGTTCAAGTGGCCAACCTCATCCTGGGACAGGCTCTGAGCCACCTGAGCCCTGGGAGTCACAGCCTCTGCCCCTCTGCCCACAGCCACGGACCGCAGGCCCTGAGGACATGGTATCCGGGAAAGCCCACCCCAGCAGCCCGCAGGAGCTGGCGCCAGACGACCCGGACCCAGACCCTGACCCCGACACCGGCCTCCTGGGCATGGCCGCCCGCCGAGGCCCCCGCAGTGAGTGTCTCTCGGCCCAGTTCTCTGTCAGGGATGCCGAGCACTTTTTCCTGTGCTTGTTGACCATTTGTATGTGATGTTTGGAGAAATGTGTATTCTTTGCCCATTTTCTAATCAAGTTCTGTGTTTCGTTGTTAATGTTGATGAGCTATAGGAGTTCCTTCAATAGTCTGGAGAATGACCCCTTGTCAGATACAGGATTTGTATTATTTTCTCCGATTTCACAGTGTGCCTTTTCACTCTATTGATTGCGTCCTTGGATGCAGCAAACTTTTTTAATTCGGAGGTAGTCCCTTTTGTCCCTTTTTGCTTTTGTTGCCTGTGCTTTCGGTGTCATGTGCAAGAAATGACTGCCAAACTCGGTGTGATGAAGGTCTCCTCCGTGCTTTCTTCTAGGAATGTTATCATTTCAGGTCTTACGTTCAGCTCTGTAATCCATTTTGAGTTTATATTTCTCTATGGCGTCAGGTAAGGGGCCAGCTTTATTCCTTTGCACGTGGATAACAAGCTTCCCGACTCCATGTGTCGAAGAGACTGGCTTTTTCCCACTGAGAGGTCTTGGAGCCCTTGTTGAAGATCATTCAATACAAGGGTTTATTTCATGACTCTTGGTCATGAGGTTTTGAGCAATACTCAAAGCTGCCTAAGCCGTGGAAGCCTCATTTATAAAATGGGGATAATAAAAGCCTGGCTTCCTGTAGCTGTTACGGCAATGAAATCAGCTGAGATCCCAAAAGCATCCCTCAGGCGGTCTGGCACATACCCAGTAGCCTCCTCCAGCTGGAAGAAAAACTCAATGCTAAATACCTGACAAAAATAATTACCTTTCTCGAGGCTAAGACGTGGCAGGCACCATGCTAGGCTCTTTACGTGCGTCACGTTATTCTAGTCCCAGAACAGCCCCATTGTCAGGCATTGTCCCTTAAACCAGGAAGCCATGGCTCGGGGAGGACCAGCAGCTAGAGGTAGCAGAGCTGAACACCAGCTCCGGTCTGTGAAGCTCCGGAAGCCGTGCATAGATCACACCGTTCTCCACCCGCAAATCTGAACGCTGGCTGGCCTGTGACGCTAACGGTCCACGGCGGCCCACAGAGCGGACAATGGCAACGCCACAACCAGCGCTGTCCATAGGGGCTCCAGGGCCCTGCGGCGACTTTTCATACGGCAGCGAGGCCAGCTTAGGGTCTTCACAAGATTGTCAGCCTGGCTGGGCCTCATTTTTCCCCCAAAGAGTGTCACTCACGTAAGTCACACACCTGGTTCCCCCCACCCAGACTAACCCCTTCTCTAGGTGGGGTTTTTGTTTGTTTGTCTTAGCCTAGCTCCTTACCTTCCAAAAACCAGTATATACACAGGGTCCAGCAGAAGTAAGGCCTGCCTGAGTGTGGTTGGTAGGGTGATAATAGGGGTGCAATCATTTATAGTTTTAATTTGAACATTTCACTTAAAATGTCATATGGTGTGCTGGAGTGTGATATTGATAAAGATGTGCATGCTTATAATTCTGTGATAAAAGATTTTGTAATAAAAAGGGACGTGGTTTGTGCCAGACCCTGTATATCGCCCGCTTTGGGAAGTTTCCCTGTTGTCCCCATGAGGGCTGAGTAGAGCTTCTCTGTGCTCTGTGGGCTCTGTGCCCATGTGGGTATCTGGAGTCTCTTTATTATTGGTACAAGCCTCCCCTCGCCCCTGGACTGGGACTCTCTGAGGACAGAGACTGCCTCTCAGCTCTGCTCAGCACAGTGCTGGTGCACAGACGGCGCGCCACAATGCTGACCGGGTGACCCGGTGTCCCACGCTGGCCTTCCTGCGTTTGACTGGAGGCTGTGCTCTGGCTCAGGTATGCCCCCTCCTCCCCACCACCGCCTCCACTTCCACCATCCCCTCCTAACCACGTCTGCTCACCTGGGTCCAGAACGTAGACTTCCCAGGCTTCTCGTGAATCCAGCACGCCCTTCGGAGCTACCACCCAGCTCCTAACCTTGAACCTGCACCCTCTCCACGTGGCAGCATTCCTTCAGGGCTCCAAGAGTTGTCAAGGTCAGACAGCGTACAGACGCTCCGACGCCAGCCCCCTGGTTATATGCCTCCCCCAGGCACTGGCCGCGGGCCCAGACGTACCACCTCCCTGATTAACAGCAGCACAAATCTATGCAGGGAACACTTCGTCTTCTAATTTGCTATTCAAACATATACATAGTCAGGACATTCCAAACAAAGAAAGCGCTGCACTGAACAGGCACTAGTTCCAAATCAAATACACATCTAGACCAAAAGCCCACACGTTCCCCCTGATCCCAATCGCACCCCCTCTTCAGGGAATAACTATCAAATGCTAAGTGGTTTCTCATGGACATACATTTCTTCCTTACTGACATCTGTTTTCCGTTCATTCGTGTGAGTTTCTCTGATTAAAGCACTTCAGAGGCAATCTCTCAGTATTGATTGAAAAGGAAGTTGGGAACCCGCTGAAATTCGATGCAAACGAAAGGAAATAGATCGTTTAGTTTGGGCATGCTTTCTAAAAGCCATCGGGGCCTGGAAAGACTGACCCAGGAAGCACCTGGCAAAGGGACAGGGTGAGACAGACACGGGAACCGCCCCGGGGAGCGCGGCCTGGGAAGTTCTCGGAGCCTTGCAGCTGCTGAAGGGGAAGAATGTTCTAGTCAGACGACACATCTTGGGGAAGGCAGGAACGCCAGGAAGTTCTCCTCCGGTGGAGACATTAGCTCACATGGTGCTGAGAGACAAGTATAAGTAAATAGTACACTGTATTCTACGATATGTTTTATCTTCTGAATATTATGATCTGACGTCTTAAGAAGGGAAAAAAAAACCCTTCCTGGCTGGGGAGAGGCTAGCTCCTCCTCAAAGACGACCAAGGGCCCGGCAGAAGCTGGCTGGGCTCTCAGGCTGACCGACGCGGGGCCCAGCCCGCACCCCGCACCGGGCCCGCACGCAGCCAGCAGCCGCCCTCCGTCTGTGCCATCCAGGCCGCCCGCACCTTGGAGCCCGCCCAGCTACTCAGCCCGGCCAGGCCACACTGCTCTCCCGCCCCGCCCCGCCCCGCCCCGCCCCGCCCCGGCTGTGCCTCCGCAACCCCGCCGGGGGAGGGGCCTCAGTACCCCGACTCCTGCCCTCCGCCGCCTGACCCCCGGGGTCTCCCCTCGAGGCGGCCCTCGGAGGGCGGCCCTGTGGGCGGTTCCGGGACCTGGGAGGGTAACGCACTTTGCACCCCAGGCCTCTCTGTCTCCTCTGGGGCCGCACCTGACTGACCGTCTCATAAAAGAGCACAAGGAATACAAAACATACACAATGTTATTATTAGTTGTAAGGAAAGGCATTTTCCCAAAAACTCCTTTACAGCAAAATCCCCCCCAAGTCATTGTCTCCATTCTTGTCTACAGCCTTGAACACACCGCCATCTAACTCACCTCCCCGCTCCCCATCAAAATTGTCCACGAAGGCCCACTTGCTCAATTCAGTAATCAGCTCTAAGCTTTTGCCTTACTCTCAGCGGCATTTGCTGACCTCTCCGCTCCCACCTCCTCTGTACTTTCCTTCTGGACTCTTCTTTCCTGCCTGGACGTCTCCATCACTGCTGTACCTCAAGTCCTTGTTCGTCTGTGGTCAATTTTCAGACACATTTTACTCAACCGAAACTGAGCTGCTGATCTTCTCTCCACCGCAACTTGTTCCTCCTACTGTTCTCCCCATCTCATTAAACAGATATTTTAGTTTTCCTACTGCTTGGGTCAAAAACTTGGAGTCAGCCCTGTCTGGTGTGGTTCAGTGGATTGAGGGCTGGCCTGAGAACCAAAGGGTCGCCAGTTCAATTCCCAGCTTAGGGCACATGCTGGGTTGCTGACCAGGTCCCTGGTAGAGGGCGCATGAGAGGCAACCACACACTGATGCTTCTCTCCCTTCCCCTCTCTAAAAATAAATAAATAAAATCTTAAAAAATAATAAAATGAAGTATATACAGTGAAATTTTTTTTAAAACTTGGAGTCATTTTTCATTCCTGTCTTTCTATATGCCAGCATCTAGTCTGTCAGTAAGTCCTGTTTGCCCTACCTTTAGGATAGATCTAAAATATGACCGCTTCTCACCATCTCCACCACTACCAGCCTGATCCAAGCCTCCTTGAACTCTCGTCTAGGGAACTGAAGCACTCTAGGTCTCCTCGCTTCCGTTCCCAACCCCCATTCTCAACCCAGCAGCCAGAGTGGTCTTAGGAAAACAAAGTCACGTCACTCTGTTCAAACCCTCCAGTGGCTCTCGGTTGACTGGGCGTTAAAGCCAGATTCTGCAAGGTGACGTGCACCTACTCAGTTTGTCTCCCCCTTACCTCTAGGACTCGATAACCTAGCATCCCACCTCCCATCCCCTCCATTCCCCTTTCTGCTCTGGCCTCACATGGCGCATGGCCCTTTCTCAGTCTTGGCACCTGCGGCTGAAATGCTTGTCCCCCAGCCGCCCTCGTGGCTTGATCTCTCCTTCGCTTGTTCCAACCTCACCTGGAAGCCCTCGCTTGGCCCCTCGACTTAAAAATACAACACACCCCCTCCCTCCCGGCTCTCCTTATCCTCATTCCTGCTCTGTTGGTCCTCCTACTACCTCTACACCACTGACATACTAAAATATCCTACTGTTTATGGTCCATCTTCCCTGCCCCCGGCAAATACACTCCATGAAGGCAGGGGCATTTGTTTGTTTTGTTCACTGTTCTATCCCTCATGCCTTGTACACATAATAAATATTTGTCAGTTGAATCCTTGAAAAGTGGAAAAGAGAGTCTCTAACCTAGCACTTTGGGGAAAATACTGGTATTCTGCCAGAGATAAACTCTTTCTAGAATATTCCAGCTTCAGAAGCTTTACATATCATTTCCCCTCTTGGAAATTCTCGAGGTTTGTCCTGAGATCACCCCCTGGTTTGCTGCTGCCTCTCACTCAGTTCTGCGCCCTCCCTGTGTTTCTCGGCCCTGCCCAAGGCCTCACCCAAGGCCCAGGCCTGGTAGGCCCAAGGCTGTAGCTGTCTGTCTCAGAGAAGCCAAGACATGTGCTAATGACGTCAAGTAGGTCGCTTTCAGCATTATTTCACTCGCATATGCAAAGTTCTAAATTTGCAAAGTAAACTTACGTTCCCTTGTTAGTTTTTCATTTAATCTGCCCTTTAGGGGAAAAAAAATATTGGTTTAAACTTATTTTCTTATATTTTTTCAGGCTTGCCTCCAATCCCGTCAGCTTCCAGGACAGGCTTTGCAGAATTTTCCGTGAGAGAGCGCATGCGGGAGAAATTGCAGGCCGCGAGGGTGAGCAGACCCCATGGCTACTTTGTTCAATGCTGCCGGCAGTTCCTCGGGCCTTGTCCTTAGCTTGTTTTGTGTGTTCACAGCTGTGTGGATTTGAGCACTGTGAAATGTTTTTTCACGTTTTAAATGTGAATGTAGTATTTAGCAGTGGTGCAGATAAAAATTATGCTTAAGGGGAATTTAATGCCGTTTTTCTAAACCGCTTCACTTGCTCTCCTGCCTTGAAGAGGTAACGTGTATCTCTTACAGACTGTACTCCACCGAGACAGTGACTGTGGTTTTCATTGCATTACTGACCCAATGTAGCAGTAACTTGCTGTTTGATTTTTTAGTCCAAAGCAGAAAGTGCGTTGCTCCAGGAAATCCCCACGCCTCGGCCCAGGCGCTTAAGGAGTCCCAGCGAGAAGCACCTAGAGACTGAATTTGGCACGGAGGTGAGAAATGGGCCACCATCTCTGCTTTATGTTCAAAGACAGCAAGACAGGGTCTATAGTTTACAACAAAAGTTCTAGGGCAGAGCTATGCCCAGAGCAGGTGTTAAACCCTTATTAATAATTCTAATAACTACTATTTATAGAGTGCCACTCAGTGCCAGATGCTTGGCCAAGTCTTGTTCCCATGTAATGACATGTTATCACTCCAACACCCCTAGGGGGTAGGTGCTGTTTTTTTCACTTGCATTTGACAGATGAGCAAACCAAGGTTCACTGCAGCTGCAAAGCCGTCCCCAGGTCATGCAGCATGTAGGTAGAAGAGCCAGGATTTGATCCCAGCTCTTTCTCATTCCCAGTCTGTCTCATGCGCCAGAGTTGCTGGATCAATCCATGGATCTTTCTGGGAAACAGCAAGAGAGAAGAGCAGGATCAGAGGGTTGAATGTTTCACTAAGGAGCCTCGATGGTTTTCTACAAGTCGTGGGAAGCTACCGATGATAGGATGGGAACGTGGTTTGAATGCACAGAAGTGATTGTTGTTCAAATCTGAGGTGCTGGTGGGGCATCTCAATGTGTGTGCTCTTCTAAAGAGGTCTAGAGAGGGAGAGTCCAGGCCCAGAGAAACAGATTTAGGAAGCATTTCTACTGTGGTGAATGTTGAAGGCTTGAGAACGCCTTTGTTTCCTGGCGGATAGAAGACTGGCAGAGGAGGGTCTTGACATTGGAGAAAAACTTATAGTAGAGACCTACGAGACAAAGAGGGGGCCAGTCAAAGACAGAAAGACTTGTCAGGAATATGGATGAAGGACAAGCATGTAAGGGGGCAGAAGAAGGAACAACAGCAAATGGCTCAATGAAGTGTTTGCAAGTCTGGTCCAACTGTTCGTTGTTGGTGATGATGATGGTGTTGGTGGTTTTTCAACACTAAGACGAAGCAGCACAGGCTTTGGGAGTATTTCTGCCACTTCACGCCTCATCTCAAAGCAATGATGCTTTTTCTTTTTTTATGATGAGATGCTGTAAAAATTTAATCTCTATCCATCCAAACAAGCCGACGATGGCATGATCATAAGGAAAGTCGCAGCCAGGCTCATCTGTTGTGGCCCATGCTCCTTAAGCAGGAACACTCCGTGGGGCCAATGAAATGGCTTGATAACAATTTGCTACTGTGCTCTACCAGGAAACTTTCCTTTTTCTTTCATTCCAATTGATTTTTCCTTTAACAGCCACAATTTTAAGATATTAGAAAAGTTAGAAAAACTACCTAAAATCCTATCAGCTCGGGACAAGACACTTCAATTATATTGTAGGTGGGTGAGTCTCAATTTCTGGCCAAGTAGGTTAAGTGATAGGAGGATCTGATCTCATATCTGGTCTTGTCTATACCATATGATTGATAATCAGCTCTTACTTGTCCATTGGCCATGAATATGATGTCCCAAATAAAGCTGGAAGTTTTAGAAATAAACATACTCCTTTGGCTTACAAGGTATTTATTTCTCCTTGAGAATAAGACCCGGACTCATGTAACTATTATATTCCCTATCCCCTAAGAACAATTCCATGGATATGAGGCAAACATCAACTGCCTTGTCTTTAGATCAGATCTCAGGTTCCTAATGGAACATCTCACTCATAAACATACTTCTTTATATATATACCTCAACCAGAAGGGATATCTAAAACGTGGTCCATTTCCGTCTTGTTTTGCAAAGAGTATATCACACAAAGAATCCATATGCTGGACCTCAGCTGTCTAGCGTTAAATGCTGGCAAGCTCACTCAGTAGCTGTGTGACCTTGGACATGTGACCAACTGACTCTGTGGACCCCACTTCCCACCTCTGTATAATATATAATAGGGATACTACCAGAACCTAATTCTCGGTATTTTATCAAGGATTCAGTGAGTTCCCACATGTTACAGCATTTCAAATAGTGCCTGGCATACAGCAAGCCCTCTCTCTAGAAGCATTAGCTAACGTTAGAGGCTGTAGAGTCAGAGAGAAAAGCAGAGACCAGTTGGGAATACTTCAGTCCATCATCCAAGTTCACCAACACAGGCCTGTGCTTACTCTCTTTTGCGTTTCTTTTCAGTTTGTTCTCAGTAACTTCTGATAAAAGAACAAAGCCGAACACAAATCTCCAAGACCACATAAACATCAAGGTGCAGATAACACAGCACAATTGAACATTGGGCTCCACGAGACAGAGCCAAAATTTCTCTCTTTGTGGGCCTGGTTCAATGTCCCAGGTTACTCAAGATCGGATCCTCCGACACACTCTACCTGTTGTCCAGCCAGCATATATGGGAGACTCCTGCCAGGTGTCCAGTGGGCTCTGAACTCACAGTGGTGGCAGCAAGAGCCCTTGCGGAGCCTGGGGGGATGACGCCATGCTAACAGACAATGAAGGTACAGGGCCGTTGAGTTCTGTGGTGGCCGCTAGGTGGAGAAGCTGGGTTCCAGAAGGGGTGGATTTGAAAAGCGATAAAGACAAGGTGGGAACAGCACCTGGTGGATTATGAGAGGGGAGAAAAGACACCCACAATGAGAATTAGTACATCAAGCCAGTACAGACAGAAGGCTCCGCTTCTAGTGGAGACAACAGATCCCAAGGCCCACGAGAAAGACAGGCCATGTGCCATGAAGCGTGTATGTCGGACTTATTTACAATCAGACATTATCGATACTTTTCTTCATAGAGTGTTTGGAAAGGGTCCTCTGCGAAGGATGATCTATTGATCTGTAGGAGAAACAACACTTTTCATTTTAGGATTCATCGAGTATAAAATTTTATGTCTGTTTTGTCCTGAGAGACAGACTCACAAGATAAGCCTTTTGGCGGTTAACGCTTGTTTCATAACATCCTTAGTTTCTTGACTTAATGGTGTATGTACCTTTTTTTTTACTCATCTAGCCAAGTAGAGGGGTACAAAGGACTCCACAAGAAGATGACTCCCAAACTTACGCAAGAGTAAAGTTCCGTGATTCTCTACGAAAAATCAAGTCTAAACCCCCGGTGAGAAATCGTGTCTTTTTAAATCATGCCTGTTTTCAATCATGCATACTTTAAATCATACTTTTTGTTACTTTGTCAGTTTTTCAAAAAATCCAATGAGAGGCGATGATATGTATGACCTGACTCTTATTGCTGTGGAGTATGCAAGATAAAAGTATGAGAAATAATTCCTACGTTCAAAATCCTAGAATCATGCTCTGGAGAGATTAGAATGCCTGATTTGGGGCAGGGAAATGCAGGGAAGGGCAGGAAACGCTGGTGGTAAGACTGTCTTCAGCTCTGAAGTTGCGTGCGCCAACTTTCAACGTGGGAAACAAGGGAGATTCTAACTCATGCGGGGGAAAAAACCGGAAATAAAGGTCTTTAGAAAAAGAAAGGTTAACGAAAGGTTAGCAATATGAGTATTGCTCATAACTAACACTATTTCAGCATTGGCCTATAAAACAATGAATCCACTCTTGGGCATTTTAATCATCCTTCCTAAAGCTTTTACTGCTATCCGTAATACCGTCGTGCTTGTGGGAGTGTAAATCATTGCTGGTTTATAAAAAGTAAATCGTTAAAGATACTTATTAAAAGAGGGCACCAACTGTCTGTTGCAGTTGTCACAACTCATTGCTGGCAATCTCGTACCTCCAACAAAGGTAACACGCTTCCAAGGCCTCGCATGTGCCCAACGCCCGCAGCACCAGCCTGCTGTCGGTGAGCTGCGCGGTGGAGCTCATTCCAGCCCGTAAAATCTGAAATCCTGCTGCTCTCTGCTTCTCCTTAGGTCCCGCCCGGCTTCCCGTCTGCCGAAGAAGCCTATAACTTCTTTACTTTCAACTTTGATCCTGAACCAGAGGAATCAGAGGAAAAACCAAAAGGAAAAAGCAGAGATGGAGCTAACCAAGAGGAAGAGGAAGGAGAGGAAGAAGAGCCACCTGCGCAAGGAGTAAACAAAACGGTATTTACTGTTATGACGGTAACACGGAGCAGGGGGTTGATGTTCATGACTGACAATGGTGATGATGATAATGCTGCTGCTGATGATACCCTAGCCAGGAAGAAACGTGGCTGAAGACAAACCTGCCACCCCCACGCAGGACAGCTCATCCATGTCTTAGCTGAAAGTAAAGGGGTTCACGTTACTTTCTGTGGCCTTTGATTTCACCCCACTGAGGAGTGAGGGCCTTGAATGAAACCTTCCCATCTTTCTTTGGTGGAGGAAAACAAAAATCAGAACAATGTGGTGTGCAGATTTTTCTTGCTAAACTCCACACAATGATTAGTATTCATTTCACATGCAAAACGATGACCTTTGCCTGGCAAATGAAAGCTCACCCTTTCCTCCCACACCCTTACAGGCAGGCAGTTTGCTGTGCCCGTGCCACACCCCAGCTGCAACTCAGGGTCCATAATCGTGCGTGGTATGCGTGAGAGGAGAGAAAACATGCCCGTAAGAGCGTTGCAAAGGGCTTCATAGACAAATCTCCAAAGAAGATATTCAAATGGCTAAAAAAGGACAGGAAATAGCAAGTGTTGGCAGAATGTGAAGGTATTGGACGCTTATGCATTGTTGATAGGAACATAAAGGGGTGTAACTGCAGTGAAAAACAGTCGCATGGTTCCTCAAAAATATAAGTGTGGAGCTGCCGTATGACCCGGCCATCCCCCTTCTGGGGAGCCACCCAAAAGCGTCGGTAATGGGTCTGTAGACAGGTATTTGCACACCCGTGTTCATTGGAGCATGATTCACGCCAGCCAAAAGGTAGAAGCGACCCAGGTGTCCCTCAACAGATAAATGGGTAAACAGAACCCGGTATAGACACACAATGGAGCATTGTATTTACCATTAAAAAGGAAGGAAATTGTGACTCATGCTACAACACAGATGACACTTGAAGACATTATGCTAAGTGGAATAAGCCAGTTACAAAAGAACCAATATTGTGGGATTCCGTCACATGAGGTCCCTAGAGTTGTCAAATTCACAGGGGCAGAAGGTAGAAGGGTGGGTGCCAGGGACCGGGAGCAGGTGGGGATAAGCAGGCATCATTTAAGGGGGCAGAGTTTCAGTTGGGGAAGATAAAGAGTTTTGGGTGATGGTGCTGATGATGGTAGAACAATGTGAATGTACTTGATGCCACAGATCCACACTTAAATGTGATTCAAAGAGTTCGTTTTGTTACTTATATTTACCACGCTAAAAAATAAAAAGGAAAACACACGAGGACGTTTCAGAATTGGCACAGTTCCCCTATTTCTGTGCTTAACTTTTAATCGCTTCCCTTGAAAAATGCCTCTCAGAAATGCAATTTCTTACCTAGGTCTACGAAAGCTTGGGGATATTTCAATTTGTTCTATATAATAATTGTTTCACAAATCAGTAGTTAGCTTCTTCCGGTTCTGGATCTCTTGTGAGGTTGCAGACAAGGTGGCCCCGGCTGCTGTCATCTCAAGGCTCGGCAAAGTCGGGGAGGCTGGCTTCCAGGCGGCCCCGTCCCCTGCCCGGCAAATGCTGGCTTTTGGTGGGAGGCCTCCGTTCAGACCTCCCTGTAAAACTGCTTGGACGTTCTCATGACACGAGCGCTGGTTTCCCCCGAAGCCAGTGATCTGAGAGAAAGCAAAGGGGAAGCCACGGAGCCTTTTATGAAGGTACATGCTGTCTGTCACTCACTAGCTGGAGGTCACTAAGAACAGCCCTCACAGAAAAGGGACGAGAACCCACAGCTTCAGCAGGCAGGGCTGTCAACAAACTCATGGGCTTCTTCTGAAATCATAACTCTTCTCTCCAAAAGCCACCTCTCTTTCCTTTTACATTTTCTCCCGTGAAATCTGTGTCTGGAAAACCACGCTTTGAAATCAATGGTGCTTCAAAGCCCTTCCCTGTAGTCTGTGCTCAGGCCCGGCCAGACCGTGTTTTAGAATTTTCTTCCTCAAAGTGGAGTTAGTCTTTCTGGCGGAAGTTGTAGAGCATCGAGAGCGTCCTTTTTCTAGCTTCCTTTTTCTGTTTTTGTCTGCAGATGTGCCTCAATCTCTGTGCTTTTGCTCATAATAAAGCAGAGATGGGGCAGGAGCAAGAAAAACCACATGCTGATACTCAGGGGGTTCCTCTTTTTCCTTTTTTGAGGAGTTTGGCTTTCTCTGTCTTCAGGTTACGTTGAGAACTCGGCTACCACGCAGATTTACTTTTCCATTTGTACTGTTTTGTGTGTTTGGGGAGGGAAGGTGAAGAGGCGCGTAGCTAGGCTGCCACCAGTGTCTCAGCTACCTGTAGGTCTCCACGGGACTTTAAAGGGTGTTGCTCTTAAAGACCACCAGGCTTAAGTTTTAAAAAGAAGCAGGAGGAAGTAAGAGGGAAAAGAAGAGGAAGAGAGAGAAAGAGAAGAAATAAAAGGCGAAAACGTTCAGAAAGTCCTCAATTAAACAAAATGAACATGCTTCGGCTAATATTTATAATTACAGGTCTGTGCTTAAAATGTTCACATGTGTCATTTAATTCTATCCTCGCAAAATCCTAAGAGGTCATCTCTGTTCATGTCCCCATTTTACAACCAAGGAAGCCGAGGATCGGGAGAGCAGATAAGCCCCCTGAAGTCACCAGGCCACATGGGGCACAGCTGGGGCTGGGATCCCAGCCCAGGCAGGCAGAGCAGGGCGCGGACCCTCTGCCTGGTGCCTGGTGCGTTTGCCTGGGGTGGGTATCATGTGGAAGCTTAAACTGCTGCGTAACGTATGAACCCACGTTCTTTAAATAAATGTCAATAAGTAAACCCCCTCCGTGGAGGCCAGAGTGTTGAGGTTTCCGTTGCTTAGCACATCTCCTCTGCTTTCAGCGCATTCTGATTTTGACATTGTCCATGTATGGGGAATCATGAAAAACAAAGAAAATCTGCTTGGTAAATATGAAAGGCCACGTAGTCTAATGCTTTAGTAGTTACAGAATAGCCATGGGGATGTAAAGTACAGTATAGGAAATGGAGTAGCCAAAGAACTTATACGCTTGACCCATGGACGTGAACAATGGTGGGGGGATGGCCTGAGGCAGCAGGGGGTGCTGGGCAGAGGGGGCAAACGGGGGAAAATCAGGACAACCGTAATAATGCAATCAATAAAATATAATTTTAAAAAAATGGAAAGAAAAGGTAATTTTATTGTAGGGTATGTTGTTTGACAAGTTTAATATTAATGATTATTTTTTCTTTGTAAGCTAATCACCTGAGCATGATTTTTTTTATTGCTATTTCTTTTTTTTACATTAAGTAATTTTTTAAAGATTTTATTTATTTATTTTTAGAGAGAAGAGAAGGGAGGGAGAAAGAGGGGGAGAGAAACATCAATGTATGGTTGCCTCTCGCATGCCCCCTACTGGGGACCTGGCCCACAACCCAGGCATAATCCCTGACTGGGAATCGAACTGGCGACTCTTGTTCATAAGCCGGCACTCAATCCACTGAGCCACACCAGCCAGGACTCATTGTTATTTCTTAACATAATGCAGGATGAGGAGGAGCTGCTTCATGGCAAAGATGCTGAGGATTTCCTGTTGGGCTTAGATCACACGGCTGAAGACCTCGTAGCTGTCAGGCCTGCTGATTACGACAGCGCCCATGTTCGGCTACAGAAGGAGAAGGAACTCCTGTTCACGCCCAGGAGCCTGCCAGGTACTGGCTCCTGCAATCTTCCTGCTCACCTGCATGTTCCCCCCAGCGAAAAAAGGCAGGCGTCTACAGATGCCCGGCATCCATCTCTGATCCCAATTTCTAATCTGATTTACTAATCAAGAAATATCTTCACACACACATATGCGCGCACACGCACACACACAAAGTAGAACATGGAAAAAGATCCACTGAACGATCGCTTACTGACAGAAGAGCAGAAGAAATCCCAGGGTGCGATGGGGTCCCCTCCATCACATTTCTGAGCGGCTCCGGGCACTCAGATGCAGGATATAAAAAAGAACAATTGTTTCGTCCTCTCCTCACACTCAGTGCTCCTAGGAGACGTCTAGGACCAGATGTGTGGGTTTTTTCCTGCACCAACCAATTCTCCCATACCAGCCAGGTGCGCTACAATTAGATCCTGGTCTATCTTCCAGGGGTTAGAGCAGACCCCAGGCATTAAGGACTCGGCCCAAGAGACTACCCACTTCCTTAGACCGCAGTTGCCAAGGTTACACACACTTACCCGCAGCTTTGCTACAAATCAGGTGTCCCCACAACTCCCTCCCTCTTCAGGTTCCATAATTTGATATAATAGCACATCAAGCTCAGAGAAATACTTATATTGACTGGTGTACTATAGAGTAGAGGATGTGACAGAGTGTACAGGTGAAGAGATGCCGAGGGCAAGGTGTGCGGGAAGGCCCTTGGAGCGTCTGCACCCTCTCTGGGCGCTGCACCCTCCCAGCACCCCCACCCATTCACCAACCCAGGAGCTCCCCAAACCCCTGCAGTTAGAATTGTCGTGCAGTGTCGGTATGTACACAGAGCTGATTAAACCTCTGCCATTGCTGATGAATCCATTCAATCTCTAGTCCCTCTGTCCCGCCTTTTTCCCAGAGGTAGGAGTGGAGGGGCAGGGAAGTAAAAGCCCCAACCCTCTCCTCACTTGGTTGGCTTCCTGGCCACCAGCACGTCTGAGACTACCATTGAGGAGTCATCACATTAGCATATAAAAGGATGGACAGTTATCACTTTGGAGATTCGAGGGTTTGAGCTTGCTGTGCCTGTGGGAGGCAGGCTGCTGGGGGCCGCTTGAGGTAGGGGAGTGGCCAGGGTCCTGGAGCAGCCGGTGTGGGAACTCTCCCTCCGGAGTGCTCTTTGCTTCCTTTCTGCCCTGGGTCTCCCCTAACTCCTTTCTCCCTTGGAATTTCCTTTCCTTTAGACACACCTGGGGGACCTCCCCAGCTCTAGGAGCTCACACTTCAAATGGCAGGGCAGCCTGAGTCCCCTCAGACAGTCCCGGTCAGGCCGGGGAGGGGACTGTGCTTATCTCACTTGGAAGTCAAATTTCTTTCCTTTTGTCGCATCCTATCCGAGCTCCAGGTAAATGCTGAGTCAGGGATAAATGATAGGTTGTTTTGGATCACCTGTGTTCAAAGTATTGGAATTTGTTGGACATCTGGAGTTTCCTTTAAAAGTAGTGACTGGCAAAAGTTTCCAAAGATTGTAACTTTGTAATAATAACAATAATAGCGAACACTTTCTGTGCACTTACTTCACCAGGTATTTTTCTAAGCATTTCATATATATCAACTAATGGGGCCCCACCACAGGGCTGGAGAGATGTTGCTTTTCATGCTCATGTTACAGACGCCGTAGAAGCACAGCGAAGTCGGGGAGCTGGCCCCAGACGGGGAAGCTGCGGAGGAAGGGCGGCAGGTCTCTGAGCCGGTGGCGTGCCTCAGAGGCCACACACCTAGCCCCACGGGCCCTCATGCTTCGTGGGGACAGGGAGACCTGCATTGCCTGCAGCCTCGGCCAAAGAGGAGCTTTGTCCCTTGTGTGTTTGCTCAAAGGACTCACTGTTAGGCCTCTCCCCAGAAATCCCCCCGCCCCCGCCCGGCTGGGATGGAGGTTAGACTGCAAGACCGGCTCAGAGAGGACCTGAAAGTCGGAGGTGGTGGGGGTCCGGGAAGAGGATCAGGGAGGCCTGGCTGCATTGCGGCTGCTCTGAGCAGGAAACAGAGCACGGGTCCCTCTTCTGCTTTGCTCTGATCTACAGGGAGCACCCTGTGTCCCCATGGCCAAACGAACAAGTCTCGGGGCCACCCATAGATCCAGCTCTTCCTTCGTGAGCCGTGATCTTGAGCGAGTTCCTCTAATTCTTGCGTGCCTCCCTGAAGATGGGAGGAAATGAAGCTATCCTATTAGACGGCTCTGGGCCTGTGTTTTAATTGTGACCATCAAGGAAATGATACCAGTCATGTGCCCAAGTGGCTGCTGGCACATAGGAGGAGATCCACAGTAGTAACTCCTGGTACTGGGGCTGTTGTTCTCGCCACTGTTTAGAGAACTGTTTCCAAAGTAGAGTGTCTTCGCCCCAGAGAGTGAATGGGGGAATGGGAAACAGAAAGAGACTAAAACTGCGTTTGCCCCCGTTTTCTGTGGCACGGAGATTGGTTTCTCCAGGAATACCGGCCTGAGTTGTTTTCTGTGGGTGGCTTTGGGATAGCGAGTGTCCAATGGAAAATTTGCGGGTTCATGCATTTCACATGGTTTAGAGTGAAATCATTATGAAACAAAAACAAGTCTCAACTTTTGATAATTAATTCCCAGATGACACCTCCCCCCTTTCCCCCAGGCCAGTGTCTGCAGGCTCCTCCTCTTCCGCCCCCTCGGCCACAGCGGCTGGGTCAGCTCCTTGTTTGTGTTTTTTCAGTTTCCTGGGGGAAGGGTCAGATTTCTTCCATTCGGGAAAGAGTTCCTTTTAGGGAACACGCCCTTTGACCCACGCACCCTTTGAGGTCCCCACCCACCTGGAGACAATTGTAATAGGATTGTGGTACCATTTGTTTAGGCTAAAATCTTCCTTCTGTCCTTTTAGTATCAGTCATGAACCCCACGTCTTAAATTTCTTTAAATCTTTTTACTTTTTCATTACAGTTGACATTCACTATTATCTTAGTACCAGGTGTCTCATTAGAATGAAAAATCTGCTGGGGACACCCCAGCGCGGAGGCCTCGGGGGCCCCACTCATTGAACTGACCCCGGCTCCCCTGGGACCTGCAAGGTCCCTGGCTCCCCCCTGCCCATGCAGAACCTTCTCTCCAGGCACGGCCCCTGCTCCCCACACCCCGCATGCTGGGCGTTCCTCTGTCCCCAAACACCGGCAGCTCTCAGTTCAGGCTGTCCCCTGGTGCGGAGACACTGGCTCCCTCTTCCTGCTCTGCCTTCAGGTGCCTGCCTTCCTTCACTGCTCTGTCTTGAGTTTATAACCCGCCCCCCGCCCCGCCATGTATTTTCTTCACCGCACTTACAACCCTCTGAAATGGTCTCCCTCTTGGTTTCCTGGTGCTGCCTGATGCCCCCACAGACTCCATGGTGCCTCCTGAGCAAGGGGCACAGGGAAGCTGTCCGCAAAGAGTTGTTCTGTGAACGAACCAAGGACAGGGCAGGGGAAGGAATGAGGTAATGGTTACTTACTCAAATACAAAGCATTTTAACTTACCAAGCAGTTCCTCATACTTCCCCTCATTGAATGCCCCCCAGCACCCAGTGAAGCAGATGCTATCACCCCTTCTGTGCAGAAGGGAGGCGCTGCAGGCGCGCCTGCCCCTGCTCCTTCTGCTGGCCGGCGGCCAAACTGGAGCTTTGGTTTGAATGCCAGGCTCCCCAGTCTGCATGCACACCGGTCACTTAGGTATTGGATTTTTTCATCACCCTACAACAAGATGAGGCAAGTCAACACATTCATTTCTCCTGAGTTCTGCTTCTAGAAATTAATTTGGAAAAATGTGCATTTTTCCAAGAACAGGAACGAGATCTCCAGGGAAGTGCAGTTTGCAGCGCTAGGCAGCACTAACGGCGCTGTGTTTGTGTGTGAACTCCGCAGTGCCCACGTACAAAAAGCTTCCCGAGAACGCGCAGCCCAGGTTCCTGGAGGACGAAGGCCTCTACGCCGGCACCAGGCCAGAGGTGCCACGCTCCGTGCAGAACACCGTGGAGGACAGGCTGCTCACGCAGGACCCCGTAAGCACGCAGGCCTGTGCCGTGGGCAGGCGGTGCCCGAGTGACACGGGGCTCCTCCCGTTTCCTGCCGGGGCAGTCATCACGCCCTCGGACTCACTTCCCCCTGAGGGTGTCGACACACAGCCGGCCAGCTTGTTTACGTTTCAGGTCTAGCGATCCTGAAACAGCAGAACCTCTCACTGCTCAAACCGGCTTCTGCCGGCGGATTGAGGCAAATGCTGAATCAGTGTTGGCAACCTTTTCCCCATTCACAGAAAGGGTTAAGGGTCCAAAGATAAAAAGGTTCTCAATTGTTTTTCTCCCCTGCCTTTTTCTCTTCAATTTTTTAATGAATAGAATATAAGATTTTCCATAGCCATCATTTAAGCTTTTTCTTAAGCTTTTTTTTTTCCCTGCCAGGGACCAGGGGTGAGGACCCTATCTTAAATTAATTGTGGGGGGCATTAGTGCAGACCCCACTTCTAAAGCAAACAGAGGCTTTAGAAGATCTACCGGGGAAGGGGGGAAGGACGTGAGAGGTATATGTTAACATAAAACTTCCCCATAAACACTGTTTATGTTGTAAACCATCTCTGTCCAGTTAGAAGAAAACGTCCTTCCCTCTGCTTCGTCCCCAGGACAGAAAGTGGTTCGGAGATGACGGCAGAATCCTAGCCCTGCCAAACCCCATCAAGCCGTTCCCTTCAAGGCCCCCAACGCTGACCCAGGAACAAGGCGTTAAGGCAGAACTTGAAACGCTGTATAAAAAGGTAAACCCTCCTCCTATATGTCGCACTTCGCTTGAAAGCGCTCTGCTCCTTGCATAGCTTGCAGTGCTGAATGTGTAACATTCGACCTTGATTTATTCTTCAAATAATTCACTATCTTACATGTAACGAACGAACAAACAGCAGACACGTTTACAGGTGAGGCTTCTGGGCTCCCCTAATCCCTTCTTCAACAAGGGGGGAGTAGACCAGGGAGGAATGGCTGAGTCAGTGTCTTCATTCGCATACCCAGGTTAGTTGCCCTTATTTTTCTTCTCTTCTTTCTCTCATCTTACGGACACCGCAAGGTGACTTCCCACTCGCTGTCTCTTCATTATATAACTAGAGGTTCTCTGTCCTTGCAAATCTTTTTTATTGTGTTTCCCAAAGCTGTGGCGCCTTGCCATCTGATTTGAGTCCTGGCACTAAACTCATCTGGAGGGAGAACCTGGCCCTGGGTTTCTCTGCCACAATTTCTTCACTTGTAAAGTGAGCATGATAATAGCATCTATCTCCTAGAATTGCTGTGCAGATTGGTTGGGATAATTCATTTAAGGGCTAAGAACAGAGCTCACTCAGTAAGTGCTGCCTAGTGTGTTGTATAGACGGAGTCTTCAGGTATAACTATAAATCTGTAACATTTAGGCACTGATAAAATAAAACAGAATGAGAGGATTTAATGATCGTTCTCTAAAGTGGGTAATGAACAGAGAAGACACAGGCTCAAGTCAAAGAATCTGCATGGAGTCAGCAGTTCTATTTAACAAGCTTGTGGCTTTGGGCGGGTCCCTGTACCTCTCTGGACCAGTGTCCCAGATTGAAAAATGATAATCTTCCCTAACTCACAGGATCGTTGTGGGTATTGAGATAAAGTGTATGTGCACCGCTTTTTCAAACTGTGAATTTTTATAAAACATTGTTAATTAGAGACAAGTGTTGATGCGTGTCTACTTCGGGCAGAAATGAGATCCTGGGAATAGATTACAAAACAAGCATAAACCCAAGTTCCAGTCCATGAGGGATTTATCATTGATTCGTTTGCATGACAAAGACACATGATATAATTAGTGATCAAGACAGTATCAACTTATACATCTATCTAATAATCCATCAGTCTATCTCTTCATCTATCCATCCAACATACAACACAGATATAATGAAGCACTAAATTATGGGTTACAATTAGAAAATAGAAAAATAATTACTGTGGGGAGTGGGGTATTGGAACCAATTAATCTTATCTGTCTCCTTGAGAAGGTCTGAACTAATGAGAAGTGCACAGGATCCGGAGGGGGACGCAGGTCCCAGGTGCACTCAGGGTAACGTTGGACGGCAGAACGCCACCTGGAACCAACACCAGACAGTCTAGCTGCTCCACCTGCCCTCAGTTATGTTCCCCACCTGACAGGCTGAGTGGCTAGAGAACCGCCCGTGAGCGCAGACGTGGAGTACGGAGGGGACCACAGGGCCAGTGGGCAGGCTCCCCAGGACAGAGCGAAGAGGGGGCAGCCAGCGGCCACCAGTCACTTTGCCCAGCAGAGGACCTGGACCAGTGGGTCTTGGGGTCTCCCTGCCTTGCCAATCAGACACATTCTTCTTTCTGTCTAGCCCGTGAGGATGGCAGACGGGGAGAGAGGCACAGAGGGCTCCCTCCCAGTAGTTTTGAGAGGGGAGATCTTCCTACCTTGCGGACAGAAATGAGAAAGTGGAGGAAGGGAACTGTCCCACCCGGAGGGCTGGTTGTCCAGCATCCCAGAGCGAAGGGAGCTAAGGAAATGAGCGATCCACAGGGGCCGCTGTCTTCCAAGGTCATTCCTTACAGGGCAGGCTTTGAACATGGCAAAGTATGAAGAATGCATTGGAGTGTTTAAGAAAGAAGCATGGCGTTTAAATCTGAGGGAAGTGGTATTACATCTCTCTCTCTCTCTATTTCTCCAAAACAAGTTACCTATTAAGTTTACTCTTGACTTGTATATCTGTCTTTTTAAAAAAAAAAAAAAAATGTGGTTATGGTGTCTTCCAGTGATTCAAAACACAATGCATTTCTTTCAGAATTAATGTTTTTATGATTTTATTTATTTACTAACTTTTACTGTTTGTTACATTTATTCAGGTCTGTCTCCTGTCAAAACCCATGTTTTTCTGGAGTTTTGATATGATGCAGAAGCAGAGAAATGAATAGGCAGAGATTGTTCCCTTCATAATTCTTAATCCATCTTCCTTCTCTCTCCTTTACGCCCCTGAGAGCGACTTAGGGTCAAAACCTGGGTCTAACTGTTCTCCTAACCCTCACACCCAGCAGGAAGCCTGACTCTGCAATCCAAGTGGGAATTGAATATCGGAAATAGACTTCACTGAGCTGACCATATCCAGAAGAAATTCCTTCTTTTCTATTCCTCCTCTCAGCTATCTCTGTCCTGCAAAACAGTAGCTTCCTAGGGCCTGGATTAATCCTGGCGTTCAAGAGATGGAAAACCAGCAGGCTAGGTCAGGAGGTGGGAATTCTTTGGACCCTTAGTGGAGCCTTGATGAATTTATGCCGCAGAGCTCTCGCGTCCAATACTAAGCAAACCCAGCAGGACTGACGGAAGCCCAGCCCCCCCGTTAGAGTCAAGCCTGGTTGTTTTTGGTTAAAAATACTCGACTGCTAATTCAAATGATAAACTGCGTGCACTCCAATTAGATCACTTAAGTGTTTTATTTGAAACAGAGTTGATATTCAGCCTTACCTCTTTGAACATTTTTCTAAATTACAGAGGGAAGGAAAAAGTTTTTAAAAGCGAAATATTCTGCTGTTCCTAAATTGAAATCCTTTTTTAGAGACCATTAAAGATTTAACAAAGGCAAAAAGAGGTTAGATATTGTGCAAGGAACAAAATTAAGCCGGAAAGGGGAAAGAATGCAACTTAATAACTCCTTAGAAGGAACTAATCCAAGGATAAAAAAACAAAAACGAGACATGGCAGGTAAAAGACAAGCAATATAAAATTCAGCTTGTCTAATCATGACAGCACAATAGGGCTAGAACTGTCGAAAGCAGTCCACACAGCCTCCCTCCTCCCGCCCTCCTCCTTTTCCTCCTCCTTTCTCTCCTTCACATTGTGTTCTTTCCATCCTTACCTGAAAGTCTACACAGCACAACTATGTCCTTAGTTGTGCTAAACTCTGGAAGTACAGGGGCAGGAGCATTCAAACATGGCGGCAGGGAGGCTTTGTCCGTAGTGTGAGAGGCTGCAATGTCTAGTGTTAAAGGCACTGTGATTAGAGGCCAGCCTGGCATTGCTGGAGGTATATGTGTAGGAGCCTCCTCTTTCCAAAACTGCTTACAAATGTGGGGATCTGGGGATAAATCATTAAACTGAAGGAGGGCTTTTAGGAGCCGGGGCCTCAGGCTCTGGGACCAGGGACCCAGTGCTAACAGGTCTCTATCCATCTCTCTTTTCTCTGGTTCTCCTTAAAGTTGGCTGGTTTCATGCTCTCCTGTCTCAGGGGGAGGCCAGAGTTCTCCATGTGTGAGGGAACATGACCTTCACAACCTAAGCTTAGCAACTCCAGAGGAAAAGCATCCTATTTCCCCCCAGGTTCACGTCATGAATACCAAGGACAAACTGGTCAGTTGTAAGTTGAACATATGCCCACCCCCTTCATAGCCTGGAGATGTGGCCAGGAGCTGGAGACTGAGAAAGATTCCCTGGAAAAACCAGAACAATGGCTATAGAATCTACTGCAGCTCTGGGCTGGATTCAGACTCTGTTGCTCCTATTTTCCCAGAGAAAATAGGAAAATGTAAATGATTATTCTTTATCTGCACAACTTTAATTTTTTCTTCTCCATTGGCATGCATCTCCGCACACGCTGAGAATGTCAGCAGATGATTCATATACACCATCTCTAGTGCATGCCAATGGATAACTTTGGTTTTCAGTTTCCAGTAAAAGACTGAAGGATGAGATTGATTTCAAAACTAAAATACTATGCCCTATAAATGGTATTTATTCTTGGGAGAAACTGTAGCTACTGTTTTCATGATAGTTCTCAATACACATGTATAAACAGATACAACAAGAAGACCAGGGGGTCCTTCTCTCCAACAGGAAGAGAATTGGGGTCTTTTGAGCAGTCTTACCCAGTGACCACCAAGAGCCCCGGAAGCTATTTTTACCTGATTGAGCTGAGCTTCAGGCAGTGACCACCAATAATTATCAGAACATGGGCTACTGCAGATTTGGTGAAGGAGACACAAAATAAAGGTGCCCCAGGTAACATTTCAAGTAATTAAAACGGCGTTGCCAACGGCAGTTCCTCCCCGAGAGGAGTGCAAGACGGAACCTGAGAGCCGCACCCTGAGGGATCGCCTTACCCAGCGGTAAAAGGGAGGCCCGGGCAAGACCCAGCAAGAGCAGGGCAAAGACGGAGGAGCAATGTTTTGTTGTGCATGTCTTTGTGAGCTGGGAATTTTTTAAGCAACCCAGGGAGTCCGGGCGATCGTGCGACACACAGCGACCGCATACAGATTAAAAACTTATAACCTGAATGCAGGTTATAATTGAATCCTTTTACCGGAATAAAAGGAAAAAAACGGGCCTTCCTGTTGCCATCTGAAGTGTAAGGATTTTATTGAGCAGATCTATGGCTATTGACGGCAACATACTCTGCTACGTTTATAATATACAAATTATTGGTAGAATATTATCCCTGTTGGATGGTCTTTCTGTCTGATAAATCCAAATGGAGATTAAATTCAGCATATGTCGGAAGACAAGGGCTGAGACACGGTCAGCCCTTTCCTGCTCAAGCCTGCCATGTTTGTAAAAACATCCCGGTTTACAACGACTTTTTTTTTTTTTAAACAAAAAAACCTGATAGTCTTTCATTAGAGACAGACTCAATGCTATTTTATAGGAGAAAACTTGTTGTTTAATTAAAATAAATGCAGGATACATCCTATTGAAGTCTTGCAGAAAATCATAAGTCCTAAATATACATTAATAGTCTACTAATCTAGGGGCGAAGGCAAAGTATGACATTAAATAGCTAAAAAAGAAATAAACTCATGTATTTTTACCAGTACAAAGCAGCCAACAGCACAACTCATGATACATTTACTGGTAAATAAAGACCTGTATGTATATGCTTTGCTGTAAATGCAAATACCAGTGCTATTTTGATGGCTAAGAATAATTGAAAAGCAGATCACACTGTGTAACTAATGTGAGTACATTTCTGTATATATTTACATGCATCTACATACATATACACATATACAATCTGGACCTCCCTTTTCTGTTCTTAGTCTGATAGGGGACAATATTAGAATCGTATGATCATAGGCTTCTAGGGTCCTCTCTTCTGGGATCCCAGCCTACCTCTGCACATCCCAGGCCTTATCCTTCCTGCCTCATGTGACAAAGACCAGATCTCAATCGTCCCTCTGACTCAATGGCTGCTTGAAGACTGGCCCGCTGCATTGCAGACGACCATCCATCTGCGTGGGATAAACGAGATGGTCCATGTGAACGAGCGATGTGAGGCCTCATGACCTACGAAGTGTGTGTCCGCAGCCTCCCATTTCTACAGAGGAAGAAATGGAGGCTCCAGGCTGTGTAGCGACCGACCGAGGCTCCAGAGCAAGTTCAAGTCAGAGCGAGAGGCTCCAAGGCTTCTCACCCCGTTCGGCATCTTCCCATGATACCATGAAGAGGGATTAAACAAAGGGATTAGTGGACATTACCCCCAATTGATGAAGGATAGACACTTCCATTCTCACTAGAGTTTGTGCAACTTCCATTTAACCTCAGAACTTATAAGTAATATGTTTATATTGTATTATATATGTATTATATATCTGGAAATATTGTCATTTTCCAGATAACATAAGTACCTTCCAAAAGCTCCATTCTGCAAAAAGAGAGGATCAAGTAATATGTTTCAAAGCTCACAATCCTGATCACAGTCAATATCCACATAAAAATGAAGACGCAAAATCAGAAAGGTCTCCCCACCTTGGAGCTCCCAACCTTAAAACCTAGATTCCCTCAAAAGCAGCAGTGATCGATGTGGCATATGTGAAAGATTTTATGATGTAAAAACAGAGATTTGTCTGACACTCTATATGCCAGTTCATCCAGGAAAGTCCCCAGGGAAATGTCCATTTCTGCTTTCCACACACTCAGTTTCTCTCTATCCCTCCTCCACGGTCACTTTGTGCATGAAGACTGTAACTATGACCCCAGTGATGATCAGTTTGGACAAAAATCTATGCTTCTCTTGTTAAAAGAATGTCAGGGCCATCAGCTACAAAACACAAGGAACAGGAGAGTCTGCAGGACAAGTATTAGGACTGACCCGGGAGGAAAAAATCCAAAAGACTGGAAACAAGATTACAATGGCTTCCTTTCTCACTCTTGTCTTTCATTTTACCTTTCAAGTGTTCAGAAAAGACCAGACCCATAAAACCTCCAGGAAATAGGAAACAGAGCCTCCTGGCTTGACCTCGTAGGAGGTATTTTGCATCCTACTGTCTTCCCATTGCTTGTTAGTGCATTACCTCATAAGTGCTGTAACTGTGTTCCTATATACTCTGCTCTCTTTGGCAGGCGGTCAGATATGTGCACAGAAGTCAACATATGATTGGATCTGGAGACCCTCCTGGAAATTTCCAACTGGACATTGATATTTCAGGGTTAATCTTCACTCATCATCCCTGTTTTAGCCGGGAGCATGTTTTGGCAGCCAGGCTGGCCCAGTTATATGACCAGTACCTTGCAAGACGCCAGAGGAACAAGGCGAAATTTCTCACCGATAAGGTACATTCTTCCACACTTATTACTGGTGGGGTTGGCTCTTCTGATGAACCCAAACAACAGAAGTACTTCCAGTGGCAAACACTCATGGGCCTCTTTCACGTGGTCCCTCTTTCTAGGACGTGAGATATGTTGTCATACCTAGAGGCAAAAGGAAGGGTATGGCAATGTACTTGAATGTGGGCGAATTCAGGGGCACACACTAGGCTTAAAGAAAAAGATTTGTGCCAACAGTGCACATGGTCTCACCTATCAGGGATGGGTGTTAGATGGAAGCTACTTGGCTGTGCCTTGCTTGTGTGACCCCAGATACTGAGATTGTTCAAGGCTTAAGAATCTCTCTGTCCTTAGAGACCTTCTCATTTTTATATGTAATCTCCCATAACGTGGTACCTAAACACATGCCAGTTGTTTCAACTGATGCTCAAAGAAATTGCCATCTGTTTTGAATTGGTTTCCAGTGTAATACTATCCCGTGGAATTTTCATAGAAAATTTTGACTATAGGCAATTTTAGTCTTATACCCTGACTTACATCTTAGTGCCCCCAAAAGGAGATGACTCCATGATACCTCTTTTTATGAGTCTCTATTTTATGATCTCTTCACATCACAAGAACACCACTGTATGTCAAACACCCAGAAAGGTCCACTTTTAGTCTTGAAAGAAACCTTGTTCCTGAGACACACAAACAAAAGTAATATTTCTCGTGAGCAGCTCAGTTATCTGGCCCACAGAACAAGGACGGACATGCAATGTTTTTTGTATTCCTTTTTTTATTTTCTTTAAAAATAGAAGGAACAGTTCTTCATCAAAGTTCATGTTGGTGAAAACCTGGGGACAGCCGAATGCTTGGACATCCACTCACAGGACAGGTCCTCTGGGTCACTTAGTGGGTGGATCATTTCGTTGGTAGGTCCAGGCACTCTAATTGCAGCTGGGAGGAGAATGTCTAATTCAAAACTTGTGTCCATATCTTTTTAAGCTCCAAGCTCTAAGAAATGCTGTTCAGACAGGCCTTGATCCAGCAACAACTCAAAAGTCTGTTGATTTAACCCAAAAAGCCATCAATGGGTATAAATCTGAAATTCGGTGAGTCAAGTCTGTAACTTCTGCTTTTCTTTTCCTGTTTGATACATACTTGTTGAGAGCTTTTTTCCCAGAGTTTTTCTGAATACACTCAATGCATGTGAAATTAAGCCAAAAGAAGCAATGAGATAGATCCATCATGTTAACGCCAAATTTGAAAGCCAACAAAAGAATGAGGATGTAGGATGTTGTAACTCGTACACTCTGCTGATGTAAACGAATGTTGTTACAGCCTCCACTTCAGGGAATAACCTGGCCATAGACAAGAAAAATGTTGAAATGCCGGTTGGCTAGGACTCAGCACTTCCGCTTCAGACGTGTGCAATCCAAGAAACCCCGTGCACCGTTTACAAAATCAGAAACCAGAAATAACCTTAGAGCCATGAACACATCTGCGGGAGTCTTACGCTGAATGCAGTCCGCAGTCGAAATCACTAGATTAGATCTGCATGTATCACTATGGTAACACAAGGTTGAATGTAAAAATCCAGGAGCAAGAGGACACTAGCTGTGTGATACAGAAACCTACAGAACACCTGAGACGGTACTCATCTATATTAGGTACATACAGGCAGCACACATGGATGGAAGAGGCACACGCCAGCTAGTAAATGATAGGAACCAGGATTTAAACCTGGGCAATCTGGTTCCAACGTCTGTGCCCCTAACGACACACTTACTGCTCCTCAGGGGGAATGCTTCTTGTTCTAGTTCACTGCTTTCCTGCTTTTCCAAGGTCTTCAGAGAGTCCCAAACCTTGGCTACCCAACTGCTAATGGGCTGCCATCTTCCGCCCTCTTCCTTCTCCACAGCCACCGGTCCAATGAGTGGATACCTAGCCCTCTGTGCATCTCTGTGCCATCCACAGACTCAGTCATTACAAATCCATCCTCCAGGTTCAGGCCTTCCTCCTGGAGTTCAGGGGGCACTTATTCATGAAAACTACCTCCAGTTGCCTGAGATACTCTCTTAGGCAAACCTCACATTGTATGTAGTAGTCGTTTGTCTGTCTCCCGTGCTAAACCTTTGAGGACAGACACTTTCTGTCTCCTAGATGCTTTCAAATTCCTTGGCCTGACACCTGGTACTTGCACAAAAAAAAATAAATTGTCTAATTTATTAATGAATGACATAATAGAATATATTTGGGTTCTGGACTGGGCTGTTGTTCATGGAGAGGGCTTAACGTAAGGCACTAGATAATTGCCAAACCCTTTAAGTAGTGGGAATGAAAATGGAAGCATTTCCAACAATGTCTCTTCCAAGGTGGCCAAAAATACTGTTACTCCAGTTAGCTCTAAAAACTTGGCAAGGCATACAGCAACATGCCTTCGTCTCCTAACGGGAAAACCTGTGATTTGTGTTAACAGAGACTTGAATATATTTGTTGTTAATTGGGACGGCAACATACTCTGCTACGTTTATAATAATTTAGCCCATGAGAACTGCGTTAACTGAGCCCTTTATTTTTATAGAGTCCATGGTGGCGATTTAAGAGTACTTTGTTATTAACAATAATTCTAAAAGGTAATTTAGTTACATTGAAGTCAGATTTACCTAGCGAAAACAAAATCAAATAACCTCGCAAAACAGATCGACATCCTATTGTCTTCAAATTTGCATTCGTATTTTTGGTTTCCTAGTGCTTAAGAAATATTGTAGCTCTTAAATTAAATATACAATCACTATACCATTATTCATTGCTTTAATTTGCAAACACACCTAAATACTTTGTAATATTTATATATACCCACCTATTATATCTTGTAGGCAAACAAGAAAACTCCGTGACGCTGAACAAGAAAAAGATCGAACGTTGCTTAAGACCATCATAAAAGTTTGGAAAGAAATGAAGTCCCTTCGAGAGTTCCAGCGGTTTACAAATACACCTTTGAAACTTGTTTTGAGAAAGTAGGCTTTTTTTCAAAAAATTTTTTATTGGGTCATATCATGCATAGAGAAAAACATATAAAACATGGATACAGTTTTAAAAAAATCATTACAAAAAAATACTTACAAATGAACGACCGTGAAACCACTTACCAGGTTAAGAAATAGAACCTGGAGGCCCCCACATTCCAACCCCAATAATATCCCCTTCCCCACTAAAGTGACCATATTCTGGGCTTCTGTGATCAGTGTTTCCTTACTTTTATTTATAGCTTTGTCATCGATGTATAATCCCCAGGAACATATATTCGTTGACTTTTCCATAAATAAAAGTATATAGTGTGTATTCTTTAATGAATACACACTTGTTTTTTTTTCTTCAATACTATGTGAGATTCAGCTACATTATGGCACATAGCTATAGTTTATTTGCTCTATGATTCTTCATTATATGAATATTACAAAATTCATCCATTTTACCTGTTGGTAGACTGTGGAGTTGACTCCATTTTTCAACTGTTACAAACAGCACTTCTGTAGAAACGTTTGTATACATGTCTTTTAGGGGGTGCCTAAGTTTTCCAGAAGTATACCTGGAAGTGGAATTGTCAGGTCCTAAGAGAAGCAGTTCACCAGATATTTGCAGGCTGCCTCCAAACATCTTTCCAGAGTGGCTGAGCCATCTACACTCTGACCGGTGACCTGTAGGCCCATGTCACCCATGTGACCTTTATTGCCTGGTCTTGTCAAACATGAACATTGCGCCAGTCTGAGGATAGCATGTTCTAATTTTTGTTTCCCATACATGGATTGGCCATTTTGATTTCTTCTTTTATGAAGTGTCTGTTCAAGGCTTGTGTCGATTTTTGAACTGGATGTTTGGTCTTTTTATCTTTTTCATGATTTGGAGGAGTTCGGCTGCATGCAGGTAGCCTCTCCCATCTGAACTTGCCTTTTTACTCTCTTTTTGCTGCTTTTTGATGAATAGAAATCCTTAATTGTAAAAAGAATATATTACTCTTTTCGTTTATGATTGGTGCCTTCTGTATCGGCTGAAGAAGCCCTCTCCCGAATCATGCAGATAGCCTATACGGTCCACATATTGTCCCCTACAGTCTTTACAGCTTGATCTTTCACATCCACCTCTACTCCACCTGGAATTAGCCTGGGCACGGTGTGGAGACAGGGTGCCTTCATAGCATTGTGCTTACTATGCCTCAGGCACTAGACGTGGATACGTGATTAACAACGATTAGCAACGATCACAGCAGAACTGTGTTGTGGTGTCGATGCAAGAGCATCTCTGTTGGTGTTGGTCCCTTCCTGATAGTTTCTTCTGAATATTAGTTGTGCCCGTACACCAACATGAAAAGTGACAAGTGTGGGCAATTAGTTGACGCATTGCTTTGAAAGCAGCCATGCTTTAGCCAAAGAGAGCTGCGAATTGTGGTTTTAGGGGGTTGTGATCATCACAAGGCTGAGAAAACGTCCCACAGTGTCCAGGACAAATGTAAGTCTGGGCTCTTTGAGGTCAGGGACCTTGTTGCCATTAGATATCTGGTCCCCAACAGAGCACCTGCCCTTTAATGTCCGCTCATTTAATGTTAGTTAATGGAAAACAAATTCAAATACTTTCTCTCACAGAAACCATGGATGTTGCCTGGAAATGCCAGTGTTTCTACTTCTAAATTCCATGTCCCAAGCTATTCTCCGATCTCGAAGCAAAACATAAATATTTGCAAGATTGTTTCCTTCCTTCCTGCCTGCCTGCCTGCCTGCCTTCCTTCCTTCCTTTTTTCCTAAGCTTAGGATAAACTAAAACTTATAGGACATTTATTCTTTGGGTTACCTTCAGGTTACAAAATCTCTTTCTGTGGCACTTGAGGCCCCTTCCCCAGTAAGTGCTGTTTCCTAAATTCATTTGGAGTGCCTTGTGTTCACTTTCTTAGTTCATCTAGCCACCTCAAGATACAATGCCATTTTTTTTCCTGCACAAGTATCAGACTTCCCGCCGGCGTCTTCATGTTTCTGAATAACAAGGAGCAAAGCGAACGCTTTCGTCTCTATCAGAGGTGGAACTAAATTTCTGAGCCAGATTCCCCCAATGTTTATAAATGTCAGGTGCCCCTGTGCTTCCAAAGTGATTTCTGAGGTAGAACGCTGGAAATCGGTGGGCCTCTGTGTTTTGGGGACTGCTAATTGTTAAACCACCAGGCCACACATGTACACAGCAAATATTTGTCCGCTCTAGGCACTTGACTAAGTTTATCTAAAAGGGATGAGGGACATGCAGGGACCAGGCCACACCGACCTGACCTAACCACATTAGGAGATAAACACAGGCAATGAGTGGCAACAGGTCCAAGTGCCGGGGAAGGCGCCGGGGGTGACGTGTTGGGCAGGCGTGACGGCCCTCCCCCTCCGAAAGAGTCACACAGCCATTGCCATATAAAGGGCTCTGCAAGGATGAGCAAGGGACCTCCCATGCTGGTTTAACCTCAGGGAGATTAGGCCCCAGTGCCTTTTTTGTAGGGCATCTCCCAGAACTATGGTTCTACAGAACACATCTCGGGAAGCCCTGCTTTGGGTTGAGCCAAACTCCTGGCAGAGTGTCAGCAGGATCCTCAAAGAAAAACTCAAATCGTCAATCCAAAGTCAAAAACTGGTTTTAGGGACTTGGCAGCAACATGACGAAGTGGATCCTCAGAGACCTGAAGAATAAAATAACCACAGTGACATTTCTGCCACTATAGGTTGAAGATTTACGGGCACTGTGTCAGTGTGCCACCCGGGCCATTTAACTCAGAGTGACATTGTTGCTTAGCAGCAGACAGAATACGAGTTGAGCCCGTATTCCAGCCCTTCCGCCACCACCTGTGTGTCCTTGGGCAAGTCACTTAACCTCTCTGTGCCTCGGCCTCTTCATGTATAAAATGTGGACAAGTCTTTACTTCACCAGGTTGTGAGCTAACACGTACTGGACAGGTATTTGCGGTTGTTATTACTCTATTACTCAATTTCAAGAAATAACCAAGGTACTATAAATTATTTTAAAGGGAAAAAGTGGACCAGAAAGCAGACGAAGAAGCATATGAAGCTGAAATTCAGGCTGAAGTAAGTGAATTGTTGGAAGAACACTCACAAGAGTACGAGCAGAGGATGGAGGAGTACAGGGCTGCGTATCAGCAGTGGAAAGCCTGGAAGAAAGCCCAGGTTTGTGCGTAGTGGCTCAGCCCTGAACTGGGCTGACCTTGGGGAGGGTTAGGGCCCGGCAGGCAGCCAGTGAGACAGAAGGAGGGAAACTGGGCACGCAGATGGGGGTCCCTGCTGGCTCTGCTCTGTCTCCCTCCCTGTCCCCTTGCTAAGGGACAAAAGAATGAGTGGATAAACTGGCTAAGGAATGTACTTCTGTAAAAAGCCACCGTACTAGCTGAAACCAGAGCCAGTATTTTTCCATAGATAGCTCCCTGGTATCACTCTGTGGCTATTTGAGTGAAGAAACAAGTAATAACAGTAATTGCTCAAGCATTTTACATACATTATTCCATCTAATGTAGAGCATTGATGCTTCCAGTCTCCTTCTGCAAACTACCTAACTTTGTACGCACGGCATGCAAAATTGAACCCAAGAGCAATAAGGAATATATGAGGGTGACCTGCAATGCCAGTTGTGTTCACAGCCTTCCCATGATTTCAAGACGTGTCCTTGGCCTTGAGAACTTACATTAGTGATCAAATGAAGCGCTCGTGTGTTTTAAGGGGCAGGCATGTCGATAAGTGCTTTGCAGGCATTGCCCTGCATCATCAACCCTGGAAGGAGTTTCCTATGATGGCCTTCGTTTTGTAGCTGAGAAAACGGAGCCTCGGAGCGGTGGGCTGGCCTAGTAAGCTGCCGGAGTGCGCCCGGCTGGCCGAGGTGGTGCTGGCTTTGCATCGAGTCCCTCTGATTCGGAAGGCTGCCTTCTTAAATGAAATGCCAGCCCTTCTGTTTGACATAAGGTTGCCTCTTACCCAACAGAGAGCCAAGAAAAAGAAAAAGAAACAAGCAGTCGAAGAACACCCTGAGGAAGAGGTGGAGGAGCCAGATCCTGGAGAGGATCCTGTGAAACCCGTCCCCCCCGAGCCCGTCAGCAGGGCGGCGCTGGAGCAGCAGGTGCGGGAGAGAGCAGCCCGCAGCCGGAGGAGGCCTGGGGAGCCGACTCTGGTTCCAGAGCTGAGCCTGGCAGGGAGCGTGACACCCAACGACCAGTGTCCCAGGTGAGGTTGACATGCGACAGCCAGACCTACTCGTGCACATGAGCACACGTCCCTGCACGCTGTATGGAGTCCGCATCTTCTGTAGGTCTCCTGACCGAAACCATACAATCAAGAGCACCATTTACTCTCTGTAAAGGTATATTTGGTTAAAGCACATGAAATTGCCGATCTTTGTCCGTATTTTGGTGATTCCATGTAGTTCACCTACCTAATTAATTAGCGTGTCCTGCTGGCTTCCCAGGAGCCTGTTACGAGAAGCTGACTGTAGGGGGCGCGCTTCACAGGTGCTGCGCGCATGGCTTTTGATTTGGAACCTTTATCTTGAACCTCAGTGTGTGTTTTCTGTCCACTGGGAGCACAACCCCGCCCCGCCCCTGCCCCCGCCCCCCGCACAGACACCCAGGTCTCTCCTCAGCCCTTGATATCAGCTTGCATAGCTTCCCGGCGGGGCTGTGGGTATCTAAGCCGGGCCATCTGATGCCTGCCCCCCAGAGCTGATAGAAATGCGCTTCCAGTCGTTAGTATGTGGTGCCTGAAACAGAACTGGTCAGGAGCTTCACTTTATGTATATAAATCTATGCATGTAATAAATTTCTAGACACACATGTGTATATTCATCCTCTTTTAAAAGTTATCTTTAATTTAATATTTTTAAATTTCCTATTTACTTCTTTGCTACGTCTTGGAGAGATGGTTCTCAAAGTGTAACTCCAGGACCAGCAGCATCAACATCACTGGAGAACTTGCTAAAAGTGCAAATTCTTGGATCCCACTGAGACCTGCTGAAGCAGAAACTCTGGGGCAGGGCCCAGAAAACTGTGTTTTCACAAGGTTTCTGGTGACTCTGATGCATGTCATAATCTAGTTCAGGGAACCCATTAAAATAGTCGATACCACCAGATCCCAGCTAAATTCTCCAGTAAATAAAGACCTATGAGGACCCCAGGGAATTGTCAATATTCCACCACAGAAAGTGAGAACTCAGCCAAGTCAGTCATCTCCAGAGATAGTGAGGAAACAGTGGTTAATTAGGATGCCATTATCAGATTTCCTACAACCTCCTTAAAACTTCTGTTACTTTATTAATAGTTTATTTTTAAATTGTAGCTTCTTATGCATTTTTGTGTGTTCTCTCAACTTCATAGCCTTCAAACATATACAAACTATTCTCCCACACTAAATTAGCTATTCTGAAGCCATGAATAGTACGCCATATAATTTTGTAATGAACATTTAAAATGTATGATTACACAGCATGTTTTTTCCCCAGTTTCATCAAGAAATAATTGGCACACACCACTGTGCAAGTGGAAGGCACACGGCGTAATGGTTTGATTTACATATATTGCGAAGTGATTCCCACAAGAGGTGCAGCCAACATCAATCATCTCGTACAGATACAAGGAAAAGGAAAGACACAAGAAAAAAGGAAAACATTTTCCTTGTGATAAGACCTCTTAGGACTGACTCTCTCACCAACATTCCTGTGTCTCACACAGCCATACACAGCACATTTTGTAAAGGGAACACTTGGTATTGGTTTGACAGTTTTTTATGCTGAGTCCCATTTTGACTGAGGCTTTGTACCTCCATCCTAAGTTTCTGAGCTTTTCACTGGGACTTGGGGCCATCGTCCAGGTCACCCCACACCAGTGATGGTCGTCAACTCTAATCATCAGGCCATCCGGTAAGGGGGCCATGCCAAAGAAGGGGCGGGGGCGTCAGGTCTGTTTGTAGCATGAAGTTACTGGGGCTATGACTTAAAACGACTCTGAGCAGAGTCTTTGGTCTCGGGTACTTCTTGAGATTTAGTGCTGTGTCCTTTATAGAAAAAAAATGCCCAAGTCATTTGAGCAATTCCATGAAGCGGATGAGCCTGAATTACAGAGATATGAAAAGTTAAAACTACCACCCAATTTCTATATGGGATGATGAAAATGTTCTGCAGGATAGTGGCGATGCCTACACAAAATTGTGGCGGTGCACAATGCCACTGAATTGCACACTGAAAATAGTTAAAATGCGAAGTGTTATGTGCTGCGTGTGTCACCAAATTATTGAAGAGCAAAACTACCACTCAGAAAACGCTTGAGTGTGTTTGGAATTTATATGCTCAGAAATTTCTCTCTCCTTAACAAGCTTGACTTGCTATTGACTGAAGCAGTAACTGGAGTTTTTGCTGGGCATCTCTGCGCCTGCACCCAATAAAATTAAAAGCCACTCTTGGAGGTTTGGGTTTGTTTTTTTTTTAACTTCCTGGCTTTTAGAATAATATACTTTACACAATACCTGTTCCTGGGGTTCAAATGACCTTTTAAAAATAAAGGACATTTCTCAATCCCCTGCATCCAGTGAGCAGTCACTCACCATCAGAAAGTGTAAAAATAAAGCTTAAATCTTAGAGAGGCAGATTTGACCTAACTGCTACCATGTGCTATTGTATTTTTAGGATAAAATGTCCTACCCAAATATAAATCACTACTGCCCCTCATGGTTTGAATTCTCCACATTTAACAGGCAGCATGTTTCTGTTTACTTAAAACTTGGGGATGCAAGTGTAAGGCTCGTTTGAACACAATTAAGGAAACTGTTGTACAGTGATGCTTGGACCACAGTTCTTAAATTCTCTGCAGCCTCGTCAGTGCCCCTACTCCATATTCCAACCCTTTATTACCTTGACCTCTGGAAGACAGGCGTGATCTTGGCTCAGGGAGCGCTAACCTGACCGGCCGAGTGGCCCCCAGCGCACCCTGTCCTGTTCAGTGCCCGCCTGCTGGGCCCTCCAGTTACTCTCAGCCATCCAATGACAGACTCACCTGCCAGCCGTCTCCTTCTGCAGGGTGGAGGTCTTACGAAGGGAAGATGTCAAGAGGCGCTCCGTGTACCTAAAGGTGATCTTCAACGGCAAGGAGGTGTCCAGGACCGAAGGTCGGCCACTCGGGGCAGACTTCCGAGTTCACTTTGGACAGATTTTCAATTTGCAAATAGTCAACTGGCCGGAGAGTTTAACACTACAGGTACGCATTTTAATGAGAGTCACCATCCCAAGAATATTTGGACCTTTGCAGGTGCGAGATGGTTTGAAATCTCCCATGGGCTAGGCCAGTGTCCCGATAGATCCAAGGGCAACAGAAGGTCAGCCTGCTCCCAGAAATGTCTGTTCGTGAGGCCTTGGCAGAAGGAGGTCTGCTGCCCAAATTCACCTCCTCAGCATGTTGTGAGAGTAACTCTGGCCACAGTGCGCAAGGGCGTCCCTCGGGCAGTGGGGTGGGGCTGAGGGAGGTGGAGGCAGGGAGGATCTCTGGCCCATTCATCAGAGGAGCACCTCAGTCTCCCCCTGTACCCAGACCCTCGCATAATGTACCAGAAAAATCAATTATGCTCGCACCACAGGTGCTTATGAGGAGGGGTAAGAGAAGGCTACATGTGTTAGGAATCCCGCCCAAATAACAAGTCTCCCGAATAGCTTAAATCCCACCGTTGGCAATATATTAGTGTTTCAGTTTCTTAGGGCTGCTATGCTAAGCAACACAAACGGGGTGGCTTAGAACCACAGAGTCACTCGCACAATCCCCCAGGCCCCGCGGTCTGAAAGCCAGTGTCAGCTGGGCCAGGCTCCCTCCAGAAGCTCTCGAACAGAATCCTCCCGCCCCTTCCAGCCCCTTCCAGCTTCTGGTGGCTCCGGGAGTTCCTTGGCTTATCATGAAACAGCTCCGGTCTCTGCCTCCGTCTTCACGTGACCTTCTCTGCATCTCAGCGTGTCCTTTTTGTCTCTTACTTTCGTTGCACTTAAGGTTGCACCTTATTCTAAGATGAGTTCATCTTGGTCCTCAACTAATCCCCTCTGTAAGAATGCTAGTTCCAAAGAAGGTCACATGCTGTGGTTCCAGGTGGAGAGCCATTTGTAAAGGACACTGGTCACGCCACAGCAGTGTCCCGGACTTGCTGCTTTCCTGGTGAATCCTCTCTTGCAGAGCTATCAGAATTCGTTTTTATGATTCCAACAGGGCTGTTAACCAGGGCTGCAACTACGCAGCGCGTGTGCCTTTGTTTGCCATCTACCGCCTACACGGGATCACTCATCCTTGTCTGCCACTGATGCAGACACTTCCCCATCCATCACCCTTGCCAGAAACGACTACTTGATCATGTATGTCCTGGATGTACCTTCAGAATCCTTCTCAACACAATAGCCCAGGCAGCCACGTCCTGTCGATCGCAAATAACATTAAGTCTGGAGGTACAATCGCAGCTGTATATTTATTACACTATTTAAGTACCTCTGCACCAAATGGTAGATAGCTCCTGACCTGATGTCCCAAATGCCACCCTAGCCACATAGACCTTGCTCCCGAGACCCCCAGGTCTTCCCACAATGGACCGGTTCAAGTCTTGTCTGAATTAGGCGAAGCCTCCAGGATCCTCTTCCCATAGGCAGCTGAAATTCCTTCTCGTTGGTTAGCTCCTGGCCGTGGGTGTTGTTCAGCAGTTTGAATATCAACCCCCACCTCATCTTCTCAGTAGTTAAAAACCCTCTAGAAGCGGTAGAAGTTTAAGACAGCTAAGGTGGGGGTCCTTTCGACAGTGGGAAGGAAACAGCAGACCTGCTCAGAATGCAGCACCAGTGCTGCGGGGTCAGTGCCGGACCCCGCAGGTCAACCACCTCGCATTGGGGTCGTCCCAGACTGCGGCGGTCTTGTCCCATGTTTGGCATTCGTGAGCTGGGACCGGCGAGGGCAGGGCTGGGGACCCTCGTTTACAGAGCCCCGAGGATCAGGGCCCAAGGCTGATATCCTGGCCGTGCTGGCAGCCACGCTGATACCTACCCAGTTGAAAAACCTCATCTTTGAAATTTTAGAACCGGGCTCAGTCCAGTCACTCCTACAATTCCTTAAAACCCCACCTGATTTTGAAGAAAATGCCTACATATTCTGGAACTTGAAAAATAGAACCTAATTTGCTGCTAAACGTAAACTAACGACATGGATGAGGGAGAAAGAACGTTTTGTTAAAGTAAAGGATAGTGTTAGCGAGGGGATTAAATTTGGAAGTTTGGTGACAAACGGACTTTTCCTGAGGACTGAGTGTCATTCCGAATATCATTTGTGGGAAAATAATCTTTATGCATCTCTACCTGTTCCTCCCGGGTTTACCACTCCGTACGGAGTCAGAGTGAAATGGGGGGACTGTACCTGACGGTGAGAGCGAAAAGTCCCCTGATTCTGCACCAGGAGGGTGGGCTGGGCCACCTCCGGGCAGATGACCGGTAGGCGCAGCGCTGCCGGTGCCCTGCCCTCAGCTCTCAGGTCCGGGGACTCTCCCCTGGCCGAGCCTGACCGCGGGGACCACCCAGAGCCCCTCCTCTCCTGTCCTCCTAGCAGAGCAGCACCTGAGGGGCTCTGGGTCCTGCTCACTGGCTTGGATCTCATCGCCACTCCCTGGGAGACGCACCATTATTTGAGCCACTTAAACTGTGTCGCACCACAGATCAAAAGGCACGATCCCGTTTCAGATAGGTTGACATGGGACAGTCTAGTCCAGTATGCTCTCCTTCATATGCTCTCTATACCATTAACATCTAATTAGGAGGGGCCCTTCTCTGCCAGGGATTCCCTGCAGCGAGGAGCTGGGGGCCGTGTCCTCCCGTTTGGATGGTGAGGGCCTTCGGAACCTTTCAAATCCGAAATCCCTGGCAGGGAGGGTTGTACTCTGCTGGCCCTGAAGACCCTCACCGTCACGCTTCCCGCATGAGCCCTCCTGCCCGGGCCCTGCATCCATGCGCTTAACCTTCAGTTTACAGTAAGGATGATACTGCACATGGAAAATGGTCTGCGTGAAGAATAAAACTTGGTGGAGAAAGTAAATAAACACAATCTCCAGGCGACACTTCGCTGTCAGCTGCTCTTAATAAAGAGGGGTCCCTGGGGGCCCCTACATGAGTGTCTCCCATTCTTCATCCACAGCAGAGCAAAGATCTCAATTACTCAGAGTTTGCCCCCTGGTTTGAGATCCGTCCTTAATGCGTCCTCCCCATTGCTCCCTGCAGAGGAAAAGCTGATGTGAGAAGGCCTAGATTAACAGAAGGCCAGATAGACAGCCAGCGTGAGGTGAGAGAGAGCCGCAGATAAGATAGCAGGTAGGAAGGCGGCTTCCCACTGAACCGAGGACAGAAAGCGGGAGAGGAGGCCTCCTCTGCTGGGAGGGACCCGCCCAGCCATGCCTCTGTTGATTGGACCACCTGGGCAGTCATCCTGGGCACTTCTGAATTTTCTGGAAGGAAAGGCCTCCTCTACCTTCCACTAGCTTACCAGTATTTTATTTCACGGATATTCTAAAATATAAGAGAGACTTCCTGTACTAGCTCCTGTGTACTATCTTGGTATTGGTTTGCTGTGGGTCTTACAATCAAAGTAATTTTTTGAAGTAGTGTGAAAGAGTAATTCACTAAAATATTATGAGGTGAATTTTTTAAATAAACGAGTGAAACTTTATTTTATAATACCAAGAATATACTTGGAGGCAATTAGCTTAGCCCTACCCGAAGAGCTAGATTATGTAAACTTCTTTTAAAAATTACAAATGAAAGGAGTCTTGGTTAAGTTCTTAAGCTATCTATAAATATGTAGAAACTGATCAAATCCCATGGCATAATGGTTCATGGCATAATTTCTTAAGACTGAATCACAGTTACAGATGAAATTAATTTAGGGGATATTGTATTTCAACTCTCTAGAAAGAGTACTATGCCATTTGAAAATTTTACATATAATTGCAAGTTTTGAATTAGGGAACGTTCAAGAATTATTGGCAACTTTAGGAGGGTAAGAAAATTGCCTTAAATGCATCTGTTTATGCCAACACTATCAAATTCCTAATTTTAGAGCCTAATTATTTCAGAAAAAGTTCCAAGATTCTCAAAACTGTAATGCATCCACTGGCAAATCAACAGGCAAAGAATGAATGTTTGCTCTTTGCTTGTTAAGAGCCAGCGGAGTGTCCAGCACTGAGTCAGGTGTGGGGTGGCGGGCAGGGGGAGAATTGGAAGCCATGTGTAGAAAAGGAGGCCACGTAGTCCTCTCTCCGGGACCTTTAAACACAGCAAGGAGATGAGAGAGGGTGAGAACTACAAAAATATGACACTCAGGTGTGTGAGAGTGTACAGGACCCTGGAAGGGAACAGTGGGGACTGCAGTTTTGATTGCTTGTGTGTTTGAACCACGAGACTCGGTGCTTCCTAGCAGGCTGAAGAAAACGGTGTCAAAGCAAGCCCTTCAAACCAAGGACCAGCCCGGCACGAGAAGCCAGGAGTGAGGGGATGGATGGGGCCTGGCGGTGGAAATGGGAGGAAGGAATCGATTAGAACAGTATTGCAGCCTGGAGAGGAGGACTTGACAGGACTTGGTGACAGGTGGACTTAAGAGAGTAACAGGAAGAGTCCAAGTTGGCTCCAGGGGAAGGGCGACATTGGACTTCGGGAGCAGGGGAGTCGGACCTGCCAGAGAGGCCTTGAAATCTCACCTTCGAGGTCTTTCCAAAATAAGGGCTAGGCCTTTTACAGAAATGAAATTTAACTTAGAAATAACAAAGCTCGTGATGATTACTTCCATTTCTTTGTTTATCACTCAACTCTGTAACATCGTCATCCCATACTCTTCTTCCTGCCTCCCCCACTGTGCATAATGCGGCTGGGTGGATTTTTCAGTTCTTAGCTTTATCGTTCTTCCTGATGAATCAATCCTGCCGAGCTTTCATATTCCTGGCATGTGGGTTGAGGTAGGGAAAGTTTCTTTTTAACCAAGTTGCCTCTTACTTGAGTTTCCCTCCCCAGGGCCTCCCCTGATTGCTCTGACTCAGGGACAGAATCGCACTATTAGAACAAGAAAACCAACCCTGTTTGGAAAAGCATCCTTGTGCACTCAGGCCAGCTCCCTTTGGTGGTTGCTGTTGGCCATTGGTCGACAAAAAGCCAGGATACATATTTTTTTTCACTCCGCCTTATCCCTGCACTTAATTGGATGAGTCAGATTGTGGAAAGCTGTCCCTCAGAGCCAAGGGGTGCAGACTCCAGGAACCCCCAGAGTGTGCAGAGCACAGGACCCAGGTGGCTGAGAGCAGGTGTGGGCCGGGTCTGCTGGCAGGAAATGGACTGCCTGGGACAAGGTGGAGGCCGGTGTGGTCGTCTAAATGGGGGAAGCAAGGGCTTGGAGTAGACAGGGGCCGTGAAAATGGGGAAAATCTTTAGGAAATAACATCTCCCAAATGTCTACTTCAGAACCACATTCTTTACGTATGCTATCCCCTGTTATCCTGCAGAAAACCACAGGTACTTTTATTCTCCCAATTTTAAAGATGGGACAACGGAGCTTCTGAGATGCTGACTGACTTAACATGAAGCAAGTCAATGGTAGAGCAGAATTCAAACCCTGTTTGACCCTAAATTTCAGGCCCATTTCACCACAGTGATTGGATATCATGGTAAAGAAGAGCGAAGTCCAAAATTTGACATAGCTCCGCACTGTGAGAACTAATTGCTGAAGGAAAAGCCCTAGAAAACAAGCTTCGGCATCACTATGCATTGAGAGGTGTTGACATTCAATAATATGTAGTATAAGATGATAGTTATTGGATGATTACAATATCCTAGGCACCATTTTTTGTACAGGAGCTCACTGAATCTTCACAGAGTCCCTTGTAGCTGCACTACTGTCCCGGGCACACTGCAACGCGGAGAAGTAAAGTAACTAGCTGGGGTTACACAGCCACAATGTGGCAGAGCCAGCGCCCAGACCCCAGAACCTGTCCTCTTATCCACCTCACTATGCTGCAACCACCTGTGCTTTGTACATTCAGCCCCGAAAGTGTTTCTTACTGAGCAAATGCACCGTGCAAAGCACTGTGACAAACAGGGAGACAAACTGGGTGTTCAATATGGCCCCTGACATGGCCATTAGATTACAATGGGAAAATGACAGGGGGACCTGGGAATGTCCATCCAGGTCCTCTGCCCATTTTTTAATTGGGGTGTTTGTTTCTGTGGTGGTGAGTTGTGTGAGTTTCTCACGTATTTTGGATATCAACCCCTTCTAGGTTATACAACATTTGTGACTATCTTCCCATTCAGTAGGCGTTCTATTGCTGCTTTGATGTGGCTGCTTGTCTTCCTCGATTTCAGGTGTATGAGACTGCTGGGCACAGTGGGACCACCTTGTTAGCAGAAGTGTTCCTGCCCATTCCTGAAAGTACCGTTGTCAGTGGAAGGGCTCCTGTTGAAGAAGTGGAGTTTAGCAGTGACCAGCACGTGACCCTGGACCACGAGGGAGTCGGAAGTGGTATGGGCGGCCAAGTATCCTCGACGGCTCACAGCTTCACTGTCCGCTTGGAACACACCTTTTCTCCCCACTTCTCAGTCAGCCACAGAATTCTAAAATTGCTATCAGAAATTCAGATGGAAACCATAATTTTGCAAAGTTATTTCTATACGCAACTGGTGGCCAATAAATTCATATAATTATGCAAGTATAAAGTAGTTTGGCAGTGTGAATTAAGGACCGCTAGAGTTCTTTTGATACCTTAATTCTACTTCTAAGAATCTTTCCTCAGAATAACCTGAAATGAGGACAAAGTTTTGTGCAAAAAAAAAAAAATGTACATCATGGTATTATTTTAAGGCTGAAAGGTTTGAAATAACTTAAATAATTATAATAGGGAGATTATGAATTAATATTCTGTCTTACCTTCTACAATTCTGGTGAGATAAATGATGGATCATCTCATGCTTTCCACTGCGTTTCTTATATTTAATATCTTTTTCTTTCACTGCCACATTCTGTGTGATTTCTTCGCATCTCCCTTCTAAGCCGTGAATTCACTCCTTGGCTGGGTCTAATCAATGCAACTCGTCATTGTGTTTCTCCTTTCCATTATTGTATTTTTTCACCTCTAGATATTCTATTTAGTTCTTTTCCAATCAGTCTGGTCAGTTGTGATAATTTTTGTCCTTCTGTCAGGCTCAGCCATTTTTTTTACTCACTCATTACTTTACTTTTCAAACATATTAAACATCTCTTGAAATATTCTGTGCATGATCCTTCTAATACTTACCTGCTTATTGGTCTGATTCTGTCACCTTTTGTCCATGGTGGCTTGTTTCCTCATGCGGCTGGTGATTTTTCTATTGTGAGGTCATACTTGGAGAACTGCAAGGATTCTCTGAGGCCCAAATTCAATCACTAGTCTGAAAGCCTGAAGACCTAGCCTTTGGTTCCAGCTCTGATACTGACAAGCTGTGTGACCCTAGCAGCTATGTAACCTCTCTACTACCATCTTCCTCATTCCTAAATTAGTTCTACTACTACCTCCTTTAGAGCCCTACAGGGTTATTTTAAGATCAAGATAGGATGTTAAATATGTAAGGAAAATCTTTGAAAAACACAAAGATGCTGCTACAGTGTGAAGTGGTATGGTTTTGTGTTAATAATATCAACTGAAAATCCAGAGTGTGACACTGCTATATTAATGCTTGAAAGTCTTTTCTGCCTTTAGCTAATTAAATACACCACTGAGGGAGTTTTTATCATTCATTTTCATTCAGTAGGGGCCAATCACTGAGGCTTTACTGTTCACATGGTTTAGCTATAGTGAACATTTACTGAGCGGTCACTGTTTGCCAGGCACCAAGTGCTTGGCCAGCAGGACCTCATTTGACCCACTATTCTTCCCTCCAGGAACAAGGAACACACCCACCTCAGGGTTCTTAGGCTGTTCCTACTGCCAAACAATCTCTTTCCCAAGATTTCGATGTCTCACTTGCTCATTCTCTTCAGGCCTTTATTGAAAAGTCCCGCCCTGACTGGTGTGGCTCAGTGGGTTGGGCACAAAGTGAAGGGTCACCAGTTCTATATCCAGTCAGGACACATGACTGGGTTGCAGGTTCAGTCCCGGTCAGGGCGCATTCAAGAGGCAACCGATGGATGTTTCTCTCTCACATTGATGTTTCTCTCCCTCTTTTTCTCCCTCCATTCCCCTCTCTCTAAAAAACAAATAAAATCTTTTTAAAAAATAATAAAGCCCCCTCCCTAGAGTCTCCCCTGGCCACCCCATCTGAAAGTTCAACCCCTTCCCATACCCTAAAACACATACTTTCTGTAAACTTTCCCTAATTTATGTTTCTCTTCTGTACCAATCACCCTGTAACATACTACGTATTGCATTTAACTTACTAATCTTAGTTATCGCCCATCTTTCCTATTCATATATAAACTCCGTGATATTAGGGATTCTCATCAGCTTGGCTTCTTTACTGCTGTCCTCAGTGCCTGGAGAAGTGCCTGGCACAAGGTAGCAGCTCTCAAAAGATCTACTTAGTGAACAAATGAAGGAAGATATCCTCAATAATCCTTTGAAGGACTGTTATTACCCTTACCTTATACATTAAGAAACTAAGGCTCAGAGCTGTTGAGTAATTTGTCTGTGCTCACACAGCTGTGAACTGTCAGAACCAGGATATGCACAGAGATGGTCCCACTCTGAATGTGTCATCCATCATGACGGCGACACTTTGTTGTCAGAGACAGAGCCAAGTGGCGACTCTGAGCACCATCGCCGGCAGGAAGTTCAGTGATGTTGAATAACGTGTTCCCCGCCTCACCACCTCATCCACGTGTTCCATTGCCTGATGTCTGCTTTCTCGCCAGGACTGGGCTCGCCCCCTTCTTTCTAAACAATACCCCATTTGATGTGGTGTTTCCCTAGGTGTGCCCTTCTCATTTGAAGCTGACGGTAGTAATCAACTGATTCTGATGACCTCGGGGAAAGTGTCCAACAGCGTGGCGTGGGCCACTGGAGAAAATGGGATACCATTAATTCCTCCATTGTCCCAGCAGAACGTTGGCTTTAGGAGGTAATGTGTGGCTGGAAGACACTGATGAGCAATGTCGGCCGTAGCATTAATAGTATCCAATGGGGAAGGAAGGCTTGCAAATCACCTCCTTTCCTTTGATTGTCATATGCCAATATTTTCAGGGGGTTTTATTGTTCTGAAAGTAAAAATTTTAAAAATAAGATATTAATGGCCTATCAAATATTTGGTGTTTACCAAGGTCAGAAACAGTGAAAAGCACTTTTATTTAACCTTGACAAAAATTTTGTGACATAATCTCCGTATTTTACAGGTGGGAGAATAAGTAGCACATAGTTGTAAAGGTTCATTGCTAATGATGACTGGTGTCGAACCTTCTGGTTATACGAACCTCCCTATGCTTAGGCCTCTTCTGTGATTGCTAGATTCTTAGCTTTCTACTCACAACAGAAGAAAGAGACCCCTAGGCAGGCGCCCTCTCTTTGTGCGTGATGTCTGCCCTGGCAATCTGGATGGTGGGAACTGCGTGTGCTGGGTTTGAGTCTTGCCTCTGCCTTTTTTCAACAGAGTTGTCTTGAATTGATCATTTTACCATCCTAGGCCTCAGCTGCCTCATCTATTAAAATAAGGGGATGTATTCTGAGCATCAAGAAGACACTTTCCAAGTTACAGACTGTCATTTGCAACATGCAGAAAATAATAGAACAGGCTTGTTTGATTTCCCTGTATGGCCTGCTCCATCCCAATACCAACCTGTATCCCTGTGATAAAAACAAGAACATGGAACTCTGCACATTCTCAGTCAGGAGACTGACAGCCATTTCCAGGGGAGGCGTGCTCACGCATTTAGGATAAGCGTTTTGCATGTATTTCATTGAGTTTCCCTCCAGGGAAATTCTCGGGGATGTAAGCCCCAACTCAGGAGAGTCAGGGAGAAACATAGCACGGCTAACAATGCTGCAGCTTGACTGCGCGGACAACCCTGCCTCCCCGGAATTCAGAGTGTCCGAAGTTGGTGTTTATGTTAGTCGTGTGTTCATTTTTCTCTCTCATTTTTTTTGGGGGGGTGCCTCAGCTGCAAGTGGTTCCCCAGTCGCCTGAATGTGAGCCTCCGGGGCACCCTGCACCAGGTTCAGAGGCCCCTTCTCACTGGCCTGGATCCTGGGACCCAGGGATGCTTGCAGGCACTGGGCAGTTGTAGATAGAGTCACGTTTCCATTCCTTCCCCTTCTTTTATTCTCCCAGTGTTACTGAGATATAATTGACATATGACATGGTGTGAGCTTCATGTGTATAACATCATGATTTGATATATGTATATACTGTCAAATGATCACCACAGTAACTCTAGTTAACAGCCTCCACCACGCATAGTCACAAATATTTTTCCTTGTGATGAGAACTGGTAAGATTTACTCTCTGAGCAACTTTCAAATACACAATAAAGTATGGTTAACTACAGTCACCATGCTGTTGATTACATCTCCAAGACTAACTTTTAACTAGAAATTTGTAATTTTTGACCACCTTCAGCCATTTGCCCCACCCCCTGCCTCCAGCAACCACCAGTTTATTCTGTTTCTATAAATTTGGTTTTTTTAATATTCCACAGTATTTATCTTTCTCTGTCTGCCTGGCTTATTTCACTGAGCATAATGTTCTCAAATTTCATCCATGTTGTCACAAATGGCAGGATTTCATTTTCACGGCTGAATAGTGTTCCTTCATATGTATACACCACATTTTCTTTATCCATTCATCTGTCAGTGGACACTTAGATTGTTTCCAAACTTTCGCTGTTGTAGATAATACTATGATGCCCACACGGGTGCAGATACCTCTTCGGGATAGTGATTTTGTTTCCTTCGTGTATATACCCAGAAGTGGGATTGCTGGATCTCATGGGAATTCTACTTCTAATTTCTCAAAGAACATCCATACTGTTTCCTATAGTGGCTGCACCCACTTACATTCCCACCGGGAGAGCATGGGGATCTTTTTTTCCCACATTCTTGCCAACACTTGTTCTCTCTTCTCTGTTCAACAAGGCATCCTAACGCGTGGGAGGTGATATCTCATTGGGGTTTTGATTTGCGTTTCCCTGATAACGAGTGATGTTGAGCACTTTTTCATGTACCTGTCAGAAATTGGAATATCTTCTTTGGGAAAAAATGTCTATTTAGTTCCTTTGTCCATTTTTTTTAAGTATTTGGGGTTGTTTTTTGTTTTTGTTTTTGCTATTCAGTTGTAAGAGTTGTTTATATATTTTGAATATTAACCCCTTATCAGATGTGTGGTTTGCAAATATTTTCTCCCGCCATCCATACTTATTTACTGTCCTTATAACATATTGAAGAACAATCTTCAAGTAAAGAAAAATGGCAGAAGTCCATCCTTATTATCAGATTTTCTGTCGTGGAGAATAATAGCTCCACTAAACAAGGTGTCCCTGGGATTTCGTGGTCCTGACACCAAGCGCTCTGCGGTGACGCCCGTCTCATGGAATGACCTTTTTTCCAGTGCTTTGAGAAGAGCAGATGCCATCTCATCTATCGGCGCCTCAGGACTGACGGACGTGAAAAAGTTGGCCAAGTGGGCAGCAGAATCCAGGCTCGATCCAAACGACCCCAGCAACGCCCCTTTGATGCAGCTGATCTCGGTAAAGCCGCGGCAGGAGAACGGTGCACACACTCTCGTTCCTGGTGTGACGGGAACGGGAATGGCTCAGCCCTTCACACACATTGCCTCTCATCCTGCGTTCCGTGCGGTGGCGCTCCATCGCCGGAGGGCTGCCTGAATGGCAGGGTTACACGCCAGCCCCGCACCTGCCTGGCTGGCTGAGCAAGGCAGGCGCTCGTGTGCCTAAGCCGCGAGATGCCCTCGCGGGGCGGCGGCTGCTGCTGCCGCTGCTGCTGCTGCTGCCAGCGAAGATGGGTCCTTGTGGTGTCGCAAGAAAGGAATTTCAGAGGGCACCTGTGAGGGAGAAGTCTTAGTGTAGTGGAAAGATAATTGAGATGAAGGGATGCAGAGGGCGGGCAGGCTCTAGCAGCGACTGCGCCGAGATCCTTGAAAACCCTCCATGTATTTTCTTGGTTTTCAGGAAGGAGCAGGCTTTGTCTCCAACCGTCTGACCTACTTCCTGGGTTTTCCTGGGTTTTCCTGGGTTTTCCCGGGTTTGTGCTGGGCCCTCCCCCTGTTTTAATCCCTTTCCTGGACCCTCCACATGTCCACGCCCTTATCCAAACAGATTCCTTTCCCAGGTGAGACTCCGCCCTTTATGTCACCATTTTGGTTCCTGGCACGTGCTTGCCTCTCCCCGAGCCATCTTGGCTTCTACTGCGCATGCCTCAGTAGAGAACATTTCCTCCTCCGGTTTTGTTTGTATTCTCGTTTAGTGAATAATTTGATTATTATTTAGGTTTCATTTAAGTGTTTATGAGGTAAGTTGCTTCTACCTATGACATGTAAAATTCTTCAGTGAATTTATAAATAAAATGGATCATTAGTAAATGATTTTTTTGGTATCAGATAGAAATGTTTTTACTCCCAAGATCATAATTCCCACAAAAACACCATAAACAAGTATATAACACAAAAAGTGACTATATCAACACATCCTATATCATGTGTATAAGTTCATCAGTAGGATAACTGTAACTAGGATGAAAATTTATATCTCTCCCAGTATTTCTAAGATAAGTCCCAAAACAAGCTTCTGACTTTTGTTTCTATACACTCTCCTTGCAACACGGTATTTTTAGAGTGGACGAGAAAAATGTTAGAAGGATCAGATCACATTACATACCTAAAGGGTAGTCTCTTCCATGTCAAGTTTTCAAGTCATGATTTGATTACTGTCTTTAAATCAGTAGTAATACAGCGCACGACACGTGTCACCGTTACAACTATTTGCCTTCCCATCGAAGGAAAAAACACAGGGCTGCCTTCCCGGCAGGTCTCTTTTTATGAACCAGGATTTTCACAGCACGAAGCCCCAGAAGGAAGGCCTCTGCTCCCCGGCTTTCCGTCTGTCCCAGTGGAGGTCGTAGCTGGCAAAGCACCCCGAGAGGCGCTGGCAGACCCCTGGGCGGAGTGCGACGCATACCTGCTCAGCCTTGGGTAGGACCGAAGCCATCGCTTCTGTGCGCTGCACAGATGCGCTGGAGGTCTGGAGGCGGCAGGCAGGTGGTGCCAGCTCACAGTCCTCAATGACCGAGGCCATGAGGGGCTGTTCAGGGACAGGAGGGCGTGGCCAGGGAGCTACAGGGAGGTGATCGGCCGACTCCGGTGCTTCCATCTACGTGCGTGCATGAGAACAGTAAAAAGTTATATTGTAAAATAAAACATGAGGAGGGTAAAGGGGGTCAAATGTATGCTGATGGAAGAAGTCCTGACTATGGGTAGTGAGCACATGTGCAACACACAAATGATGTATTATGGAATTGTATACTTAAAACATACAATGTTATTAACCAACATCATCCCATTAAGTTTAACTTATATATATTTAAAACACATGTATTAGGTACTATATATACTGTGCACATGAGTAATCTTATTTGCAGTAGGCATCTAGTTATATGCTAATATAAACCTGTCATTTTTCAGTCTGTATATTTTTATAATACCCAGTCGGGGAGCATGCTTACCCAAGATGAACCTTAGAATTTTTATTTCTTTGGAAATGTGATTTGTCCTATTTTTTATAGCTACTGAATGACTATATAAGCATCCTCCTGTTACTATTACATTTTAATGTACTTTGCCTTTAAATGAAATGCAGGACATTTCAAGTCTCTCAATCTAAAACAGTTAAGCTTCCATTCCCAAAAGCTCAATGCCGGGCTTCTTTGGATAAAATATGCCCATTGTCTAGAGTTTTGTATTTTCTCTTTTTTACAGGTTGCTACCAGTGGTGAGTGCTATGTCCCTGATTACTTTCGACTGGAACAGCTGCAGCAGGAATTTAATTTCGTGTCAGATGAAGAATTAAATAGATCCAAACGATTCAGGCTCCTGCATCTCAGAAGCCAAGAGGTGCCAGAATTCCGAAATTATAAGCAAATTCCAGCATATGATCGAGAAATTATGGAAAGGGTATTCCAGGTAAGAAATAGCTGTAATAAAACAGCACTGTGCTACTTGGTCAACTTTTCTATATGACTATTGTCATTGTTGATATATTGTCAGTAGCAATACTAGTTTGTCTTTTGCAGCACTTCACATAACCTTTTCATTATTTTTCTTGAATTCAATGTTTAAAGAACCTCTTATATCAATACAGTGAATGACATAAACTAAGAAAAATTAGAATTGTAGGGTTGAGAAATACCTTAGGTGTTAATATGGCAAATTATGCTGCCTTAGTCAAGAGTTCAGTGCCATTTTAATCCAATAAGCTAAGTGCAAAGTTGGTAGTGAGCACTGTGGGCAGGATTGGAATAGCCCTGGGGCGGGCAGGGTAGAAAGGAAGCAGGGAGAGGCTGGTGTCCTGGGCCAGGGCGGCAGGATGCAGAGTCTGGGTGGCCCAGGAGCCACCTGAGGGCCTTGGGGGTGGGCCCTTTGAGAGCTTATGGGTAATAGGCCTGGGTAGGTGTCTAGTGAATCTAGCCAGAGGGGTGTAGGGGTTGGTGTTTGATGAGGTAAGTGAAGAGCCATCAGAAATTACTACCAGTGTGACTTCTCACGCGGCAGCCGTTCTTGGAGAATGTTTTTGGTTACTTGGTTCTTTGTAGTGTTTGGACTTATGATTGTGATAAAAACCCAACCTGAACTAGCTAAGGCACCAAGGGGAGTTTAATGAATGACTAAATCCCCAAATGGGTTAAATGGCTTAAGATATGCAAATGTCAAGAGTTCTCTGTGCCTCAGTGTCACCTGGAGGCAGGGCCTGACTGCCCCTGGGACCCTTCCCATCCTGTCTGGGCTTCCCTTGCTATGGCGGCTTCATTTTCCCCCATTATAGACAGATTTTCTATGGTTCCCACGTCCAATGGTTTCAGCCAGAAGGGAGAGGTATGTCCTTTTTTAAAAAAAAAAAAAAATTATTTTACAGAGAGAGAGAGGGAGATAAAGAAAAAGAAGACAGAGAGAGAGAGAGATCAATCTGTTTTTCTACTTAAGTTATACATTCATTGGTTGCTTCTTGTATGTGCTCAGACTGGGGATCCAACAAGCAAACTCAGTGTATCAGAATGACCCTCTAACCAACTGAGCTACCCGGCCAGGGCAGAAATGTGTATCCTTTTGTCCCAAGTTTAAGACTCTTGAGTCACACAGTGTGGGGTAGAGACCACCCCAAGCATTCAGCGTGACCAGGAAAGGGTTGAGGTAGGAAAAGGCAACTCCCCGGGGTGCACAGGGAATTTTATTGATGGAAAAAAAGAGGAGAATACAGCGATCTAAGCAGACAAAGCCAAAGCAGCCACGACCTTCTTCCAAGTTGGTGACCAAGTCAGCTGCACCCAGATGCTGTTTTCTACGTTGTAATTGCTTTACTTAAAATAGGAAAAGGCAAGAATTAAGCAGAAGCTTTGGCTAAGTTGCTGGGTGAGCTCAGCACCTTGAACTACAGCAAGTATTACCTGTGTGGCCTCTATTTCTTCCCTCATGAACATTGCAAAGTATAATTACAGGTTTCTCTTCTACTTATAAGGCATCTACCAACTGACTCTGATTCTTAGACACACATCAAAGACTAAATATGAACCAAAAGCTCACAGAAGGTAGAAGAAACATTAAGAACCATAATTTACGATCTTAAACCACAGGTGATAAATTCCCTAATCTCCAGAAGGGCATGAGAGAGTACTAATGCTTTAAAATCATAAAGTTATTCTTTTTTAATTTTTAGGACTATGAGAAACGGTTACGAGACAGAAATGTAATTGAGACCAAGGACCACATAGATAGCCATAGGGCCGTGGTAGCCAAGTACCTCCAGCAGGTAAGGAAAATCGCTTTAACAGCCCGGATGGGGGAAAATGGCTGGTGTCCTGAGGCGGGAGGGGGGAGGTCTCTCTTCTGTGAAGTAGCTATGGATGGTTAGTCCCTGAAGGCTTATTTTCTCAAAATTACAATATGCACTTGATTAACAGTTCTCTTTGTCTTTTGAACATACGAATACATTAGGGTGTATCTCAGTTTCCTGTCTGTCAGTGGCTTTCTTTAGTGGGGTATGATGACAAGGGACTCTGTATTTGAATGTCTGCATCATGCTCTCTTTGTAATAAAATAGAAGTTTTATAAATGGCACGTGGACTGCCCTATTCACTAGAAAATGGAAATGTCTTTTAGTCCTCCTGCTTTCCCTCCCTTTCTTCCTTCCTTTCTTTAATAAATTTACCTTATAAGAAATGCTACAGTGACTATGGTATATTTTTCCATCCAGCTGATGGGCCCCGTGGCACATATAAAAAAAAAAAAAACTTATGACATTTAAGAGGTCCCCTATTTAAAGGAGAATTAGGAAATAAACCAGTCTGGATAGGGGAAGAACCAAGAAGCACTTCGGAACCGCGGGTGCTTTGAGGCTGGTCCTGTTTTCCGTCATGCGCTCGTTCAGCGAGCTTTCACTCTCTGTGGGCCAGGGCTTTCCCAGGCCCTGAGAGCAGAGCAGCGGACAGAACAGAAAGCCCTCTGCCTTAGGCGCTTCTACTAGCGAGCAGAGCTCGATGGTTTACAGCAGGAGGAGGTCAGCGCTGCGGAGGAAAGGGAAGGCGGCCGGTGGGGGCCGTGGGGACGTGGCATTGGGGCGAAGACGTGGGGAAGCGTAGGGAGTGAACAATGAAGGTCATAAAACAGGAACATTTGAACATAAAACTTCCTTCTTTCCCCAGGTTAGAGAATCAGTGTTAAATCGTTTCCTGATTGCAAAACACCATTTCCTTCTGACGGATCTGATAGTCGAAGAAGAAGTTCCTAATATCAGGTAAAAACAAACCTTTTGTTTCTTCTAAAACTTACTCTCATTGCCTTATGTTGAAGCCTTCCTGTACCTATATTTGTCACTGGGTGGCGTGCACTTGGGCCACAAATACTGTTGGAAACTCTTAAAACTTGAGGAGCGCCTCCTGGTCACCTTCGGAGAGGGGAGTCTGTCAGAACAAGTTATGCAACGTCCCCCCCGTCACGCCGGCCGCCTCTCACACCCCCACTACCGCCACCTCAGCTTCGCCAGCCCTCGCCGTTTTCTCATGGCCGTAGAAGTTTGACCGCATTTCCCTCCTGCACACGGTCCCCCTGCTTGCGTCATCTCCCAGTGCTGGACCTACCCTCACTCTCCCATCGCGGGGCAGTGGGGGTGGCTGAGGACCACCGGCCCCCAAAGGTCTGGGTGGCAGGGGATGCTGGGGCCAGAACCGCAGCTGGGAGCACAGGGCTGCTGGGTTTGGTGAGGTGCAAGGGCAGCCGGAAAGAAACAGATATTTACATAGAAGGTGGAAATTGACCACATCTGCTTGATTGTCTTCCTGTCATTCAGAAAAATCTTCAAATTGTCTCAACTCAGGGGGGACGCAGGAAAGATGGAGGATAACTTTCCTCATCAGTGGTCTTGTGCAGTCTGTTAATCTCATGACTCTTTCTGTGATTGAATCTCTTGGTCTCCCCTATAAAGGTTTCTTACGCATGTAGTTCCTCTCCATCAAGTTGGGAAGGAGACAAAACATGGTGCTGTCTTCAGCAGCCCCTGACTTTGGCTTTGTCTCCAACTGTGTACAGAAGAGAGAATATCCCCACATAAATTCACACACCCCTCCTCTTTTTACTCCAGGCCTAGGGTCTAGTCATTGAATGTTTTATTCGGTCATGAAAATTACACTTAGAATCGATGGTGATTTTTCACGCTGTTTTCCCATTTCTTTTCTTTCTTTTTCTTTTTTTCTGCTTTACTTTCTGCATTAAGTTCTGAAGGCTCAGGGTATGTTCTTTCTTCTTTTAATGTCAATGTGTTCTTGGATTTAAACAAATGTGTTTCTGTATTTAATGGTCCCAGCCACCAAGATGTTCCCATGTGAAATCTTTGAAAGGAACTCTCTCTGGGGGAGGGAGGTGGTATTAACCAAGGAAGGAATGTGCCACGTTAGGACCCCCTGGCAAAGGTAGCGCTCTCTGGTCCCACGTTTGGGTTGGGCAGGTGACTTGGTAGAGTGCTGAAGATGGGCTGTAATCTGTGACATGGTTGGACCTAGAGGGCATTATGCTAAGGGAAATAAGACAGAGAAAGATAAATACCACATGATTTCACTTATATGTGGAATCTAAAGAGCCAGACTCGTAGGAACAGAGAATAGAATGGTAGTTAATAGAGGCGGGGAGGAGTGGAATTGGGGACGTGTAATTTAAAGGTACAGATCTGTAACTAGTAGATAAGTAATTCCTGGAGATCTAATGCAAGCATAGTGGTTATGGTCAACAACACTGTATAATAAACTTCAAAGGTACTAAAAGACTAGAACTTAAATATTGTCACCACACAAATGAAATGATAATTATTTTATGTGATGGAAGTGTCAGCTAATGTCATAGTGATAATCATAATATATAAATACATCAGACCAACATGTTCTACATGTTAAAATTATACAGTGTTATATTCAATTATATCTCAATAAAAATTAATTTAAATAATAAAATGTAGATAATCGCACCCACAAACAGATTTGCAAAAATGTAAAACAGTGTCACTCTTCTCACATTTTGTTTTGGAGAGGAGAATTAGTCTTCATAGTTTTACATTATGTTGACATGCAAAGGACTTATTCTTGTTTTGAGTGAGTTGACAAATAAATATGTGTAAATACCAGAAAAGAAGAAGACGACGGTCCGTGAAGTCAGAGTGACCTGAGATTGGTCCCCAGCTCCCCCTCCCCTATTCAGGAGCCTTCAGCAAATCATATCACTCAGAGCCTTCAGTTTCTTCATCTGAAAAAATGGGGTAAACATTTTACCTGTGAGGATTAGAAGTTACCGTATGTAAGGCACCCAGCACTGCTTGATTGACGAAGGTGCTGATGAATGCTCGCTACTCTGTGCTCCGTGCGACTGAAGACCCCGGGAGGGAGTGGGAACAGCAGCTCCTGGGAGCCCCTAGGGAGCTGCCTGCCGCCCCCCCCCCCCCCCGCCCTTGGCCAGTAGGTGCCGCTCGGACAGAGGGCTCCAGCTGAGCTCACCAGGAAGCGGAGAAGCAGAGAAGCGCATGCTGCAGCCTGAGGCCAGCTCTGCACGGCTGGCTTTATTCTGTGCTGTCTGGCATAGTCAGTCATGTCGGTGTCCAGGTACAAAGTCACATCTGTGTTTCTGTTTAGTCTCTGGGCCAGAATGTAATTGTTCGCGCCAAGGCCCTTTCTCCCATGAGTCACTGGCAGTGTTGCTTTCTTCTTCCAGGAAGTGTTTATTTGACATGACCTCGGTGAGAGGTAGGAAGACAGGAGATCCTCCTGCTCCTCCTCCCGCTCCCTTCTTCCCGATTCCACCCCTCCTCTTCCTCCAGCACAATCACCGCCATCATCGTCATTGTCATCGCCCCAACACTTCCCACCTCACAGCTGCTAAGTGCCAGGCCAGGGCCAGGGTGCACCTCCTCACTTAATCCTCTCAACAGCCCAAGAGGTAGCTATGAGCCCCATTTTACAGATGATGAAACAGAGGCTTAAAAAAGGTGAGGTCATTTGCTCAAGGTCAAAGAGCGGAGCCAGGATCCACACCCAGTCTTGTCTAACGCCGGAGAGCGAGGCATCCCAGGAGTGTCTGGAAAGGCAGTGAACTTCAGCTGCGGGAGAACGGGGCAGGTAGAAAAGTGCCCAAGGGACTCAGGAGAGGGTGCCCCTTCTAGCTGACGTGCCTGGGCCTAGGGCAGGGGGCATCCTGCCCCGAGGGTCAGTAAAACTGCAGCCAAATGGGCAGATGAGGAGGAAGGTGGAGGGAGACGCTCCGTGTGCCGAGATGAGCAAAGGCAGAGAGTAGGAGAGGCAGGGCCCGCTGCAGGGGCTGCGGGGCGAGCAAGGCAGAAAGCAAGGTGGGAAATGCTGGGACGGCCATAGCACCCTTTTCTTTTTCTGATCAGTAGCAGCTAAAATAAATTTTAATAATCCATTTAGTAGAATCACTCCCATCTTAGGAGAATTTCTTGATGCTTCCTACCCTCTCTAAAAAGACAGAGTTTTCCAGGAGCCTATAAGGGACCTTGGGGCAGAGCTTGGGGACTTGTCTCGTGACTTTCTAGATCTTTCTTTTCCTCAGAATCCTAATCCTGTTCTGTAACCTTTAGCATTTTGGGCCTAAGCCTTTTCAAGCTGGCAGAACAAAAGCGACCACTGAGGCCAAGGAGAAAAGGTCGGAAGAAGGTGACAGCCCAAAACCTGTCCGATGGAGACGTAAAGCTGCTGGTGAACATCATCCGAGCTTACGACATCCCGGTGAGGAAGCCGACAGCAAGGTGAGAGCCCTCCCTCCCGACAGCCCGCATCAGGCTGGGCAGGATCCTGGCCAGGTCGATCACTTCTTTACAGCATGACCACTCTGGTTTTTAATGTAGTGTTTTTCTGTGGCGGCAGGCGTTCTTGCCAAAGTCAGAGTCTCATTGGTTGCAAGTAATAAAACCACATCAACTTAGGCTACCAAGGGAGTTACTGGGACTGTCTCATGGAACTCAGGACGAGAGGTGCTGCTGAGCTACATGACAGACTGTAAAGATTCAGGTGATTCTTCTGAGACCCCTTCGTCTGTCTTGCGTGCCTCCCTCTGCGGGTTTGCTTCCTTCATCCACGTGATGGAAATGGTTCATCCAGCCAGGGTACCATCCACCAAATATCAGCTTCTCAAGGAAGGACCTGAGGGTCCTAACATGGATCAGGTGGTGATTCATGGTCTGATCACCCACAGCCAGAGTGACAGGGCCACCGAGACCAGGTGAGAAAGGTGGGAAACAGTTCTCAGAGAAGTGGGTGTGAGCAGAACAGAAACCAGAAGGCGTCTGCCCTGGGTCTGGAGACCCGCGTGCTATGAGCATAAAAATGTGATTTCCCTCTCCTCTGCTCAGAGCAACGTTACGCCTACCACGTTTTACTACACAAGGGGTGGTGGAGACTGTGGTACTTACCCCCTTGGAGAACAGAGATGGAAGAACCAAGAATGAAAACTTCTTTTTGCTGGTGTCCTTGCCAGTGTAATGAGGGAAGCTGTCATTTATTGTACAGTCACCATGTTCTAGGCACTACGCTGGGCCCTTTCATATGCAGTATTTCATCAACTCCTTTCTACTCTCACCAACTCCATTTCACAAAAGGAAAAACGGAAGTAAAGGGCGCATAAGTAGCTTGTCCGAGGTCATCCCGCCCTGGGTGAGTGCCATTCTAGCCTTGGCAGCTTCTCTCCTCCCCTGTAAATTTACTTTCCCCTCCTCTCTCCCCATTATTTTTCCTTAATTTTTTTGACTCATTCTTTCACCCAGTACAGAACACCTGGTCTTCACCAGCTCTTCCCAGTTGTGTTGCTTGTAAGTGTCCCTTTAAGCTCTAGAATCTGTGCCACAGCATTGCTTCCTTGAGCCATAGCCCAACCTTTTCACCTTGATTGCTTCAAAGCTCAACTGGGAAGTGAAAAGCTCTTTGTTTTTGTTTTTGTTTTAATATATAGGCGTTTGTCTTATTTTTGGTCTGTACTGATATTTCTTAAGTGTTAAACAATTTAATTCAACTAATTACGTGGAAGCATAGTGGATCCTACATTATATGTTTTAGTGTAGATTCATCGTGGCCCCTGATGTTATCAGCCCTTGAACTAGACCTGCCCGCTCGCAGTCCTCCACCCTTGCATCCAACCAAACAGAATTTTTCAGCTCTCTCTCTGTACTCTTCTGGCTCATGCTCATCCTTCTAGTTTCACATGTATCCCACTATTTTGCGATTATTTGTATACATATCTGCCCTCTATTCTAGTCTGAGCTGAAGAGTCTTGTCCATGCAGCCCCGGCTTGTTAACACTGGGCCTGAAGTGTAGTAGGTACTTACCAAATATTTGTTTAATAATGTAATTGTTGATGTTCCAAAGAGAAAAAGGTTTTCTCTAGTAGCTGTTATATTAACAATGAGCTGAGACTTTTAATGTCTTATCATTTCTCTGAAATACTTATCTGTGAAAAGGTAAGACAGTCTGACAGAAATAGAGAACTTACACTTTGTCCAGTAGTGAATGTAGAGTATCTGGTAAACCATAAAGTTCAGAAAGAATATCCAAATGAGTTGTTAGGAGGAGGAGGAGGTGCCTGAGAGAGGCTCTCCAGAGATGACCTTCATTTCTCCCTTTAAAAAGAGCAGCTTTTTAAAAGAGAAACAGGACCCGCAGATCCTGACTCGAGAGGAATCTCTGACCCCCACCCCACTCTTGCCCAGCGAGGACTGGGAGGCCCAGCAAGGTGTTTATGTGGGATTTTCAGCTCACGGTTCCTGGAGAATGCAGGTTCAGAGAGAATATAGTAGGAGGGAAATTAAATAGAGGCCAAGAAGGCTGGTCAGGAAGTTCAGGATTCTGCTACCTGAGAGGGATTGAGGCTCTTTTACAGGGGAAAAGGTATGTTCTCACTCAGGCACCCCCTAGGAGAGGAGAGAGGACCTTTTCCTCCATTCTTAGCCATCTGGGGACAACCAGAGCATACTAAAAGCCTTCTGAGGTGTCAACAAGCTTAGACAGAATGTCTGTCACCATAGCCACCAGAGCCATACGTCTTTGAAAATACCATGTTATTTATATATATATATATATATAAAAATATAAATATATATATATATATAATTAGATTTTCCCTGTCATTTATTTTTTTCATACATTTTCTTTCCCAGCAAATTCCAGCAGCCATCAAGATCTTCAAGGACTTTCAGCGAAAAGCATGCTGCTTCCCCAACCACACAGAGCCCAGCCCACAGCGCCGACTACCCCCTCGGCCAGGTGAGATCCCGCACGCTGGGTCTCTGCGCGGGCTCTTACCCCTTGTGCTTTTAAGAATTGCCTAGAAACTTCCTGGTCTGTTTTCTGCTGCATTTTTTGGAACCATACTATTTAATAAACATATTCATACCTCTGCTAGGAGCAAACTAATTCAACTAACTGTTCTGGACTCTTATAATTTGCTTTTGATTTTAAGGTCTTAGTTCGCCCTTTTGTAGAAGTTTCTTTTCAACGAACAATTTGCCATACCACGACGGCTGAGGGACCAAACCCCAGCTGGAATGAAGAACTCGAACTTCCGTTTAGGTAAGTGTATGTTCCTCTTTAAAGTGCTATGGGGCATTTTGAAGAACTTTGAAGGAAGCAGAGGCTCTGGGGGGAATGGCTACGGTGAAAGCTCGCGCAGCCAGTGAGCCGAAACAAAACCCGAGTCCTGGCGCCACGTCCTGGGGTTTTCCTCATGGACCGCACTGAGTCCAATCAAGAATAAAGGAGGAACATGTCCAACTTCTGAAACTCGGGCTCGCGGTTGGGACACCAAAATCCTCCCCAGGCTCTGGCTACTCACTTCCCAAGCTTCCCATTCCCTTCGCCCATGGCCCCTGCATTGCTTTTCCTTTCTTCTCTGTCCCCCCAGCTCTGGAAGCTTTAAATGAATTTGAAACTCCCTTGTTCTCATAAGTTATGCCTTTCCCTTACCAGAAATACAGAGGCATTTTAAAAAGAGGGAAATCTGACTCTTTGTGACAGCATGGGTGGACCTGGAGAGTATTATGCGAAGTGAAACAAGCTAGTCATTTGTGATTTCACTTATATGTGGAAGCTAATAGACAAAATAAACTCACAAACAAAATAGAAACAGACTCATAGATACAGAGAACACACTGACAGCTGTCAGAGGGGAGAGGGACGAGGGAGCTGGGTGAAAAGGATGAAGGGATTAAGTAGAGGAAAAAAATACAGATAACAGTAGGGTGGATTACAGGAGGGAACGGGAATAGACAAGCGGAAGAGGGCGATGGAGGAAATACACGGCGGCAGGAAGAGACTTGACTTTGGGCGGTGAGCACCCGATGCAGTGTGCAGAGGACGTGTGATAGAGTCGTACACTTGAAACCTGTATGGTTTTATTAACCTGTGTCACCTCAGTAAATTCAGTAACAAATAAATAAAATAAAATGCACATAGATATAGAAAAAATTTGATATGATTTTAGATATTTAAGACTCATTATCTCAGATCTCGAAGCAACCTTAGAAATTATCTAGTCCAATGCTCTACTTTTGTTAAATAAAAACAACACTAAAACCCAAAGACAGAAGGTGACTTTTCAAAGGTTATGTAGTAAATTAGAGACAGAGTAAGAATTAGAACCAGTCAAGTCAGAAGAAAGGGGCAGACACCATTATTATACATGGTACAAGCGAAAAGAATGAGAAAATGTAAAGGCAGGTGCTCGATAACTCCCTGCAGTAGCCTGGCCTACCTCTCCCACAGAGCAGCCTGCTTCGCCTGGGCCTTGCTGGACTCAGAGCAGGTTACGTCACAGGAAATGATCCCTTCCCTGCAGTGCTTCACTTATCTGTGGGAAACATGAGTGGGACACAGGAGCATGCACCCAGCCACAAAGCAATAGGTTTATGCCTGGGGAAGGGCCTTCAGGAGAAGCATGTTCGGAGCCCAGCTGCTTGGGAAGTCTGCACAGTAACACCAGGGTCCACTGGAGACCCTGTACGCAGCCTGTCCGCCACACCAGCTCAGCGCTGGACAGCTGGTTCCTCGCAAGGCTCTCCGTGGAACCGAGGGTGGGAAGTGGACATGAGACTCACTGGGACAAGCCAGTGGCCGAAGGTTTAGTGCCCCTTCCACTTGGGTGTAGACACTGTGTTACAAGCGGGACCCCAAAAAAATGGAATTTATTTATAAAAAATTGTGTATTCTTACATGTTTAAACTTCAGTCACCTTCAAAGTTGTCTTCGACTTTGAAGTATTCGATGCAATACACCTATCGAGATGTTTTTTCAACTGCTCAAAACAGCGTTTGAACTCGTCGATTTTGGTATCTTTTAGTGTTTTCTCTGCTTTTTGCTTCACCTCTTCCTAGTTGGCAAAACGTGTCCCTGGATTTTTCTCACTCAGGGCAAGAGTGGGCAGGGGGGCAGGGGGGTTGTGCCATTTCTGGTCAAAAACTGCTGAGCACTCAGGGCAGCGTGGGCAGGTGCGCTCATACATCACCCATCCTGAAGTGGGCACACACGTTGGAAGGGTCTTCAGAAAAACTCACTGAAGCCAATTGCAGCCTCTCACAGCAACCAGCGGGCACCCTGATGCAGACGGTTCCCAGAACACTCGCCTAGTGGGGGAAGCCTGTATTACAGGCGCCCCCCCCCCCCCCCGCCTCCAGAAGATAATTCTGGTTTTTTGGGGTCTCCCCTCGTGTAGTGTCCATCCCTGTCCAAGATAAGTCCCTGAACTGAAGCACTTCTTTAATCTTACACCTATGCTCCTGCTTGAGTTTTTCTCAAACTGGGACACTTGAATGCTCCTTATTTCTGGCGTCCCCCTTCTCACAGTCCCTTGGTCACGTGTGCCCTTGCAGGGCCCCAAACGGGGACTACAGCACGACCAGCTTGCAGTCAGTGAAAGATGACGTGTTCATTAACATTTTCGATGAAGTCCAGTATGATGTCTCGGAGGTGAGTTCACCGTTTGAGGGAGGAGTCCGCCCTCGTTTCCACAGCCTCTCTTCACTGTAGAAGACCCGAACCCATTGCCCATCGCTCTTGTATTTAAATGTCTGAGACTTGACATGTATAAATGGGGAAGGGACAAGGGAGAAGGGAAAAAAAAAGAACTAGCTTTTTTTCTTCAATTGAGTGTCTGCTGTGTTCCAGGAATCGTACCCGGTGCTCTTCATGCACCTTTCCTTCCTTAATTCTAAAATAACACTATGAGGTAGATTATTAAATGCCCCACTTATTAATGAGGAAGCCAAGGTGCAGACTTTCCTTGGGTCACAAAACCACGAAGCACCTGAACCAGAATGTGACCTGGGTCTGTCTAACCTAGGCCCACGTGCCCGCGGCCCGACTCCTGCTTCTTTCCTGCTGCAGAGTTTATTAACTGAGCGTCCGGAGCTCTTAGACGATTTTTACTTCCCGCCCCGCCTTTAGGATGACCGGGAAAGAGGACGCGGAATCCACACGCGCATTGAGAGGCACTGGTTGGGATGTGTGAAGATTCCATTCAGCACGATCTATTTCCAAGCGAGGGTAAGCATCCCACGCGGAATCCGCGGGAGGAGGGCACCGTGGCCCCCCCGCCCCGCCCTGTGGCCCTGGTCAAGTTTGCTTTGTGGGCACCTGCCTTGACACTGAGGGAACCGTGTGCAAAGCCGCCCCAGGGAACATAAACACCACTGTAGAAAGCCATTGGTTTTCTGTCATATTTGCACCGCTTTTTAAACATCTATCTTCCTTCGAGTTAGTTGTTAATGCGTGACTGTTCCAATCTGAGAATTTTTTAAACCTTTAAATAGAAGTGAAGGAAAAGGTGGGACAAAGTGGAAACTTGTCAAAGTGACAAAGTGGAATGAACAGACGCCTGAAAGTAACTTGAAGAAAACAGGACCCCTGATGGCCCATTTAATCAAGTGCATTTCATGAAGGTTTCTAGAGTCCTCGCTATTTCAAACATGAAAAATGGTTACTAGAGACTTGCTCAGCTAAGACACCCTTCTTCTGAATTTAGCGATTTTCCTAAAGGGATCCATTAGGTTAACAACTCCCGAGCAACTTACTGCCTGCAACCTGGGACAGGTAAAGATTCGGAAACGGCTTTAACATCCCAGCACGAAGTGTATGGCAACGGGAGACTTTGAGCCACAAGAGTGGCTCGTCCACTCAGCGGAGGAAGGGACGGTTTAATGCCACACGCAACGTGCGCACAGAGCAGCGCGGCCCCGGCCACAGAGCCTCCAGCGAGGCCAAGGCCGAAACTCCGCTCTGAGAGGCGCGGCTTGGCGGGAACCTCCGACCGCTGGGAACCTCCATCCCCCTCCACCACCCGCCCCCCCAGGCAACAGGCACAGCCTGCAGGTGACGCTACAGTGATAGGCTTGCCCAAAGAGAATTCACATGTCCCTCTTTGAATACATTTTAAATTTAAAACAAAATGCAAGCACATCATTTTGCAACTGAAATCGCCCAGGTTTTTGGCCGCTGCTGAATTTCACTTATGGAAGAGCACGCGGAAGCAGTGACTGCACGTGATCAGCGGATCTCCTGGGCTCTACCCGGGAAGTGTCCCTTCCCCCTGCAAGGCACCTTCGCTGGCGATTCAAGCTCTTTCCCTCTCTCTCCTGCAGCACCGATGCTGCCAAAAACTGAAGCAAAACTCTGAGTTCTGTAACTTCCAATTCCAGCCCAGAATAGTTTTGTAGCACTGGATAGTCTTCGATAAACATAGCGTTGCTTTGATGATGCGCGAGTTAAAAGTTCTGCCTTTCTGGACCTCTGCATAAGTTAGGTCCTTTTGTAAAAGTCGTTTGTCTGCCACTCAGCTCACATTTATTGAGCATCTGCTGTGTATACAAAACACTGCTATGTACCAGAGAAGGGTGGTACGGAAGGGAGGGAAGTGCGGATTCTGTTCACTGAGAGGAGTTGTCTGGGAGGACATGGCAAATATGCACACAACTATGACGTCTGACAGGATGTGTCGGTGTAACGAATGAAAGAAACAAACTACATGTGAGGCTGGTGGAGACGAGGAACTAACCCACAAAGGCGGTAACAACTGACTGAGCCATGGAAAGTCATTAAAATTCAGAAAGGCGGAGAGGGGGCGGGGGTGCTGGGGCGCTCCAGGAACGGGGGCCGGCCATCAGCCCACCCCACCCCCCCAGCAGCTAACCGGGCGCCAGGCATCTACCTTCGGGTTTTTGCATCTCTTAACCCACTCAGCACACACAACCACCCTGCAAAGTAGGTAGTATTATTGTCTCCTTCTTACAAATGTGTGAAGTAAGACATTTTTGGAGTTTAATTTGGGATGTGAACCCAGGCTACCTAGTGTTAGTATCAGCTTGTCCACACGCTGCTGCCCCTAGAAAAGAGGGCGGCAGAAAAGGGAGCCCTTTCTGTGAGCACCTTGGGAGACCGACCTAGAAGAGGGGGCGGACCTCGAATGCCAGGCCGGGTGTCTCCATTGAATTCATCAGATGATGAGGAGCTGACGTCTGCCTTTGAACCTCTGTTGGAAAATGACCGGGATGTTTACCAACTTGTCTTTTCTTCACAGATTGATGGAACTTTTAAAATAGATATTCCCCCGGTTCTCCTGGGCTACAGTAAGGAGCGAAGCGTGGTTATCGAGCGGGGTTTTGACTCTGCCCGAAGCCTAAGCGAAGGTTCCTACATCACCCTGTTCATCACCATCGAGCCTCAGCTGGTTCCTGGGGAGCCGGTTCGAGAAAAGGTAAGTCTGTCTACACTTTGGAGTCATGTCTGACGCTGACGAAGCATGAGAAATGCTTGCCAGGCCCCACAGCACAAGCAGGGGTTTCCTTTCTCCAGTGTCCGCTCAGTACTCGTTTGGTCCGGACAGAACGAGGGGGAAGAGCAGCAGCGTGGGTTTGTATTTCCATTGAGTCAGTAACAAGGTCAACCAGCAATGTCAACTTCTAAGCAAAGCAAGACGAATATAAACACGCTCCTCTTTCAGGAGAATTTTCTCAGTGGGAAGATTACAAAATATGACCAACTAGAAAAGCAGGTTCCTCTTTATCTGGACACTCGTTGGCAAGCACGTGGACACGTTTGCATGGCGGACCTCACATCCCTGGCTGTGAGATGTACTGAATAGATTCAAAAGGATTGTAATGCGAGGTGACCTTCAGGGGTCACCTCAGTTCCTCTCAGTGCCTTCAGACAGAAACAACTACGTGCACAAGAATTCTACTTTTAAAAAGCTCTAGGAAAAAAAAAGGGTTTCCAGAACTTCCACTTGTCGGCAGCTGCCTCCCCGTCTCGTAGTCAGGAGGCACTCTGCTACTGTGACCGCCTGCACAGCACTGAGGTGTGCACCCTCATTGGATTGGGGGGGAAACATTGACCATACACTGAGTTCTTGCTCTGTCCTGAGCACTGTGTCTGGCATTTGACACATACGTTCTCCCCTTTGATATCCCCAGCTGTCTTATAAGATGAGTCTCCAACTCAGAGATGAGGAAAGGAAGCCCAGCTTATCCTGGCTCGCCCAGGCAGTAAATGGCACGGCTGACAATTAAACATCTGTCTGGCTCTAAATCTTATATATTCAGCAGATATTTACGGGATATCTTCTGTGGGACAGGTGCTTTTTAGGCACTGGGGATACAAGGGCCTAGAAAAGCAAATAAAAATTCCTTGGGGCTTACAGTCCTGCGTGAGCCCAAGTTGTTAACCACTAAGCTGTACTGCATAGATTATTATACTGACTCTTTATCCATCGTGATTAGACTCAGATGGAGATTTTTTTTAATGTGCACATTCCTCTCTTTTTGCATTCCAATTTGTTTCAGTATTACAATGTGGTTACAGAAGACATAAAGCATCATTGGAAAAACAAACATGCTAAAATTCAAATTAATCTTATATCCTAGCCTTTGTAACTCAAGCTGTGACAAATACGTTCTCTAGAAAGCATGCTAGAATATATGCATTTAGAAATATTTTAGAAAAGGAAACGTATTCAGAATGTTTTCCTTCCTGTGTAAACTCAAGAGAAAGCCAACAGGCATGTTTACACAGAAGAATGCTCCCAGACAAAAGAGGGTTTTCACGATTGCTGTGTATTCTTAGCAGGAGAGAAAGCAGTCAGCTGGCGCTCCACCTGCAGGGGAGCCTCCAGTCGGGGGGAAGGCTGTCTGCTGAGGCTGCGGCTGGAAGGAGGAAATCAGAGCCTCCTTGTGCCTTGCCCTATTCAGGGGCACTGACCTCCTATCACAGAATGTTCCAGAGGCCCCCAGGGCCCTGAAGCCCGGTTCCCACGCCTTGCAGCCTCCCTTCCTTGAAGCAGACGGCTCCCCTGCGGGGTTCGGTAGCATTTCACTGCCCCATGTGGCGGTAGGAAGCATTTCTCTTAGACTTGTAAACACAAGGCCTCAGAGCCCCTCAGAGCCCAGAGGCCCGGAGGCCTTTTGATAAGGAAGGCACTGGACTGCCAGCCCGCTCGCCCTAACACGCAGAGGCAGAAAGGTTTCTCAGGGCTTCCCCTGCAGGTTACTCAGGAAAGAGCAGCTCCCCTTAAAATAATAGGGACCCACAGCTGGAACTGCTCTTCCACTCAGAGCGAGCTCCAGAATCAGCCAAGCCGTCTCCCTCCACCGTCATCCCACCTGGCCCCATTCTCTGATTTTTTAAAGGTGTTTGTTTACTCATGGAATTTTCTAAAAAAATCCATAGCAAAGCCTGAAACTCTGGTTCCTACATTCCCCACTTTATACTGTCTTGGTAAAAAAAAAAAAGAAAAGAAAAGAAAGAAAAAGTTTTTGAAAATAGATTCTGTTAATAAAGTCTTTCTCTTGTTTCTCTTTTTTTCTTTCTTGCCTCTGAGAGATGAGTGAGATGCTTAAAAAGGTACAAGTGCTTGGACCATTCATATGTTGAGCATTCATCAGTCCACAGTTACTGGGCTTTAATTAGCTGTGTTTGTCCTCTGCCACCTTATGGAATGTGCTGGGTCCTCATGTGTGTGTGTGTCCCCTTGGCAATGAACTACAGACAGCTGTAGTTCCACCAAGACTGTGCAGCTTTGTCCTTTGGCCCATTTCATTATGTCAGAAGGATTCTCATTTAGCTTGGACTCTGGGAAGCCACAGGTCTGAATGTCACCTGCATGCTGGGAGCTGCGTCACGTGTTTTCAAGTCCGTAACGCGCATGAGCAGCTTCTTACAGAGACAGTGTGTTTGTGACAATTATTTCTGATGAGTTGAGCTGTTACAGTGTAAGTATTCAAAGGGAGGAAACACCCATTCAGCTTCCTTTAAGTATTTACATTAACCTGGAGGTTAAAGAATCAAGCCGGTTAAGACTTTTCCCAATTTCATGTTGAATCAAATTGTGAGTTTGTCAGGCCCCCCTTAATTTGGCTCATGATAAATGGCCCAAATTCATTCATCATGGAGCTTTTGCTTGGCACTACTCAGATTACTAGCATAGCACACCACTCCTTCAATTACTGTTTCACGCCATGAAATGGCATCCCAGTGGCCTGAATAAGGGATTAATGACCACTGATGCTTATTAAATGTTTACCTTGTGCACGCTCAGTGCAGAAGAGAACAAAGAATGCGTCAAACACGGGCCCTGCTCTCAAGAAGCACTGCTTACAGAGTCAAAATACAGCACCAAACATCCAGGTCCAAGGGGCGTAAAAGGTGGGACAAACTCTTCTCAAGTTGGAAGGCCACAGTTCAAGACTTTCATTGTTCTTCCTGGACAATGCCTAGAGCTGCCTCTCTTCGGTGTTCCCACAGCACATTGTCTTTCTCCCCACAGACATTCTGGTCAAGTATTTTAAGCACCTGGCTGCTTACTAACATTCTCCTCTGGACTAGAAGTTGCTTGAGGGGCCTGTTTCATACTCATTCATCCACAGCACCTGGAACCTTGTTGATTCTCAAACATTTTTCAAATAATTGGATGAATGAATGAGTTTAAAAGAAACAGGGATGAAATCTCACGGGGGGCTTTCTTCTCTCACCATCCTTGTTTTATAATTCTCCATCTTTCTAAAATTACAATTATTTCTGGCCTGACTGTTCTACTGTAGGGGTCTGCGGCACACCCATACCAAAGCCCTAGAAGCCCACCTTTTTCACCTATTTATGTATTCATCATTACCCCCGGGGGGTAGCTGCCACGATGAGTTGAAGGTGATTACGATGATGATGTTGTTAAGATTCCAATGTCAGGGGGACATCCCAAGAGAATAATACATTGGCTTTTGGAGCTGCCTCTGTCCCACCTAACCCCCACAACCGCTCCCCCAATTTCTCAGGTACAGAAATCAAATGAGAAACAGAAGCCATGGTCCAGCTCCAATTAGAATATGTTCAATTCTGGACGAAGTCATAAAAAGTAGTATGATAGTTTTCATTCACTCAGCAATATTTGTTAAATGCTTACTGTGTGCTAGGTAGTATTCTTGGTACTGGAGATAAAACCAAGATCAAAACAGAATCCCTGACTTCAGGAAACTTACTCTATGGAGAATAGAAAGTTAATAAACATATCGTATATCAGTGGTTTTAAATGCTAAAAAATAAAATAAAGAGAGATGGGGGATAGCAGAGAATGAGGGGGAAACCTGGGTGTGTTTTCTTTCTCAAAAAAAAAAAAAAAACCATAAAAACAAAACAAAAAAACTTTTAAGCACTGCCTAGAATCTAAATTTTACTTAAAAATTAATTTTCCTAATAAAAGTTTATTTGTATTTGTCTTGGAATCCCTTGAAGTATAAGCAACAATGCACATATTTTTATACTAAGCAGCAAAAGTCTTGTAAAAACATTTAAAGAGCTGCTGCTTTTCATGCTATTTTTAGCAATGGCTTGAGGGGGAAAAGGCAATAGAAATGTGTTCTGTTTCATATGCTTTGAGTTACTTTTAAAAGTCTGGGAATTCATGGCTCATCTTGAGTCAGAGAACCACTTAAAGTAACTATTACACATTTGATGTTTCTAGCTCTGCTTCCTTTTTCCATGAAAGCCATTACTATTATTTACACATTGATTATGGATTTGAAACATCTTAAAACACCCATATACATCTGTAAACTTGTTGTCCATTTCATATGGGTTGCTTAAGCTTTGCATTTGAGATTTGAGACTTCTGAGCCCTTCTTCCTTCTAAAACCAACATCAAAATACACATCATAAAACTATTGCTTGGTTCTCATCAGTCAGAATTAGTACATCATAGTTGAAGTTTTATATGTTGTTTTATTAACCCTATATGGCTACTTGTCTGTTGACTACTTTCTTTCGATCCCATTTCAATATATATTTAAGTATTTAATGAATCTATCTAATTATGGGATCATAAATATAATTAAAGCTTCGGGGACACCAGAGTATGACAGTGTTGAATGGGGTCATCAATCCGACTTCCTGGAGCACACATTTACCAATAGTCCACATTAACTAGGAGATGTGAACAAGTGTTACTGTGTCTCCTATAATCATATATAAACTCCATGGAACCTTTCTTTTTGAAGTTTGATTCCCAGGAAGATGAGAAGTTGCTTCAAGCAACAGAGAAGTTTCAAGCTGAATGTGCCTCGAAGTTCCCCAATCGGCAGTGCACGACGACGGTGCTCGACCTGAGCGGGAAGACGGTTTTCATTACTCGCTATCTCAAGCCGTTAAACCCGCCTCAGGAGCTTCTCCAGGCTTCTCCCAACGACCCGCAGGCCACAGCGGTAAGCGTTCCGCAGCCAGCCGGCGCTGGTGCTAAGCGTGTGTTAAAATTTCAACCTAGTGCCATCTTAATCACCGTATTTCATAGTATATACTTTAAAAAGTAACTACATCAAGATCATCCGTGGTTAAGTCATGATTAAAACACTTTTAGTACCATGAGGTTTATGTTCCTTAGGAAAGTTTGAAGGTACCAGAGAGGATAGTAATTCTTGGTTCATTCTTTCAACAATTATTGAATGCTTACTGTATCCCTGACACTATATTGGCTGCTGGAAAGCTGGTATTTGGAAGGTGCTCTACACTTTCACAGTGTCTTACATAAACACGTCTTCATTTTGTATTCTCAGTAACTTCACCTGGCTTTGAACCTAGGCCTGCGATTCAGAGGTCGCGCACTTCGTACTATACCAGGATAACTATTCGGTATTATACTTAACATTGTACGCATCACTGAATTCAAATTAAGCAAAAGTGATCTCCAGTGTCAGAGTGTTGCGGACGCACGCCGTGCGTCACCTAACACCAGAATGAATGGGCCCCGACGTACACGCACGCGCCTTTCTCCGGGGACAGAAGCCGGGCGTGAAGCAGGCTGTTCTTCAGTGACTCCTGCAACCCCTCACGGCCTTTGGAGAGGCTAGATTAGGGAGTGACTGCTGCTCATAAGTTAGTAATATAGTAGTTAGGACCAAGATGATGATATGCCTATTTGCAGATGTAAGTATGTAAAAAAAAAAAACCTTGTGTTCCACATTTCATTTACATTTTTTATTAATCAATTTTTATTGAAAACCATAAAGGGACTTCTGTTGTCTCTAACATAGTAGAAAGACGTGCAGAAAACATCTCCCTGTACAGAGCCTTTCAGGTTGATGAGTAAAATATTTTAAACATTTGAAAAATCATGGCTGAAATAGGAAGAGACAGAAAACTGCGAGAGAGCAAGATTCCAGGCAAGTGAGGGCTTGAAACAATGTTTGCCCTGAGGTCATGGAGTAATTCCTGGTGCTGGGTTTCCGTGGGCCACAGGCTGCGGAGGCAGGAGGGAAGCGGGGGGAGGGTGCCGGGGGAAGGCTAGATTACAACGGCCCTGGAGGGGGAGTCCCGCCTGCCTCACCCTCAACTCTGGATGAAAGGGAAAACAGGCAAGGCCTCCCATGGGAATTCCTCATCGCAAAGCTGCATTTATTCACATGCAGTACTGGAATTTACACGACCAGTATGACCAGTATGACTATTTACAGTATGACTCCCAAAAACTTCAACCAAAAATTTCATTGAAAGTATTCCCTGTTGGTAATGCCCCTAGAAGCAAACAAATCCTTCTAGAACATTCTTTAAGCTCGGCCTCCAAAAAAATTCCACAGAAAAAGTTCCAAGCAACATGAAACAAAAGCATCCATAAAGAAATAAGTCACCGTGAAGGTGAGAGTGGGCAGGACCAACAAACTGCAGAATCTGGCCACAAAGACTACTGATATTAGAGCAATTGGATTCTAAAAATAGATATGTTTAATAAGCTTCAGAAATCTAGGAGACTGAATATGGAACAAAAGAACAACAGACTATCAGAATTGGCGGGCACAGGTTAAGGGCACACTTGTAGAAATAAAAGGTTAGAGAGTTAATATTAAAAATTAAACAAGTTAAGCAAAACATTAAATACAGTTAGATACAGAGTTTAGATTCATACAGTGAAATGCAGAATTACTGAAATAGAATACACACACAAAGAAAGAAAAAATACAAAGGAATTGTTAGGAGGCATAGTGGAGGATGGCGGACCAAACTGGGTATAAAAGGAGAAAAGCAGTATTCAGAGAGAGAGAGCTGAGAATTTTCAAGATTTTTTAAAGATGACAATCCTCCAATTCAGGAAGCCCAGTGAATCCTGAGCAAGGTAAGTAAAGAGAAATCAAAATCTAGGAATATCAGAGGGAATTACAAAGGCAAGGATGATCTGAAAAGCAGCTCGAGAGAAAACAGATTACCTACAAAAGAAAGTAGTTAGACCAGTAGGGTTTTGAATTGCATGAATGAAAGCCAGATAAGGAATATTTCCAAAAGACTGAAAGAAAATAGCCATCACACTAATAATTTATATCTAGTGAAACTATCATTCATACAGACATTGGGAGAATTTACAGCCAAAAGATCCTCACCTTCGGAATTCCTTAAAAATATACTTCAAAGAGAAGGAAGACTCTCAGAAAAATTCTAGATGTAACACATACTGCTAAGTTGTTTTTTTAAAAAAGGAAATTTATGAAGAAATCTAAAACAGCATTGTTTTCATAAAAACAATAATAATACTGTGGGTGTAAAATCAGGATAGAATACAAAATCCTGGGGGGAAAGATGCATGTGTCAGCACAGGAGTAGTAAAATTTTTTTTCAATGTGTCCCCTTTGTGCTCGTCCACCTCCCCGACCGCCTCACCTCCCGAACATGGCGCTTCCCCCTGGCAATCCCCACACTGCTGTCTGTGTCTGTTTGGTGGGTTTCTTGCTTAATCCCTTCGCCTCTTTCACCCAGTTCCTCAAATCCCCTCCCCTGACAACTGCCAGCCTGTTCTCTCTCTGAGTCTGTTTCTGTTTTGTTTGTTTGTTTATTTTGTTCATGAGATTCCACATGTAAGTGAAATCTGACTGGCTTATTTCACTCACCATAATATTCTCCGGGTCCATCCAAGCTGTTGCAAAATGTAATGCCCTTGTACGAGTATTTTCCAAGATGAGGTCAAAGATATTTATTAACTTTTGAACTTAAGTGAAATTTTCATGTTGGAATTTTTACATTAACCACTTAAAAGAGTAAGAAAAATGAGTGCTGTAACTTCCAAACTAGCAGTGCCAAAAAAAAAAAAAAAAAATTGAAATCGGGGTGAAGGGAAGTAGGGAGGGGAAAAATATATAGAAAAACTGTAAGGAATAAAAAAGCACAGAACAAAGTAGTGAAAATTGTCTCAATATTTACCAATAGTCACAATCAAACCAAAGGGATTAACTTTCCAGTTAAAAGACAAAGACCGTTAAAATAGACTTCCAGTTTTTAGTGGAACTTGGTGAGCTGATTCTCATATTTCTGTGGCAGTACAAAGTGTCAAAAAGAGCTAAGACCATCCTGAATAGTAAGAACTCGACAGAAAGATTTGTCTCACCATACCTCCAGACTGCTGACGTGACCATAGCAATTAAGGTAGAATGGTATTTACACATGGGTAACTAAGAGAAAAATAAAAGAGAAGACTCCAGAATAGATCCCCTCATATATGACCTATTCAAACATGATATATGACAAAGCTGGCATTGGAGATTCATAACAAAAGGGGGACTATTACATAAATTGTACCAGAATCAGTGATTTTTTTTCATATAAAGAATAAAAATAGATTCCTATTTCACATCATTCAATGACAGAAAGATTGAGAACTTAAACATGAAAGGCATTTCTATCTACGAGTATATGACTTGAGATAGAAAGTGTTTCTTAAACAAGACAAAAAAGCACAAACTATAAAAAAGAACCATAACTTCGTTCACACTGAAACTGAGACTTGCCCTGACTGGTGTGGCTCAGTCGGTTGGGCGGCGTCCTGCAAACCGAAAGGTCTTGAGTTTCGATTCCAGGTCAGAGCACATACATGCCTGGATTGCAGGCCAGGTCCCACCACCCTGTTGGGGGTGTGAAAGAGGCAGCTAATTGATATTTCTCTTGCACATCAATGTAAAAAAACATGAATTTAAAAATATGCAAAATAACCAGAAATTCACAGAAGTGGAAACATGAGAGGCCATATGAAAAGATGTTCCACCTTCTTATAAATTACATAAATCTGAGTTGCACCTACAACAGCGCCCTGATCTTGGTTTCTAAGGACTAATGCTCTCCCAGAGGGAGCAGGGCTCCTTGGAGAAATGGCTGTCTTCAGGGCCAAGCTAGTGAAAACACAAGATGACCCTGGGAAGTCTCATTTTACCAGAGGAAGGAAGTGGGGAAGAAAAATGTTAAGGACATTTCAAAGTGATGCGGGAGCCAGTTTCTTCATCTGTAAAAAGTGGGTAATAACAATGACCGTCTTTGTAGGATGTTTGGTTGAGGGTTAAATGGGCTAATATTCATACAACACTTGGGAAGCACTTGGTGAGGATTCGTTTCATTTTGTACATGTGAATGTTCGTGATACAGGAAACGTTTTTTGCAGGAAATGAGGCCGAAAATCCGGCTTTCTATTGATTAGAAATTATTTTGGTAAAGCTAATTTTGTTTACACAGGAGCTGGTGGCTCGATATGTGTCACTGATTCCATTCTTGCCCGACTCTGTTTCGTTTGCTGGGATCTGTGACTTATGGAGCACATCTGATGTAAGTAGTTCTTCCTCACAGGCTGACTAGTCAGAGCTGACTTCTCAGAATATTAGCTAAATGGCTTGTGTAATTTTAAGTTAGGACATGCATTGGTCATTGTAAAAATCTACTGGGCCATCGTTGAGTGGGATGAGCTGAATTCTGACATATCTTTTTCCTTTCAGGTCCAATCTGCCCTAAGATCAAAAGTTTACAAAAATTAGTTACTTGCAGAAATAAACTAAAAAACAAACACTTGAGATGTCTTAACGCTGACTTACCCTCCTAGTATTGCCTTAACAACGTCCCAGGTTTATTCATTTAAAAAAATCAAATCTATACCCTCTATTACATTTGGAAATTGTATATTCCTTAGCTTGCGGGCTTCTTAAGGCGTGCCATGTCGTTCCTCATTCAGTACGCATTTCTTGGCCGCCTGCCACAGGACTGGCACTGTGCTGACCTCTGGCTGTTGGCAAAAGCCTGGCCCTGGCCCTCGACAGGCTTACAGTCTCTGTGCCGTGTTCCTCCCGCTGGGTCTTGGTAGGATGAGACTAACCTCTCTCACTGGTATTCCTTCTGTTTCTGGATCTTGTGTTGTACTGTGTTTGCATAAAATTAAAATATAGAACTCCTTGTGAAGGATAGCTCTACAGAAAAATTGAAGTGCCCTTTAAGTTTTTTGTTCCCCAACACATTTTGGCAACATAACGTTGACAATTTTAGAGATAAAAGTTTCCGCCACCTGGAGACATCGGTAAGAAAATATGCCAAGAAATAGTCCGTGTGCTTTAGAGCCCGGCTGGCTTTACCGCCTCCTAGACGTTACCTCACCCCACTGTGCCTCCACTTCCCCTCAAAGGTCTGTTATGGAATTAAATGCAATGTGTTCAAAACCCTTTGGGGGCAGAGTAGGGGAGACATGTATGAGTAGACGGAGCACACATGACTTTCAGGGCAGTGAAAATACTCTGTATGACGTTATAAAGATGGATGCATGTCATTATACATTTGTCCAAGCCCACAGGCCGTCCAACACCAAGACTGAACTATAGTGTGAATTTTGGACTTTGGGTCATTATGATGTGTCGCTCTAGGTTTGTCAGTTGTCACAAAGGTACCTGCCTATCTGGTGGGGGACGATGATGGGGAGGCTGTGCACATGTGGAAGCAGGGATTACATGGGAAATTTCTGGACCTTCTTCCCAACTTAGCTGTGAACCTACCTGCTCTGAAATATAGGCTTTAGCCCTGGCCAAGTAACCCGGTTGGTTAGAGTATCATCGTGATACTCCTAGGTTGCAGGTTCAAGCCCCAATCAGGGAAGATAACAAGAATCGACCAATGAGTGCATAAATAAGTGGAACAACAAATCAATGTTCCTCTCCCCACCCCTCTAAAATCAATAAAATAATTTTTTTAAAGTTACTGATAACTTTAAAAAAGTGTTCAGCACTAAGTAAGCTGTCATACATAATGTCAAAATGAAATGTAAAATTTTAAAACGTGTCTCCCTCATCCCATAGTGTTAATCAATTCTAGAAATCCATGTCTTCAATGTCTGAGAAAGCACCATGTCCACTAAAACTGCTTTTTAAAAAAATGAATTACACACTACCAAAATTTAGGAATAGATTTTAAAAATGGGTCATATACTTTAAGGTACTAATTTTAACAATGACTTTTTGAAATCCCGTGCAGCCAGCTAATCCAGGATGAAGCTGTCAGTCACCGCAACATAATTCTTTTCTTTTTGTCAGCAATTTCTGGATCTCCTGGCAGGAGATGAAGAAGAGCACGCAGTCTTACTATGCAATTACTTCCTCTCCCTGGGTAAAAAGGCCTGGCTCATCACGGGCAATGCCATTCCAGAGGTGAGACCGTGTGGGTGGGCTCTCGCAGAGGAGTGTGCCTACCTCACAGGGCTGTTATGTTCCAGACGGTAAACAGGGCTGATTTTAATAGCATTGTTTTGAGTTGTAAGACAGTGGCCCAGAGACTCCATAACAGCAGAGAGAACCAGTCATAAGTCACAAAATGGTTTTCACTGGTGCCCGAGTACTGAGCCCTGCACATTTCAGATTTTCTGGCAAATCGGAAGCCGTTCTCAAGCACAGCCCCACCTACCTCTGTCCGTTTAGTATGGAGCTTTCTCCTGCCAACGTTACTAAGAATTCTGATTCCCTCAGCGACCTGCTGTTATTCAGCTAAGGGGGGAAGGGGACCAGAGGCGTGGAAAGGTTAGCAATCTCTCCTTCCTCTCCAGAGTCTACAGGCATCTGCTATTAACCCACAGGCAAAGGGAACAAGGCAGATAACCACAGGAGCCAAGCGTGTCAGCAGCTGTATTGTGGTATTATCATTGTTTTTTTTAGACTGGAGACTTAGTGACTTAGAATTTATTTCCCCAGCTCTCTGCAAATACCCTTACATTTGGGGCAAAATTACCTTGAGGTAATTTTGAGTATAAGTTTAGAAAATTTACATGGACTAAAGCAGCTTATCCAAAATGTTTCAAGAAGAGGCTACGGGGCTCCAGGAATCCTCTGGGAATTAAACAGCACAGGCTGCTGCTAGGCAGGCAGCGTCACATCCGCATCCTACTCCATCCTCCGTCAGTGTCTTTCAGAGACAGGTGGTTTGAGGAAAGGAGCACTGGGCGAGGAAGCCACCGGGCCTGGGTTCAGGGCTCTGCCCACAAGTCGGAGAATGAAATGAAACCATGCATGAGCAAAAATGAATACATGCTCATTGTGACAAAAGGACCCAATAGTACAGAGGTATTCCCAGCAAAAAGTCAGGTCTCTCTTCAGGCGCCAACCCCCAATCCCAGGTGCAGCCACTGTTAACAGTTTGATATGTACCTTCTCCAATTATCTTCTATGTATTTGCGTAAGTATAAATGTATCTCAAATATTACTTACTGTATTAGAAACAGAAGTAGTAGTCAGATATAATCAGCCTTCTAAATGCTTGGAAAGCACCATTAATCGTTTTAAAACTTGTTTTCTTAAAAAAGAAAAGGCAGTGCTCATTTCCATTAGTAGTCGTTCATCCAATCTTAAGCTACTGTATACTGGTTGAGCAACACAACTATTAACCTGTCTGTTCACTAAACTGCACTAGGAGCAGATGCAAGAATTCTGCAAAAATAAACATTGATTTTATTTCTTAAGTCCAGCACAACCTAGAACTTTGAACTAATTTTTCCCATTAGCCATGGAGTTAATTGATCATTTTTAGATGGACAAATGTATAATGACATGCATTGATGGATGCATGTCATTATACATTTGTCCATCTAAAAATGATCAATTATTTGTACAAAGCACTCTTGACCTTAATTGCATAATTAATTGGAAACTCTTCTAATGGCTCTTTTCTTTCAGGGCCCAACTGCCTATGTGCTAACTCAAGAGCAAAGTCACTACTTAATATGGAATCCCTGCAGTGGACATTTTTATGGACAGTTTGATACATTCTGTCCCTTAAAAAGCGTGGGCTGTTTAATAGGTCCCGATAATGTAAGTATTGACATCTCCTCTTCTACATGGTTGACTGTTGCTTTATTTTTTTTAATTGATCTATTTACTTAAATAAATATGTATCCAAAACTTTTATATAAATATATAGCATTTAAAGAAATGTGGTGTCAAGTGCAGTTCCACAATTGTCCTAAATAATAAAATTTTGGTTGAATTTGTCACCTTACAAAGAAGCAGAATAAAGTTCAGGATTCAGAGGACCTGAGCTTGTGTCCTGGCTCTGTCCTCAGTTTTCTCTTCCAAACATTGACAATGTCTATCTCACAGCATATTCAGTTATCACCTGAGAAAACTTTTTCAAGAGAGATTTCCAGGTGCCAGCAGGTGATTCTGATTGCAACCCGTTTGGGGAACCCGTTAGTTATGGAGGGTGCTGTATGAAGCAGGGATCTGCCTCTCCATACACACATGCGCACACACACGTGCTAATTTGAGTCCTGTCTTTTTTAGATTTGGTTTAATGTTCAACGATATGATTCACCACTAAGGATAAATTTTGATGTCACCAGACCCAAGCTATGGAAATCTTTCTTTTCAAGAAGGCTTCCGTACCCTGGCCTTTCCAGCGTCCAGGTATAATTCTTTTAATGGCAATTAAATGTAGGCAAAGCAAGGAAAGAATTTGAAGTCTCTGTACTGGGTTGCCAAATATTTTTTGACCCTTAATTCTACTCCTAAATATTTTGTATAAAATATGTTTGTCTTTCAAACTTAGCTGAGCCTCACTCACCATAAGAAATAACCATCATATCAAGAACCAGTATACACATATGTAAAAAACCTTTTGACATAAGGAGTCCTGTGACATAAAAAATGTCACAAAATATACTCTATGTGAATGTTCAAGTTCTGGTGTCAACTCACTAAATGAATTTCACAGCATGATCTACTCATAAAATATACAGGGGTCCTGGGAGATTTCACGTAGTAAACGTAAGAATTGTTTACTATCTACTTTGAGAGCTGGATATACATATGTATACTGGGTGTGTAATATAAAATGTGTTTCTCACTGTGATCAAACCTTTTTTCAAAAAAGGTTTAAAAAAGACCGTCCTGAGAAATTCTCCCATGCGTACAAGGTGACATATGGAAGATTTTTCACAGGAACGAGGTCTGCGAGAGCCTGGGAACTGGAACAGGCTAGAGATAAATCACAGTACACAACAGAGTATCTTATAATTGTCACACAAAAGCATCAATATTAATTTTAGTAAGCACTGTAAAAATGTGTTTGCTATTATTTCTAAATATAATGTTAAGAGAAAAAGCAATACTCATCAGATAAAATTATTACAGTTTACAAAACATACAGTATATTGTTTAGGAACACACGTCTGTAGTAAAATCACACACACATTATTAATTGGCCTCTCTCCATTGACTATAATGTAAATACCATGGGGACAGGGATTTTTATTCACTGCTATATGCCCCTCACCTGCAAAAGTGCGTGACGCATGGTAGGTACTTTATGCATGTTGAATGAAAGTGCTAGAAAACAAATACACGTCACAGTTACTTCTGTGATGAGAGAAAAGGGAAACTGGGGAAGAACTACACAGCACTATAATTTATTTGTGATGTTTTACTTAAGATGGGTTGTGGGTGCATTAGCATGTTATTTTATTCCCTGTATCTGATTGAATGTCTTTAAGATTTCCTAATTTAAAAAGATCTAGAAAAGGATGTGTAACTATTCAAATTAGGTGTAAATGATTTCTACAATTTCTGAACTACTTCCTCTTTTACAGCCAGAAGAGCTGATTTACCAGGGCACAGACAAAGCAGCTGCAGCTGAGCTACAAGACAGGTCACGTGATACCCGTTAACGCACTTGTACTCGGTCAGGAGGAGCGTAATTCCAAACTGGACAATTCTCAGCCTGCAGCAATGTGAAATAATTTGGGCAATTAAATTTTAATTCATGTTTATAGACCCCAGGTACAAATGTGATCTCTAAATCCCATGGCTGAAAAGATTTTAGCATCGGCATGGTATGGGACAAACAAGAACTCCAGAGGTGCTAGGCAGTTCTCCAAAAGTTCTGCCTCAGATTAGAGTTCAACATCATATTTTAATGGGTCTTGTTCAGACATATAATCTTCAGCTTACACGTGCCTCTTCCTCCAATTAGTGGCTTATTGCGCTTTAGCTAGTTTATAAACCTAAGACATATGGAAGGTGCGTACCTATTGGAGTCCCTAAAACCATTATAACCCTGCACGATAGAACTTCTCCAGTTTCACAAGTGTGGGAACTGAGGCTCAGAGGGGCGACAGGCTTCGGGAGCGGAAGGGAGGTCCTGAGACGCGCCAGACCCAGCTGCGGGGCCGACGTGCCCTTGCTGCTGCGGCCGCCGCTGTGCAGGCCTCGCGTTGGATTACCGAAGACTAAACCTGGCCTCGCTAAAGGGGTTACTGCCTACTCGGAAACACCAGTGTACTCTCAATTTCAAACTCGAATGAAGCTTTATTTGGTCCGCCTAGCCAAAAAATTCTAAGAGCGTCAGGATACTGCTGGTTAGACTCATCGAGTTCTCCAACATGGACGAGAAGTGCGAGGCAATTCTTGCTCAGACCGTCTTGAAACCCAACACAAAGATACGTGCTATGTGCCCAAAGAGAAGGGGGGTCCTAGAGCTCCCGAGTAACAGGGGGCTGGCTGGGCGCCTGCGTCTGTTTGCTAAGGGGTGCACAGGTGCTTTAAAACCGGCAGGGCCCCAGTTCAAATCCCAGCTCCCCCCGCCATCACCAAGTCATTTATCCCACCTCAAAATGTCTCCTTCTAAGTAAAATTGGGAATGTGCTCCCCTACCTCACAGGATTACAGATAGGATTAAATAAAAATGTATAAAAAGCACCAACTAGCACAGTATCTAGTGAACAACAGCTCAATAAAGGGTAGCTATTTTCTTTCATTCTGTGTTCAAGTTCACACATTCTTTGGGCCCAATACCCATCATATTAAACTGTAAAGCAAGGTACCAGAACTTAAGTTGCAATGATGATATTTTAAAGACAGTATTAAGGCAATTCAGAAAAACAGTCCTCGTGAATAGAAGGCACCAGGGAAGCGATCCATAGGCAGCACTCGTGGCCTATGCGAAGCTTTCCACATAAAACCCACCCTTCATGCCTGGGTCTCGTTTGTCTGTATATATGTTACCAATGAGCAAAATGATAAGAACATGCCGTGATAACACACCTTTGGCTGACTGTATTGAATTTCGCGGTCCCCCTTACCCAGTGTTCCCTCTTTTGCGGTCCCCTTCAAGCACCCGCTATGGCCCTTAGGCTATCTGTCCTTTCTACTCTGAGTCCTCAGGGATTAGCCCCCATTAAGTAGCAACTATGACTTGTGAAGGGACCGCGCCACCTCGAGAAATGCCATTATGTAATCACGTGAATGCCCACTGCACACAAATGGGATTTTTAGCTATAAAAGTCAAATCAGCCAAAAAAAAAAAGAAAGAAAGAAAGAAAAAGAAAAGGAAGGAAAGAGAAATGGAATTTATTTTTTTTTATAAACAGGATTGAAAAAATACTAAAAGAAAAAATCATGGACTGGAGGCCACGGCACCTGACGCGGTGGAACAGGTACTGCACCTCCACGCTGCGCCACTTCCTGCCTCTGCTAGAAACCCGTCGCGGGGAGGAGGTAGACGACGACCACCGAGCGGAACTGCTGCGGCAGCTCGGGGACTACCGGGTAAGCGCACACGCCTCCCGGCGGAGCCCGCGGCTTCCCTGTTTCCAGTGGGAAATTGCTCCACGGTCGGTGTAGGGTCATCAAACTCCTACGCTGGCCCATCCGTAAAAGAGAGGATAAAAAAGCTGTGGTAACACTTACACCATTAAATACTACCCAGCCCTAAAGAAAAGGAAATCTTACTTTTCCAACAGCATGGATGGACCTATAGGGTATTATACGAAGTGAAATAAGCCAGTCAGAGAAAGACAAATATCACATGATTTCACTTAGAATGTAATGAACAAAATAGACAGACTCATAGATACAGACAACAGACAGCTGTCAGAGGGGCGGGTGGGGGGCTGGGTGAAAGAAGTGAAGAGATTAAGTGGAAATTGGTAGTTGCAGAATAGGCACGGACATGTGGACTGAAGTGCAGAACCTGGGCAGTTAACATGGAGGTAGCAGGGTACGGCGCCAGGCGGGTGCTTGGGGCAGCGAGGGACCACCCTGTGCGGTGCGTGGTTTCTGACCGCTTTGCTGTGCATCTGGAGCTGGTGCGGAATGGTATTAAATGTAGACTGTAACAGACAAACGTTTTAAAATCCCACATTGCTCTACAAACTACACGGATGAAGCAGCACAGACTAAAACCTGTGATTAAAAGTTCAAATCTAGCCCTGGCTGGGTGGCTCAGTTCGTTGGAGCGTCGTCTGTAACTGAAAGGCAGCGGATTCGATCCCAGGTCCTGGAGCATAAGGAAGGCAATCAATTGGTGCTTTCTCTCATCAATGTTTCTCTCCCTTCCTCTCTCTAAAAGCAATGAAAAAGTGTCCTTGGATGAACATAAAAAAATATTTTTTTAAGTTCAAATCCCAGTAATTAGCATATTATTGAATAGCAAAATAATACCTTTAAAATGAAAAAATTTAATAAGACGATCCTATGGAAAAAGTAACTTTTAAAAAAAGACATTGCAAATATTAAAAAAAATGAAACCATCTGACTAATTCATGTTAGAGTCAACTGTGTATAAAGGTAAAACCAACTCCTCTCAATCAGGTTTTCTAAAAGGATGCCATTTTATACTAATTACTTTTCATTGCTAAGAAAAAATCCCAGGAATAGACAATATATGTTCTCTACCGACCGCTGGTAGTGCTGTGTTCACAGCTGGATAAAACCTAGAAAGCAGACCCAAACTAATAAGACAGTACGCATTGTTGGACAGTGTGAAGCTGGACACTTGATTCTAGTCACTGACTTAAACATACCCTTTAAGGCCAGGTTTTCAGCCAGGATGTTCTTGAGTGACAGAAAAGTTAGTTCAAACAGCCCTGAGCAGTAAAAGTAACTTAAGTACAAGTCAGAGGGGAGTACCCCTAGCCCTCATCCCTGTGACGGCGCACCCTCCCCCGAGCTGGCTCTTCCCGCGGTCGCAGAGGCTCCCATAGTTGCAGGGCGGGCTCCCGGCCACGGCTGTGCACACGCGCTGCCGAAGCAGGAGGGGGCCTCTGTGTGCAGTTACTCCTGGCAATTTCCCAACACTCACTTGGAGACTCGCTGTGATCCCATGCCCACCCCTGCAGATAATCTCTGTGGCTGGGGGCAGAATGCAATGATTAACTTAATCTAGGCCCCCAAAGTTACACGGGCTACTGTGCAAACCAGGGGCTACCAGAAGAGGAAAGGGAGCAGCGGAGGGTGACCACCGGGTGTCGTACACCAAGTCAGTATGCTGGCAACAACAAAAGACATTTGGCCTGTTTTCTGTATTACTAATATACAGCTGAACAGAAAAACAACTAACTTTGAGATCTAGAAAGACTTAAGAATATTATTAAAATTTGTTTTGTTTTCTTTCCCTTCAGTTCTCTGGATTTCCCCTTCACATGCCCTATTCAGAACTGAAGCCTTTAATTGAAGCTGTGTATAGCACTGGAGTACATAATATAGATGTTCCTAATGTAGAATTTGCTTTGGCTGTATATATCCACCCATATCCCAAGAATGTTTTGTCTGTTTGGATCTATGTTGCCTCCCTTATACGAAACAGGTAATTTTTTCAGTGTACACTTTTTGTATCATGTGAACAATGAGAATATTTTTCAGTGATGTTGATCAATTACAAGATATTCGCAAATAAAATTTTCGAACTATAAAAAAAGTGCTTTTATTTAGTAATCTGCCTTGTCTCCGCCACTCTGACACTGAAATTTGGTGACTCCCCAGGCCCCCCTTACACTGTGAGCTCCGTGGTACCCTGCCTTTGTACTTGCTCGCCTGCTACTTGGAAGCCTTTCTCTGCCTCTCCAGCCAAGTATCAACCGTACTTTTAAGGCAGAGCAAAGCTACTTTTCTGAGGGAAGGAGGAACAACTCTGCAACATAAAATTATTTTTAATGCTGAGTATGTCATAAAACCCTATCCCACAGAAATACTAAGCAAGTACACACATGCACACACACACTCACTGACTGAAGCAACACAGCATTTTAGGGGGAAAGGGGAATATATTTATTCATCAAAAGGGAAGTAGTTTAAAAAATTAAGACATTGCTATGGACTGAAAGATTATATCCACCCCCCCCCCCCAATTTCCTACTTTGAAGTGGTATTTCAATACCTTTGTAAATGGTATTTGGAGATGAGGCCTTTGGGAGGTAATTGGGTCATGCGAGTAGAGCCCTTAAGATGGGATTAGTGTCCTTTCAAGAGACAGGAGAAAGCTTGCCTCCTCTCTCTGGCCAAGTGTGGATAATACAATGGGAAGACCGGCTGTCTGCAAACCAGAATGAGAGCCCTCACCAGAAACCAGATCGGCCAGCACCTTGACCGTGGACTTCCCAGCTTCCAGAGCTGTGAGAAATAAATGTTGCTTAAGCGACTCAGTCTACGGTATTCTGTTATAGCAGCCCCAACTGACCAAGACAGATAATATAGTAAGCCATTAAAGAGGATTTACCTTTCTTCAAATCGACTCTTTAAAGCTGGGTCCAATTTAGACACATTAGGAAGAAAGTCTTAATTTTTCAGAAGATTTTATTATTTTTAGAGAGAGGGGAAGGGAGGGAAAAAGAGAAGGAAAGAAACATCAGTGTGTGGTTGCCTCGCACGTCCCCAGCTGAGGAGCCGGCCTGCAACCCAGGCATGGGCTCCAACTGGGAGTTGAACCAGCGACCCTTTGCTTTGCAGGCCAGCACTCAATCCACTGAGCCATACCAGCCAGGGCAAGAGGATGCAAATGTACATGCTGACATGGAAAGATATACACAAAATAGAAATACATAACGCAGGATTTCTCGACAGTAGCACTATTGACATTTTGGGCCATGGAAGTATGGGTACGGGGGTGGCCGTCCTGTGCATTGTAAGCTGTTTAGCAGCATCCATGGCTTGCCTCTACCCACTAGATTCCAGTACATCCTTCCCTTCTGCCAGGTGGTGACAACCAAAAATGTTTCCAGATTTTGCCTGATGTCCTTTATGTCCTGATGTCCTTTATAAAGTGCCTCCAGTAGAGAACAACTGATGTACCTGGAATAAGATCTCACTTAAAAAACAAAGACAGAGGGACCAAATTAAGGAAAAACTTTCACTTTCAGCTATATTCTCCTTTGCTTTTTACATGCCTCTGATACCTCTACTATGAACTCCTAAGGGACAGTTTGAGGACTGACCCTTAATAGTCATTATCAATGTAACAATAGACAGAATGGCACAGTGGTTAAGAACACGAACTCTAGAGAAATCCTAGTTCTGCCCCTTAAGAGCTGGGAATTTGTGGACAAGTGACTTAACCTGTTACTTATTTTCCCCATATAAAAGAGCGTGGTAATTACATTACCTGCTCCATCACATTGTTGTGACGATTAAACAAGCCGGTACATTATGAAGCACAGCTGACCCTCGAAAAACACAGGGGTTTGGGGCACCAACCTCCCAAGAAAAGTCTGCGTAGAACTTTTGACTTCCGAAAACCTTAGTTATCTCTCGGTATCAAAGGAGGACTTGTTCTAGGACCCTCCGCCCCGCCCCAAGAATACCAAAATCCACAGATGCTCAAGTCCCCTATGTAAAATGGCGTAGATCAATGGCGTATACAGTTGGCCCCCCACATCCTCAGACCCCCAACTGTGGATCAAAAACAGAGAGGTATTTATTGAATAGAATCCACATAGAAGTGGAGCCACACAGTTGAAACCCAAGTTGTTCAAGGTCAACTGTATTTAGGACACTGCCCAGCACTGAACACCTGACATTTGTCAGGAACCACAAGGCACTTCGCATTAACTATTCCCTTTTATTCTAAGAATGAACAGTTTCAATAATCAATGAAATCAATCACAAAACCCAAGGTAAATTTAAACCAAGTATATATAGTGTATCATTAAATATTAACCATCTCCACAAGTTAATAATGAAACAGAGATAATGGATAAAAATTAAACGCAGATTACGCTGTCTCCCCATGCGACTGGAGGGAAGGCAGATAGCAGAAAACCAGTTCTCACGTGACAAGTGCCAACACTGAAGTCGTTCGATTCAAGCCTGCCGAGTCCTATTCAGTGGTTTGCTAATGTTAAGAAGCACAGGACAAAGCAAAAAGGAGGCACTTCAATTACCTGGAACCCTTGGGGAAATGAGCTGCTCAAATTAATTAATTTAAAAGGATAACATTTAGAGCCAAGTCCTGAAACACCATTTAATCATTTTTTTTACATAAGTATTATCATAATTTTCCACCCAAAATATTATGCTATTTTCTGACTGGGAGATAAACTTTGGTCCCCCCATCGATGACCCAGCGCATGGTTATAGATGAGTAATTTTACCACGCAGTTCATACAACTACAGATAGGATGAAGTATAAGATTGGATGGCACTCACCGCAGAAATATTCTTGTAGTTTGTTTTCCTGAAACAGTCCCTTCTGTCAACTTTTCAAATAAACTTTACTAAACATTTAAAGAAATAAAAATACAGTAACTACAAAAGAGTCAATCTTACAAAATAAAACTTCTGATCCTATAAACTATTTAATAAGCTCAGACTTCCTTTGAAGTACTGTAAGGGAATCAAGAAAGTTTTTCACTTTGTGCTTAGGCTGGACTTTAAAGGACAAGACACGGCGTAGCAGTACCACAAAAGACATAACTAAAGTTTAAGAGCTATAAACTCAAAAAGTAAGATGGTCTGCTTATACACCTTCCCTGCAAGAATGTTTGGTGGTTCCATCATTTGTTTTGCAAATGTTTAACAGGAGTGGGATCAAAATGAGAGACCCCTTAGAGAAAGGTAAAATTTCAGAGAGTCATGAGACAGCCACCCTTTAAAGCTGATCTTCCCTTAGAGTGTTTAATTCAAATGTTAGTGAAACAAGCATGAGTGGGTTCTCCCTATTTATTTGCCCATCAAATGATTCTTCTTTCATCTTTAGACCACTCTAGGATACAAGTTTTCTCTTAGCCTGAACTGAAACCTGTCTCTCTATAATTGGTGTCTCTCCAATTCCTCCAACAAAACAAACAAACAATACCTGGGATGACAAAAAAAAAAAAAAAAAAAAAGACTGCAAGACTACTTCCTCTTCTACAGCTGCGCATGTATTCCGATGGCATGCCCCAACTATTCTCCTCTTTGTGACAAAATCATATATAGCATGTATAAAACTGACTCAATATGCACCTTTTGAATAGTAGGTTTCCACTCGCATCATCTCTTCACACGTCAACGAAAGTAAGCTTACAAATTCAAATTTTGACTACTGCACAATTAATTTCAAAAAGACGATTCAGCTCAACAAAATTAAGTATCTGTCTAAAACTATCAAGGTCATGATTTTGTGGGAGCTGAAATATTTACTCCTATTTCACACTAAATTAAACCTGCATTGAGATTTATAATAAAATCAAAACACAAAAGAAATTAATTGGTAAAGTCCTCAAAGTAGATTTTATTTATACATTTTTTCAAATGATTGTGGAATTTTTAAAAATCCCTCTCAAATTTGACAATTTGGGGACAGTGGTAGGAACCAGGAGTTCTCTGAAGCTAATACAAATAAATTGGTGCTTTACCAGCTCACTGAGCTACCACCAAGAAGCCAATTTGTCCTATAATCTTAAAGAATCTGACATGTGGGTATGTTTCAACTGGCCCGCTGAGAATTGTTCAAATAAGGAAACATTATGGAAAAGAGATTGGTTCCCAAAATGTGCAGTCTTTGAAAATAAAACTTCAAAAGTGTATGTCTGAAAAGATCTGCAAAGCTTGGTACAGTGTTTATATAGAAAGAGAACCAATAACCCCCCCACTGACTAAACTCAAAGTAATCTAAAAAATACTTTAAATGGCAAGGCATTAGTGACATTATTTTCAAAGCATCCAATTTAAGAGAAAGATGATAAAACTGTCCTTACTCTTATGAAAAGACCTAATCCCTTTCTAAAACAAAAACAAGATTTGCAAAAGAAACAACACTGTACAATTCACTGGTAAATTAAGATTTCTGAGGCTGAAAGGAATGGGGCCAAAACAAGTCACACTCAAAAAAGGGATGGTTAACACAAGAAATGTGCTACAAGTAAAGTGCATGAAAGGAAGCCTGCTCAGCTAAATGAAGTAGACAAAAGTCAGGAGTCAAAGGTCATTCGCCAGAGCGGCAGCAGGCTCGAAAACCACACTGCAAATTCTGGCATCCGCTGGCGGTATCAGCATGAGGACCTGTATAAAAACAGAAAAGTGTGAAAGGAGGAATTTCTTAGAGAATCACATAAAAATAATCTTGCTTATGAAAGAACTTAAAGCATTGATTTTTTTTTTTTTTTTTTACCAGCGGTACATTTATAACATAGAAGTAAAATCTCACAATGAGTATATAAAAAATTATTCAGAAACAAAAATTGCCAATAGCTTGCCTTTAACATATCTGTCATGCTCCAAAAGCTAAATGAATGAAAAAGAGAAATAATATTTTGGCAACATTCTTACAAAGTAAAACTCTAAGAAGATAACACACAGGCCCCAAGGCCGGACCGACTTAAACGTATATTCCTTA